GCGCACGGCGGCGGGCTCCGGGCCCGGAGAAGGCACTGGCGGGGTCGGCGAGGCGAGGCCGCCCCGTGGGGCCGCCGCCCTTCCATTGTCACCCCGGCCCCGCAGGGAGGGAAAAGAAGGGCCGAGCCGGGAGGGGAAGAGGGCCGCCACCCGGGAGGAGCCACCTCCTCGGGCGAGAGCCGCCCGCTCGCTCCCTCCCTCCCTCCCCGCTCTCGCTCTGGCTGCCGCCCGCTGGCCCGGCCCGAGAGTGTGAGCGAACGAGCGAGGGAGAGAGCGCGAGCGGGAGAGCGAGAGAGAGAGCGGGCCCGCTGCCCCCGCCCCTCGCGCCTCCATCTTGGATCTCAGCCTCGGAGCCCCCCTCCCTCCGCCCGCGCTGACTGCGTTACCTCAGCTGGGCCAGCGCCCCCGGGAATCCTACGGTGCCACGGGAGAAGGGTCCAGGCGGGCCGGGGCCAAGCCGGGCCGGAACGAACAAGCGGCGGTGCCGGGGGCCGCACCTCAGTAGAGCCGCAATCCTAAACCGCCATCTGGCGGCATTTCCTACCCGCCAATGGCGCAGCCGCCGCCGTCGCCAACCAGACCCAGCGCGCCTCCTGCCGGCCGCGTCCGCACACTACTCGAGCAGGCCCCGCCCGGCGGGAAGGCGCCCAAAACAGCTTTCGCGCGAAAATGTGCGCGCGTGCGCGATACTTTTCTGGCCCCGTTCACTCACCGTACACCTTTTGTCTGCGCGCGCAGCGAGTCCACCTCCGGACGGAAGTGGTCTACGTGACACTTCCGTCCTGGCAGGGGGTTGGTTGGGCGGCCTCATCGCCATTTGTATGCGCGCCTCCGGGTAGGGTTAAGGCGCGTCCCCGAAGCGCTCCAGTGTTTGCGAGCTGTGTTGCCGCTCGCGAGCTTAACAGCAGAGGGAGCCGACAGCTTTATGGCTGCGCAAGTGGATGACGGGCCCAAAGCGTTTAACGCAGACGGAGGGTTATTTATTTTTAATCGCTATTATAATGTGATTTACAGTTCAGGAAACGCGGGATGCGTACAGAGAAATTAAATATTTACGATCGTTTCTTCTAGCAAAAGCCATATTTAGGGCATTTCGTTATTCGTTTAAAGTGCAAGTGAATAACTTCTATTTTTAGCAGTTTCCCGCATTAATTTCAAACGTTGTCATGAAAAGTATGGTTTGAGGGAGGGAATCAGAAATGGTCCCAGGTGACTGAGCTAATAACTACCAAGGAAATAAAGAAGATATTTTGGGAACATAAATATACCTACCGAAGGCTGGGAAATGATTAAGAACAGATTACTGTATATCACTCAGGCTATGTGATGATCAAAACCCAATATTCTGCCCTCAGATTGATATATTTAAAACGATACATAGAACTGATAACTGCACTCCTGGCATGTTGTATACTGCAGCCCGGTTAGAATATAACCTGTAAATAGGGTCATATTTTATTTAGTCTCCCCCGCCCCTAGTAACTTAAAATAGTTGTTAGAATATGTTTTTCCTCTAATCATGGACAGCAGAGGATTGGATAGTGAGGAGGGAGAAATAGGTCAGGCTGGTGTAGAATCAAGAGCTCCCACACACCTCTTCCTCTTGCCTCCATCTGCTGCTCCACTGTCTCCCAGGACCAGGCAAGGATTGGGAGGAGCAGGTGGTTACATGCAAGTGGAGTCTACACCCGTTTGTGTGCAGCTCAGATGCAGGAGATAGATACATAAGCAAAGGTCAGCAGCAGAACCTCTGTTGCAGCAGACATTAGACTGGTGGACATGCCTTTCCCTAACTTGTAAGTGTACTTTTAACAATAAATAGAATTACCGTATCTACTCTGCACATTCTGTGCCTGTCAGCCCCATGACACCCATACACAATGTCATTAGCCACCATTCCCAACGCTGCCCCAACTAGAGGCAGTCCAATATATTTTGCTGCTCCACAATTGACTGTTGTGCACTCCAATCCAGTAACTATATAAAGATGCGGGGCCCAAACCTTGAAGCATGCACAGCCTTGTATAATCTACAACTTTCACCCTGGAAGAGATTCTCTCTCTGATCACATAACCATGTGCTCTAATGGCAGTCACAAAAATACTGCTGCTGTGAGCAATTGGTTGTGTTGCTCAGCTAGCTGTGGATCCAGCAGAGTCCTAGACATTATTTACTGAAAAATAAGTAGGGCTTGTATGACTCAGTTGTCAACTATTTTTTCCCTTTCTTTTTTCCTTGTACTGCTTTGTACATTTAACAACTTAAAGTGCAGGTTGTCGGGAACTCGGGCACATGCACAGCTGTTAAAAGATTTTCACATTAAGATGTCTTCCCCACTTTACATGTTTGCCATGGGAAACCGGTATACATACAGCAAACACATTTGTCACATAGAATATGGAACTGCTCTTCGCAAGTGTTTTATACAGATTGCTCTTGGACCAATCTCTTCAGGTATTATTCACAACAAATTGAAAGTCTTATTTAAATCAGGGAGGCTAACCTGTAACCTTCAATATGTTGTTAGAACTTCAGTTCTGATCAGCCACAGCCAGCATGACCAATTGCCAGAAATGATAACAGCTGTAATCTAACATCTGGAGTACCACAGTGAAATATACTCTGAGTCGAGTGTGAATTTCATGCTGTTTATTCAGCTCGTAGTAGCAATGAATGAAACTTTCCCCCAAACATCTAGCTATACAATATATACATTATTTACACAATGGGTGCCATGTGATTGGCTAACGGGCTGCTCCTGTAGGCCAATCCGGTTGCTGATTCACTTCCTCCAGAAGCCTGATTGGCTGCTTCTGCAGGCCAATCAGGTCGTTGATTCACTTCCACCTGGAGCTGGATTGGGTAGCTCCTGCGGACCAATCAGACTGCTGCATTCTGGAGCCACCCAATCCAGCTCCAGGTGGAAGTGAATCAGCGACCTGATTGGCCTGCAGGAGCAGCCCGGAATTAGCCAATCACACGGGGCATATTGTGTAAATAATGTATATATAGCTAGATGTTTGGGGGAAAGTTTCATTCATTGCTACTACGAGCTGAATAAACAGCATGAAATTCACACTCGACTCCAAGTATATTTCATGATGGCAACAACCTCCAAAGAAATTGGAGAAGAAGGGCAGAGGCTTTTCTTAGGCCCTCCCCCATCCCTACAGAGGGTAGGCCTTTTCCCATCTCACCTCACTGAATACCATTGTCATTTTAGGAAGGAGAAAAATAGGCCAGGGGTGCTGTTTTGTGTGTGAGATTGGGCTGATGCTGAGAGAAGAAGACACAGAGTGACTTTACCATGGTTTAGGCAGGCAGTATCCCTGGAAACCTAATGGAGAAACAAGATGTATTGGAGTGTTAATGCTGTGAGCCCTTCCATCCTATGTTCAGGTTGTATATATGTATAAAATAAATCCATATATCCTGAAGACATTACTATCTCCAGCGACTTTCATTTCAAGAAAACAGAACCCTGGGTAAGATCTGGGAACTCTGGAGTCTCTCGCCATTTGAAAACGGGTGCATACAATAGAGCCATAACAAATTGTTTTATTTGCTGTTTGTTTAAAAAACATTTAAGAGGTTTATACTTGAACTGAGAGATTTCCCTTATAAATTGTCGGTGAAATGTATCTCTGCCAGTGAAATAGATACCATTGACTGAATGTATTCATCCTATAGCAGCAAGGTGAGAAGATGGGGAAGCCCACTTGCACAATAATGAATGTTGTTTTTACCTGATGGAGCAGCATGTCCATATTGTAGCACAGAAAGATTAATCTAGAGAGATTATTCCAAGAGAAACAGTTCACTGCAAATGGATTAATACATTCTTTAGAACCATCATCCTACAGAAAAGGGAGAGAAGGGAAGCAGGGCTATTCCATTGGTTCTTCTCAAAGACTAGCTATCTTTGGCTCTTCCTTTACCATTGGGCAAACAGCAGCCATTCCACAATAAAAACTGATGTTTGAGTTTGTTGCCCCCCCCCTTGCCTGAGAGCTGTGTGTCTTGGTTTTTATCTGTAAGCTATTCTGGGGACGCGGGTGGCGCTGTGGGTTAAACCACAAAGACTAGGACTTGCCGATCAGAAGGTTGGTGGTTCGAATCGCCGTGCTGGGGTGAGTGCCCGTTGCTCGGTCCCTGCTCCTGCCAACCTAGCAGTTCGAAAGCACATCAAAGTGCAAGTAGATAAATAGGTACCGCTCTGGCGGGAAGGTAAACGGCGTTTCCGTAGGCTGCTCTGGTTCGCCAGAAGCGGCTTAGTCATGCTGGCCACATGACCCGGAAGCTGTACGCCGGCTCCCTCGGCCAATAAAGTGAGATGAGCGCCGCAACCCCAGAGTCGATCACGACTGGACCTAACGGTCAAGGGTCCCTTTATCTTTAAGCTATTCTGGGATCAATTTCAACTGACAGCAGAGTAAAAATGCCTCAAATAAATGCCCCAACTAGCAGAACACTGCTAGTAAGGCAGATACTGGCATGTATCTTGTGAAATTTTAGCTGTGTCCTACTGGCTTCTGGCCAGGGTTGGGGGTGGTAGTGAAATGAAAGTATGAATTTAGTTTCACTGAGATCTGTAGCAGGATCAGTGAATGAACTGAGTTAGGATGTAGCATCACTGTGTTTACCCCTCTCACTTCCCCCAGCACATTCATTCCCACCCTTTATATACCCCCTTTTGCCCTCTACACTGGTATACCTTGTGCTGGCTTAATTTAAACTAGCAGCTGGCATAAGTAGATTCACTGATGTGAATAATTTATACTGGTTTAAAGCCAGTTTGACTTGTGGGTGGGGTGAGAGTGATAAACCAGCTGGGAGAGGTTAGGATGTGATATACCTAGGGTTTGGGATCGCACCCTCACAATGTTGCCCTCTTCTGCAGCTTTTGTTATCTAAATACATTCATTTACATTAATTTTCTTGCAATTTGACAAACCAAAGGGCAACTACCTGGTATAATAAGTAGCAACAAACTTGTGTGTGTGCACAATTTACAATAATATTTTTTATTTCCAGTGTGCTTTGGGGTAGGGAGAAATCACACATTCAAGACTGCAATCCTAGGCACACTTACTTGAGAGTAAGTTCCACTGAACTGAGACGTGCTTTCTTAAAAACACTAACAGATTTCTCAAAAGTGTAACAGTCTGACCCTTTGCCACTATACCTGGACTAAGATCCTATGCACACTGAGCAGGTCAACAACACAATAACAGCAGAAACCAAAAGCAAACATACCTGTACCACAACAGGGACTTCACAACATCCCAATAACAATGCTATAATACCCCCCCACACACATTACCCATGACAGCAATAGTCAACTACTCAGAAAGAGAATGCTGTGACCCCCAACTCACTGCTGTGTGTAGGTACATCAATCTAAGTAAATTCATCCTGAATGTGATCCCCCTAAGCCCTCCTGAAATTGATCAGTGAGGGCTGCCTCATTCTACTCTAGGTGCTGGGCAGTACTTGACACAGTCAAGCACAAACTCCATTCCCTGGCATAAAGGGCAGATCCACCAACTGGGTGCTTTCTGATGTGGCTCTTCAAATGCCCATTTAAATTTCACAAGGAAGGTGGCATAATCATTAAGGAAGCAGGCAAGGCTTCAACACATATGGCAAGCAAAACAGGTTTCCATTTGGTCTGCCAGAAAATCCATCAGCTGGAAGGCAATTGGACCAAAAAGCTAAGAAACATTAATTGGGTTCTCAACAATTTTGTCTGGGAGGCTAATGAGACACTTTCCCCTAGGAGGTATTTGGGTTGGACTGGAGGTGGCAGCAGTATGGGCTGCCTGGAGCCGGCCATGCAGGGCTGTATTCTCCGCCATCGGTTGTGCAATTTATGCTTGCAGCACACCTAACAAGAACAACCTCAGTTTTACAGAGTTTTTGACTCAAGGTAAGAGTTTAGGTTTGGGCAGGGTGGGGCTAGACTTCAGGATTTAACAGCTCCCTGGACAGTTCTATGCAGGGTTCTGGCTGGAGACTCCACTAGAGCAGAACTCAAATGTTTCAGTATCAGTCAACGTCAGACTGAACCTTAAATAAGAGCTGCAGCTTTGAGTAATTAGCTCTGCCTTCTGTGAAAGAAACCACCTAATTTAAAGGAGTCCAGCAATCGCATCCCATAATTCTTCTTGTGTCTTATTAATTTCTGCAACTTCTCCCTTAACCCTTTCTTGCTCCTTCCTTATTTCCTTTAATTCCTGTTTTATTCGTTTCATTTCTTCTTCCAGGTTTTGCGTTCTTTTTGTTATTTCCTTCATCTGTCCCTTCAATTCATTAACTGTCATGTCATATTTTTTATCCATCGATTCTAATCTCGTCTCCAAATTCTTCTCACGTTGTTTAATATCTTTTTTAATTTCTGTAAACATTTTTAAAATGTCTCCCTTAAATTCAATATCTTGTTTTGATCCTCTTCTTTCCAAAGGTGTCCCACCTTCTCCTGTTTTTTTCGGTGTTTGAGACATTATTTCTCTTTTCGTGCCACTAAGTATCACCCACAAATTTAACTTAACACCCTTCTGCCTCTTGATTGGCCAATCCACTATATTAGCAATCTTTGGGACACCAAATTTCTTCAAAGTAAACCACTAAAAAAGGAAAGGAGCTTTTTCTGCCTCTTGTTTGGCTAATCCATTGTAGTATCCTAATAAAATAGTCAAATGGGATAAACAAATAATAATGATAGTATTAAAAAGAAGAGCAACAAAAAAATACAATCAGGGAGACAAAATCTAAAAACCACAATAAGGGACAGCAAAGAAATATAATAAATAAATAAATAACTAACATTCTTCCACCACTTGCCTGGCCAATCCAATCCTTTAATCAAAGTTCCAGCAAAACCATATACACCAAATTTTAATCCATTATTCCTAAAAACAAATTCAGAAAAAAAGTAAAAAGAAAACAGGAGAGAAAAAAGGGGGAAAAGGAGAAAGAAAAGAGAAAAAAAGGGAGAGAGATATATATATATATATATATATATATATATATATATATATATATATATATATATATATCTTCACCAAAGCAGCAGAGCCATAAATCTCCCAAAGTAAAAACAAAGCTAATCTTTCCCAGGGAAAACAGTCCGGCACCATAAAATAAAAAATCAAAGTCCTTCTACTCCAACATGAATTGAATGAATTGAGGTAAAGAGAATCAAATTTGAGATTGAGATCCGTGCCTGAAGTACAAGGGGAGAATATTCTGGAGAGGCTAACATTGGAGATTGCACAATGGTTAAGTATGGAAGTGGGAGATGTCAGAAAGACAATTCAGAATGCTTTTAGCAAAGAAATTTCCAGGAGATTGTTTGATTATATTTAATTTCCAGAAGATTGTTTGATTATATTTAAAGATAGAGAAATGAAGAATTTGATTTTACAGAAAAACAAAGAAAAAAGGCTGAGCTTTTATAATCATTTTTAAAGACGTCCCACTTTGTTTATTGAAAAAACGTGACTATTACAAACCATTGAGACAGGCATTACGGAAAAAATGGAACTGAATTTATGTGGGAATTTCCAGAAGGGATCTCCTTTCACTATAAAGGGGAAAAGTTTAAGTTTACAAGAGCTGATGAAGCACATAAATTTTTGAGAAGATACAAAGAGTTGGGAAAAGGGGAGGAAGCAATTGTGGCAGGAGCAGCAGGACTGGCAGGATTGGAAGAAGAAGAAATGGATAGTGAAGAAGAGGAAGAAAGGCAAGTTTAAGACTTTTACATTCTTATTGGTAAAGGGAACACAAAATGGCACTAAAATTATGGACATGGAATGTTAATGGAATGAATGATAAAAAGAAAAGACATAAAATTGGACATTTCCTTAAAAAACGGAATTTGGACATTATTTGTTTACAAGAAACTCATGTGGCAAGTAAACATAGAAGAGTATTGATTAATAAAAAATTGGGAAATGAATTTGTTTCATCAGACAGAAGCAGGAAAAGAGGAGTGGTTTTGTATATAAAAAATTTGAGGCTCGGCAAATATTTAAAGATGAAGAAGGTAGGATAATTGCGGTACAAGTCACATGGCAAGGCGAAAAATTGATAATAGTCGGAGTGTATGCACCAAATGGAAGTAAAACTGAATTTTATAAAGATTTAGAAGAAAATTTATTTGAATTTGTGGATCAGAAAATCATAACAATGGGTGACATGAATGGAGTGGTTTCGATGGAAATGGATAGGTTGAGATCAAGAGGAAAATCGAAAGAAGGAGAACTACCTAAGACTTTTTTTTCAATGATTGAGAACTGTAATTTGATAGATGTTTGGAGATTAAGAAACCCATTAGAAAAACAATTTACTTATTTCTCAGAACCAAATCAATCAATGTCAAGAATAGACTATATTTGGATATCCAGCAAGTTAACACCAAGAGTGACAAAAATAGAAATACAACCAATAATGCAATAAAATGTGAAATAAAAGAAACGGAGGGAAAAAATTTTTGATGGGGACTAAATGAGAACTTATTGGATGATAAAAAAATAAATGAGAAAGCGCAGAAGACTCTGATGGATTATTTTGTGAATAATAGTAATAAAGGAACAAAAATGAGTGTGGTATGGGATGCTAGCAAAGCAGTAACACGAGGCTTCTTTATACAGCAGAACAGTATTAGAAATAAATTCAGAGAAAAAGGCAAGAAAGAAATACTAAAACAAATAATGGAAAATGAGAAGAAATTAGTTAAAAACCCAAATAATGTGAAAATAAATCAGAATATTAAAATCTTGCAAAGTCAATTTGCAATTATAATAAACCGAGAAGTAGAATGGAATATTAAAAGAATGAGACAAAAGAACTTTGAATATGCTAACAAATCTGGAAAGTGGCTGGCATGGCAGATCAAAAAGAGAAAGGAACAGAATACAATTTATAAGATTGTAGTGGAAGGAAAGGAAGTAGATAACCCGAAAGAAATTAGAAAAGGATTCGTAAATTTCTATAGATATTTATATAAAAGAGCTGGAGAGAATGACGTAAAGAAAATAGATTTCTTGCGACAGAAAGGGATGCAAAAAATTCCGACAGAAAAGAAAGACAGACTGAATGACCTAATTGAAACAGAATAAATTAAAGCTGCTATAAAAGAACTAAAAAGTGGAAAGGCACCAGGACCGGATGGATTCACAGCAAAATATTATAAAGAAATGAAATATGCCCTACCTGTACCGTTGAAAGAAGTGATGAACAATATATTAAGAAAAGGAGAATTACCAGAAACATGGAAAGCAGCATATATTACATTAATACCAAAACAAGATTCAGATTTAACACAAGTAAAGAACTATAGGCCGATTCGCTGTTAAATAATGATTACAAACTATTTGCAAGCATACTGGCAAATAGATTGAAAAAGATATTGAATGAGATAATTCATAAGGCCCAAGCAGGCTTTTTACCTGGCAGACAGATGAAAGACAACATAAGAATTTTAGTTAATATAATTGAATATCTGACTGCCAGAAATGAAAAGCAAGCGGTGTTAATTTTTGTGGATGCGGAAAAGGCCTTTGATAATATATCTTGGGAGTTCATGTTAAAGAATTTGGAATTAATGGACACTGGACAATTCTTCTTACAAGGATTAAAAGCTATATATTCAGAACAGAGAGCAAAACTGATTGTAAATGATATAGTAATAGAAAGTATCGATATTACGAAAGGTACAAGACAAGGGTGTCCATTATCACCATTATTATTCATATCGGTACTGGAAGTTTTTCTACAGACAATAAGGAGAAACGAAACAATAAAAGGAATTTCAGTTGTTCGGAATGAGTATAAAGTGAAAGCCTTTGCCGATGACTTGGTACTAACAATAGAAGATCCAGTTACAAGTGTTAAAGGAATATTAGAGGAGATAGAACAGTTTGGGCAAGTGGCAGGTTTTAAATTGAACAAAAAGGAAACCAAAATGATAGTTAAAAATATGAAACAGGACTCGGTGGAAGTACTGCAACAACAAATTGGCATAGAAGCAGTAAAAAAGTTAAATATTTAGTTATTTGGTTAACGCCTACAAATATTGATCTTTTTCAAAATAATTATACACCGGTGTGGAATGGAATTAAAAGAGACTTGGAAATATGTGGAAGGATGAAATTGTCATTTTGGGGAAGGATTTCTGCTATCAAAATGAATGTGCTACCAAAGATGTTATTTTTGTTTCAGTCAATTCCAATAATCAAGGGAGCAACAATTTTTAAAGAGTGGCAAAAAGCAATTTCAAGATATATCTGGCAGGGAAAGAAGCCGAGAATACAATATAAGTTGTTAACATATGTTCAAGAAAGAGGAGGCTTCGCCCTGCCAGATTTGGAATTGTATTATGAAGCATCTTGTCTCTGTAGGTTAAAGGAATGGATGTTATTAGTAAATACAGAATTGTTAGATCTGGAAGGTTATGATAATAGATTTGGTTGGCACGCATATTTATGGTATAACAAAACAAAAGTCCATAAAGGATTTGGAAACCACATATTTCAAAGATCTCTAATAGAAATATGGGATAGGTATCAAAACCTACTGGAACGTAAAACGCCACATTGGTTATCTCCATTAGAAGCAATGAGTGTGAAAAGGATCAATATGGGTGGGAATTGGATAACTTATGGGGAATTAATACAAAAAGAAGGGAGTAAGTGGAAGATGAAGCCATATGAAGAAGTTAAAGAATATGTGAATGATTGGCTCCACTACCGCCAGGTCAATGAAATGTTTAAACAGGATTTTAAAGAAAAAGGATTTGATGATAATAAATCAAAGTTTGAAGTAGAGATATTAATAAATATAAAATTTTGTCCAAAATGTGTAAATTGCTGCTTGAATGGCATTTGAAGGATGAGGAGGTAAAGTCGGGTAATGATTCATTGGGTATAATATACAGTTGAATGATTGGGGAAAACTATGGAATGAAGGTTTAAAATTTACTGCATGCAATGCCTTAAAGAAAAATGTGATGAAAATGATGTATAGACGGTATATTACACCCATTAAATTAGCTAAAATGTATAAAGTTAGCAATAAATGTTGGAAATGCAAAGAAAAAGAGGGAACATTTTATCATATGTGGTGGGAATGTAAAAAGGTGAAAAACTTCTGGGAGATGATCTATAATGAGATAAAAAAATGTTGAAATATACATTTATTAAGAAACCGGAAGCATTTTTACTTGGCATTGTAGGAGATGATATAAACAGTAAAGGATTGTAAGTTGTTTTTATATGCAATGACAGCAGCAAGAATATTATTAGCACAAAAATGGAAGCAAGAAGAATTACCGACAAAAGAAGAATGGAGGATGAAATTGATGGACTATGCAGAATTGGATAAACTACCCGAACAAATTCAAAATCTGCGGGACCAGAGATTCACAGAAGACTGGTGTAAATTTACGGACAATTTGAAAAGTAATTGTGATGACCAGATTACGTTTGTAGGTTTGCAAGAAGTTTTGTGAGGTAAATTATTTGAATTATTGCAAAAATGGTTAAACAGGTGGATTGTGAGTTAAGATAATTAAAGGCAATAGGAATTTAAGAAATGCAGAAGAAATGATAAAAATGGTGGATCATCAGAGGTGCTGATGGAAGTCCAAAAAGATTGTATAAGATGTGAAGTTCTGTGGAATGTATAATAATTGGTATGTCCAGTCTGCTTTAGCAGTTGTCACCTCTGATGGAAAGGGGAGACCGTGCTTTTACTAGGCTTCCAAGCTGGAGGTCTTCAAGTCAGAGGAGGAAACATCATCATCATCATCATCATCATCATCTATTCCACTTTATATGTTTAAGAAAAAATCTCAGAGTGGTTTGCAACACATAAAAACATCAACTAAAAGAATCCAGAATAAGACTTCCTGTTTGCATCAAACCTGGTGCTCTGGCACCCAGGAGGGGTCCCAGACAGAGATTAATGGGGGGTAAGGGGCATGTCTCCCCTAACCTTTTGAGGGTATTGAAAGGGCAAGACCCACGGTCATCCGTTATTGCCTTTTCTTTGTTTGTGAGCGGGGATGGAAATCCCTGTCTCCCAGACAAAAAGGTAAGGGCACTGGGCTCAATGGCTCCATCCAAGGACAGCCCAAGCAAGCTACCGTGGTAAGCTGTGGAACACCTTTGAATTTGGACAAGAGGCACCCCACTGAAAAGATCCTGATTTATGATGGAGGAGAAAATCATCTGTTTGGAAAGGTTTGGAAAGAATGAAAGACGCTGATTTTTGCTTTGCTTGAACGGTGGAAGGAGCGGAGGGGAGGCAATATTTTAAGTCATATATTTTTATCTAAAGCAATGGAATGCAAAGTTTTCAGGATGAGTGGACTTTAAAGATACCTCTTCGCAATTAATTTATTTTATAACTAAGGACTTTGCCTGAAAGAAGATGGAGAGTAACAACCTTGAGGGATTTTGACCAACCCTTGGAACTTCATATTGTGAAATGAAAATAGTAAAGAAGAAAAGATGGGTAACAACTGGATTGACTTTGTTAAGCACTCAGAAGAGAATAAACTGGAGTTGGATGTAATGGAACTGAGGATTGGCAGGATGGACTGCAGGAAGATTTATTAGTTTAGTGGGGGGAGGATGGAGGGGAGATCTGGATTTTGCTGCGATTACATCAGCCCACCCCCCTTGCAGCTTGAAAAAAGAACAGTGAAAGGGACAGGAAGGACCACAGTGTATACCATCTTGATGGCTTCTGAGACTTTCAGACATAAGAGAGATGGATTGTGATTGTTTATTACGATGGTTGTATGTAAAATTGAGGATTAAATTTGGCGAAATGTGAAGGATGGGTGATGCTGGGAGATTGGCAGTGTTAGAGGGGGAGAATGTTTATTATATATTTGGGGGTTTCATTTTCACCCTTTGCGTGCCACACCCATGCAGCTGAGTTGATTACTGGGGACAGATGTCAGGCAGCAATATTCAGGGCCATGTTAGGGAGGAATGTGTGTATGTTGTCTGGGAGGAAGCAATATCTGTTTTTCTCAAAGTGTTACTCAAGAGGTATCAGAAGGAAATGTTTGAAAGTTGATGAACGACTATTCTAGATAGATGGAAGATTTACTCTACTCAACTATTTTGAGGACAGGTTATGACAATGTATAAAAGCCATAGCAAGAAATTGGTAATTGAACAGGTGATGTGTAAGGAGAAGGGATGAATGTATTGTGAAATACTTGGAAAAGTTATTTTATTGGGAGCAGCAAAGGAGGGTGGAAAATAGAGGGGACATTTGGGGGGGGGAGTTAGTTTTTAAATTTGTATTGAATTTGTATTATTTTGGTGACAATTTGTTTCAAATTATGGAAAATAAACATAATTGGCAAAAAAATCCCCAAAACAATCCAGAATAAAACCTAACTGAAGAAAGTCAAATATAAATATAATGATTACATTCAAAATAAAACATTACAAAGGAGGCCCATTATGGACTGCACACCTAAACGTGTTAGCTGCCTAGAGTGGCTGGGGAAACCCCACCAGATGGGCAGGGTATAAATAATATTTATTATTATTATTATTAACATGGCAAACCTGACCAAAAGTATCTGAAACATTTCAAAAGAAAACATTACTAAAGCAAGTCAAATATAAAATGAACATTCAAACAGGCATATTAACAAGAGAATAAAGTATTATCATAAGCATATAGCATATCTGTTGCTGCTGCTGTTAGTCCTGCTAATGGTTGTCCAGGGTGGGCAATGGCTCTGAAAGCTCAGGCTGTATGATCTGGGCCTGCAGAAAAACACAGCCAAGATGACCTCAGATTGGAAGTTACTCAGTGGGCTCTTTCTGCATATGTGCTTCTGCCTTAATAGGAACTTCTAGGGTTGGCCCTGAGGGCAATTCCATCTCCTCCAAATCCCCAGTTTTATATTCCAACGACAAGGAAACCAAGCCAGCACATGACATACCATATCTGACATCATCCTTACAGGTTCAGGCTATTCATCCTTGATTATATGTTCCTCCTTTTTGTTCTGCCAAGGGTAGGGTTCTTTCTGGATCTGGAGCCAATAAGCACACCAGTGGATAAAGAATAAGTAATGCATTATTTGCATAAGGTTAACAAATAGCAGCAAGCATACGAAACACAAATTATAGCATACCAGACAGAAGTCACACACAATCTCCCCTTCAGCTGCCCGGAGCTCCAGGTAGAGCAGCAAGAGAGACCCTGGCCGACAGTCTCACAGCATCTGGTACCTCTATCTATGAAAAAGCTCCCCGAGTCCCTTCAGTCTACAGCTTTTATAGCCAACTTTGATTTGATTGATTGCACCTGGTTAGCAGGCATCACTCATGATCAGCCCGGGACACTGGGTGTGACTAATGCGGAGTAGCTGAGAGTCTCTAACCTAATTCACTGCAACTGGGTATCCTCCCTACTAGCTTATCAGCACTTAGAACACAGGGACCCAGGAAACCCCTGACACAGGTGTGTGAAAAACAAATTATACTGTCATGAATCAGCAAATCTTAAACCGGGGATGTAAAAGGGAAAGAGACATGTCATTTAACTCCTCGAAATTACAGTGGTCTTCCGCATTTCTACTAGACTTTCATCCCCTATATATGTCGGGGTTTTTTTGCCTCAGCTCATCAGAGAACTCCCTGTAGGCCTATACAGTCACATAGGCTTTGTTAGATGTCTCCAATTTTCCCTTCCATTAGAATACTTCTTGAACGTGCCTTCAAAGTTTGTCATCCCTCTGGAACACCTTCAGAATTTATAGTCATTGCTCCTATCCAACTTTTTTGATATCAAGCTTTTTGATACTGATTTTCTGAGAGTCTAGTGTATATATCTGACTATGCTCAGTTTTTACATCCCTTGCTATCATATATTCCAATACGATATGCTCACATTTCCCCAAAGTTCTCACCATTTTCACTTCATAACCAGGACAGGCAAGGATCAAATGGAGCAGCAGGATAGGGCTGTTACTCTGTCAGACAAGCTGCATATACTGAGCAACACAGCTTAGAGCACAAGTCATATGTAGCCAGCGAAACTTCCAAGTCCACCAAGTAATGGGTCAGAGGCAGTTGTGTGCAGACCTGATATATCATCTCAGGAGGTATATTGCCTTCCTGGAATATGTGTTCAAGATATGATGGAGTTTGATTAAACTCATAAAACCCACTGACTGAAATCTATTGCCAATCCATTTGTGACCCAATGCTGCAATCGGAAGAAATCTTGAACAGATCTCCAAGGTTCTGGGTAGGAAGCTAAAGGATTTGGGGACACAAGTTGTGTTTTATCACTGCTTCTTGACGAAGACTGCCAAAGAACTTTTAAGGGAGGTCTGGGTACACCACCCACATTCCCAGCCAGTTACTTTTTGCCACTCAGTGAGCAGTACAATGGATATTGAGGGGAGATAAACAGCTGGTTGGCTGGCAATTTTGGAAATGTACAGTCCTCCTATTGAATCTATTTATTATATTAATATGCCACCCTTCAAAATGGATTCCAGGGCAGTTCATAACACTTTAAAATCTTCTGCCTTCACATAGCATTCGGTTCATCTATGGCAATCTGGTTCTACTGCATCTATGGGAATATTCTGCAGATGGGTGATGACTATGGTAGACTGGATTGTGCCCAAAGTGATTATTCTAAAATTAAAAACAATAATCCAAGCAGACAGTTGGCCTGATTTTTAAACTTTTATTCCCCCTCCTCCCATTTTTCTGCTTTGCGCAACAAATTGAATAATTTAAGAGTTTGGGGAGATTCGAAGCTTGCCACGATTTTGTTTGGTTCTAATAAAGGTGTTGCCCAACTGTAAGTACACGTGTATATACCGGTACTCTCGAGTGAAACAAGGCTTTTCAATTACTTGCGAGTAAATTCCCTTAAACTCAGCGGAACTTACTTCTGAGTGAACGTGCACCGGGTCCTGTTGAAGGACTGCAATTTTTTGTGTTTTTACTTGGAGAGTATAGTATTCATTAGCTGTGCAAGTGTCGAGGTTGTTTTGGGTTACAGTATTTAGAGAAGGCCAATCTGGTTATTCCGGCAGTGCTTTTCCTTACTAAAATAACGAGCCCGCCCAGGGAGGCCGCGTCTGCCTACGAGTTTCGCAGCGGCGACGGGCCAACAACACTCTGTGGGCGCTCAGAGACTTCCCTCGCCGTCTTTCGCGCGTCCCAATCTGGGCGCCGAGATTCAAAACAGGTTCTGCGTTCGCTGAGGAAGCTCCGCCAAGGCCTGGCGTAGGGAGCGTGCAGGGCCGCTTGGCGTTGTTTTGATAATGGTGAGAGGATGACGTTCCCGAACGCCGCGTCTCTCCCGGAGGCAGCGCTACCGCTAACCGGCTTTAAGGAAGACACTGGGCCTTGCTCGGGCTCGCTCAGCGCCTCCCGAGCCCCGCCCAGCTCGCTTGGGAAAGACGGCTCGGGCGCCCGACGAGACGCGAAGGGGGTGGGTGTGCTGAGAGAGAGGGAAAGAGAGAGGGAATGGCCGCGCATGCGCAGTGGCGAACCCAGCGGCCGCGGTGATGGCTACGCAGTGACGGTTGGATCTAACGGTTGCTATTGACGTTGGGGCTGGGGGGGTGCGGTGGATGGTTCTGACGCCGAGAACGGCCGGGAGTAGCGAAGCCGTTGGCCCCGCGGAGGAGACCCTGGGAGCCGCGCGGTGATGCGGCGGCGCTGAAACTCCGGGCGGAGGCGCCTCCCCCCCCCCCCGCCCCTACCAGAGCCGGGCCCGGGCCGTCGCCCTGCGCGCTGGGTTCACGGATCCTGCCTCGGCCCCTCCCCCGCATGCGGGGCCTCCCCTCCGCCTGAGGCGCCCCGGGAGGGCGAGCGAGCAAGGCCGGCATGGCCGGCCGCCTGGAGTAGCCGCCTGGGCCGCCGCCGCTCGGCGCGAAGAGGAGCTGCGGCGGGGGAGGTGGCGGCGGGGAGGAGGAGGAGCAGCAGGCCCCGGCTCCGGCCCTGGCTGTGAGGGCGCTTCGATGCGGGGCTAGGAGCGCAGCCGCCCCTCGGCCTGCCTGCCCTGCCCGGGCGCGGAGCCGCGCTTTCTTCTCAGCCCGGAGCCGTCGGCCTCAGCGTCTGCGATGAACCCGGTGAATGCTACAGCCCTGTACATCTCCGCCAGTCGCCTGGTGCTCAACTACGGCCCCGGAGAGGACCCGCAGTGCCTGGCCGAGATCGGCAAGCTGCTGCCCTACTTCCGGCAGTCGCTCTCTTGCTGTGTGTGCGGTGAGTGAGGCGCTTTCTATTGTTCTGGGCCGCGGGCGAGCCGGCACCCTCCTTTTCCCTCCCTCCGTCCGTCCCTTTGGCTCGGGCTCGCCTCACTCGCTACACCCACTTGGAAATGGGCAGGGAGCAAAGCCTCCGCCGCCTTTTCGGGTAAACCTCGCTTGGCAGCCGAGAGGCGCGCGCGCCCCGCAGGGCGACTCGCTCTTCCCGCCCGAGAGTTGGGAAAGACCCCTCTCCGCGCTCCCCCCGCCGCCCGCCCGGCCTCCTTGAAACTGACCGGGAAATGGGCTTGCCGGCTCCTTGAGTAGTGCTGTCACTGACAGGGACACCCCGGGAAGGAGGGGGACACAGACAACAACAAGAACCCGAGTCACATGTCCCTCCTTTGCCGCTCTGTGGACGAGATGGGCTTCTGAAAACTTTGATCTTTTTATAACTCTTCCTAATGGGGTTCCATACTTCGCCTGTTCGCTCAAGCGGAATAGCCTATGTTGATTTGTTAGGGCAAACTTTTTTTCCTAACACCTTAAAGACCAACTGTGTATGCTTACTTGAAAGTAAGCTTTATTATGGTCCTGTACTCCCAAGTAGGCGTGCATAAGATATCAGGCGAACACTTTTAGTGTGGCATAAGTTTAGACGGAGGATGAGAATGTTTTGCATATGTGTATAGTCGGTCTGTTACTCTGTGAAGTTAAAAGTTTTGGCAGTAGTGCATTTGGGAAGCTAAATATGTAAAGTGTGTTTGCTTTGTGTAGCAACACATTTGAAGTGATATATAATGTTCGCTGAGTTGGTGAACAAGGCAGTAGAGCTTGAGGGAAAATGTTGTATACTGGGAGGAAGGGGTAAGGTCATCCCTGTACTGATGGTGTTCAGTTTGTTTTGGTAGTTGGATAACAGACGTTCGCGTGAAGAAACATTCTAACCAGAGTATTGAACAACCTGCATTGTAAGGTTGAGCATAGGAGTACAGACTTCAAAAAATGTAAACAGTCTTAAATTGCATAGGGACATTGTAACATATTCTGTAATCACTCTTTATTAATGTACTGATAACTTCTGGTCATTGCATCTTAAAATTAGCAGAAATAGGTTAAATATTTTAACTGCTACCATTTAGAACAGAGTTTGTGAGATTGCTTTTTGCAAGAGGGAACAAATTTTAGACTGTGTCAGGTCTTTAGCTCTTCATTCACATATTCCTTTAAAAAAAGAATTATCAATTACGTTGAAGGTATTAATTTAAAATAAAACATAACTTCTGAAGTTCATCTCCAGTGAATAAGTGAATGGAGCTGACTCGAGGCACCATGGCATCTCAGGCAGAGAATTCAGGTAGTTCCTAGTCCTCTGCAGTGCATAACTTGTCATTCCCAAAACTTAGTCGACACATCCATTTCTTATTGCTATGATCAAGCATTCTATTAAAGCCATTGGTTTACATTGAATTAAACAAAGTTTAACATAAGTTCTGTGTTTAAACTCTGTTGTGAAAGGGGAATAATATGGGTGATTTTCTACTAACCTGTCCTATCAGTGCAAGGATTTATGCTTGTGTTGTGGCAATCCCTGCCTCCCCCCCTTTTGCTCCAGAGGGTTGGAACACCTAGAGCAGGTTTCAGGGTTGTGTGATGGGAGGAGAGGGGGGAAGAACATTTTGTTGCACGAGCAGAAATAATTGCACTGGCAGAATGATTGCCATAATGCTATGTTGGATTTCACCCTATATGGTTAAACACCTGTCCTTTTCATTATGTCAATGGAACTCTTTGTACCTGAGGCAACTGATTCAACCTTGTGATAGGGCTGGCATTTGACACAACTGATACATTGGTGAAAAATCTGACAAAGCTAGCACATGGGTCAGTGATCCTAAACCCTTTGGACTTGTGGGTATGTGGAATCCTGAGAGAATTTTGTGGGCACTAGTCTCAAAATAGCTGCTGTGGGGCATGGAAAAAGAGAAAACATGGAAATTGGATTAAAAACAGATCCTCTTGTATTTTCATGATTTTTACATGGAACTTCCCCTAGGACACCATCAAATGTTGGATGATATATGTCTCCTTGGATTGATCTATATTATTATTATTATTATTATTATTATTATTATTATTAAAATCTGTATATATACCTGCAGGTCTCAGAGCGGTTCACAAGATAAAATCACAATGTAAGAACACAAAATACATAATCAAAATAAAAACAAAAACAAAAAAGAATAACCCCCCCAACACATTTTAAAAGGGCATTGGATGTCAATCAGTCAAAGGCCTGGTTAAAGAGGAATGTTTTTGCCTGGTGCCTAAAGGTCTATAATGAAGGTACCAGGTGAACCTCACTGGGGAGAGCATTCCACAAACAGGGAACCACCGGAAAAAGGCCCATTCTTGTGCTGCCACCCTCCAGACCGCTCGTGGTGGAGGCACATGAAGAAGGGCCTACACAGATCCAAGGCTTGTCACTGCCACCATGGTACAAAATGGAGATCTTCAGAACAAATCCATGTCCCATGGTAGCTCTGGCAAGCACTAGATAGTTGGTTTTTACAGTGCAATCAGTAGAAACCAATATTGGCTGTAATTTAATGATGTTTCATAGGGATATCTTTGGGAGAAGAAAAGGCTAAGAAGTAAACAATACACAAATCCAGAGTGGAGTCTCTCATAAGACAGTTGGATGGTGTTTTGTATGCCTCCTTCTGGCAACTCCTGCAGCCGAGCTGGTGCCAAACTTACTGCTTGTCTTTTCTTTGGACCACACCAGTGAGGCCTAGATGGGGGTCTTGTTGTCTGGGCAGCCCAGGACCTCCATACACACTGCCCAGGCTTGCGCTAATAATGCAGTGGTTTGACGTCATCCCTGGAGTCACACTCCATTGTCTTTTGAGACAGACAGATGCCAACATAGAATCATAGAATCAGTGTTGCGTGGAATATAGAATCGTGGAGTTGGAAGGGACCCTGAGGATCATCTAGTCTAATCCCCTGCAATGCAGGAATATGCAGTAGTCTCATATGGGGCTTGAACCTGCAACCTTGGCCTCATGCTCTAACCAATTGAGCTCTCTAGTTCTCCAAAGGGCATATCTTGTAAAAATCACAATGATTCTTGCAATGGAGCCTTATTTTTGTGCCACGATGGCACATCCACCACAGTTCACTGTTCCATCATTTTGTGGATAGCTTGAGAAGGGAAGGGAGAGTGACCAATGAGATGGGAGGGGGAGGGGTATGTTTAAACTTTTGGTAGATGCCAGAGAGCAAAGAGAAATTGATCTGAGAGCAAGAAAAACCCTTCTAGACATCCAGTTTGTTGTTTCTGTGGGTTCAGGTGCTCTTGCTGGCACAAACCTACTGGAAACGAATATACAGTGGTACCTCTGGATGTGAATGGGATCCGTTCCAGAGCCCCGTTCATATCCTGAAGTGAATGCAACCCGTGTCTGTGCGTGCGCGGGTTGCGATTCACCGCTTCTGCGCATGCTCGTGTCGTCATTTTGAGCGTCTGAGCGAGCGGTGAAACCCGGAAGTAACGTGTTCCGTTACTTCTGGGTCACTGTGGAGCGCAACCCGAAAACGCTCAACCTGAAGCGACTTCAACCCGAGGTATGACTGTAAAAGCACAAGACTCAGACCAATGTAGGTTAGCAATAACCCTGACTGGAATCACTGGCGAAGGAAGGCGGGTGCGGGGTGTGTGGTACGCACCGGGTGTCAGCTGTGAGGGTGGGTGACATCGCCATGCCATCCCCCCATGCTCGCTGCGTGGGCAGCTAGCAGCGCCACCCCCACTATCCTGGCGGGCGGTTAGCAGTGCCCCTCCCAAACTCTCTGTGCGGGGCGGCTAGGTGGCTAGCCCTGTCTCCATGGGCCGGCTAGCTCTGTCCCCGCGCCACTCCCTGTGCTAGGGCAGGTAGCTCCACCCCTGACTGGAATGTTGTTGTTGTTTAGTCGTTAATACATGGTGTATTTTGATTTATTGAGATTCTGTTACTCCATTGCTTGATGCAGAAACAGCTGGCTTGAATTTGATTTTAGAAAATTACTTTTTCCATTGTACACCAAATGCTCTGTGGTCTTTTCTGAAAGTAAATATTATTCCCTATCTACTGTAGGATTGCTAAACTTTAAATGCTTCAAATTTGGAATCAGTATGAACATTCTGTTTGATGTTGCTGACAGGATCAAGTTTACCTGGATCGTGCTTTTCACTGTTGGTCGAAATCCTATGTGGTCTCCTTTTATTGTGGTTGCTTTAAAAGGGCAGTTTTAACTGCTATATACTTGCAGTAATGCTCACTATGTTAAACATAGCTTCCATGTTTTTATGCCATGTTATTCCTTCTAGTCCATGCCAGTGGCAAAGGGTCAGGATTGAGGACCTGATAGATGGGACCGAGGGACCACATTTGGCCCATAGACTGGAGGGTCCTGACCTTACCTTTGCTATTGGACATAGGAATAACAATTTGAGGTGTTTTGATTCTCCTAGAATCATAGAGTTGTAGAGTTGGAAGGGACCCCAAGTGAGTGGCCACTGGGACTGGGCCTGCTGCCAATAAGAAAGTTCCCAGGTATCTCCTTTTTCAAGTCTGTTAACACATTTTCCCTTTTGTTCCAGATGGTTTCAAAGTAATTAAGTTGGAAACACTAGTAAGGAAAGGTATTTGTGTTGGAGCTGGACATTCTGGTAGTAAATAGAAGTACATTGATTTTTATTAATGAAATTAAATTAGACATAATTCTTAGAACTGGAAGAACTGATAATTTGTATGATAGCGTAGCCATAATTGCTTAATAATAATATTATATTTAAACCTCACCCATTTTACTGGGTTGCCTCAGCCACTGGGGGTGGCTTCTAACACATAAAAAACATAATAAAACATCAAACCTTAAAAACCTCCCAATACAGGGCTGCTTTTGGGTGTCTTCTAAAATTTGCATAGTTATTTATCTCCTTGACATCTGATGGGACGGTGTTCCAAAGGGAGGGCACCACTACTGAGAAGACCCTCTGCTTGGGACTGATTGGTAAAAAAATGTGTTGAATACCAGCTCTTCCCTAGTTTACAATGACTGTTCATACACAAACAATATTTTTATGATAGTTAACCTGGTACTGAACAAAGTCCAAGATGAAATAATGACTCTTCTGCAAATCATCACCTCAAACACGGGTTCAGGAAGTGCTAATCCATAGGTCTCTGCCTAGGATGCATGGTATGTCATGGAGATTTGGATGCAGTTTAAATTGTAAGGTGAATGGAATTGATGGCATGTTAGAACCAAATTTCAAAGGCTATTATTGTTACAGAAACACACATTGATTAAGCAGGATATAAATTTTAATAAAACAGAATCAAAGAATGTGCTCTCTGTGAAATGAACAGTTTTGTTTGTCATTTGGTACAACTGTATGTCTTCCTGTAGGGGAGAGAACTTATTTGTTTAGCACTCAAAGGGCAATATTTTATATTTGGAATTATGAGGCTGTATACAGTGTTGCACAACAGAGGAATCCAATGCAACAATGGAAACCCTGCTGCAGAAACAAACCACAAGGCTTAGATTAACATTACATGTGAACAAGAATTCATGGTTTGTGTCTCTCCAAATAAGCCGCAACTAAAAGCTAAGGTTTGTTCTTAGCTTACCCTTCACAATAAGCCATGATTTAACTGTTTATTGTGACATGTGAACAGGACCAGTGTGTCAGTTGCCTGATTTGCAGCATATGAACATAGCTTTGTTTCTAAGTGAATACATGGTTAATCTGTGATGTCTTTAAAAAAACTGGTGGTGTACTTATTTTGTTCTTAAGAGTTTGGTTCAATTAGTGACTGGGAAAAAACTTTTACACAGAATGGAAGATTAGAGACAATTGCCTAAAATATATTCTAGGATTTAGAGTAATATGGTCTATGTGGAGCTGCACCATAACACTTAATCTACTGCATATTATATGTGCAAGGGCAGAGTGATGTAGGCACATGTTGGGCATCTTGATCCCCAGATCTCATGCACCTCATATACTGCTGGTTCTGTGTTGTGGTTGCTAAATGAACTGGTTGGAATCCTGTGCTGCAATGTGTGAGAGGAGGGCAGTGTCAGATTTGTGTCAAGGGCTGTTCATTGAATGTAGTAGATATGACACCTCCCCCCCCCCCGTGAGTGGAAATGTGACCTCAGACGGTGGGGAGGATCCTAATTAACCTAGTGACTGCTATTCCCTTGCTTATTAACCTTTCAGTGTCATAGTTGCAACAGTGACAATTTTGTGGTGATGTAGCATCAATTGTTACATTGTTACAATACATGGCTACACAAACATGGCAGTTCAATTATGCTGCAAAACCCATTGTGTTAGTTGCAGCAGGGCTATAACTTCATAATGTCACATTATCCTGCACAAGGAGGTTTACTGGTGGGTCTGTTTCAATCAAATCGGGCAAATGGAGGAAAGCTTAGTGCTCTAGAGAACTTTTAAAGTGGGGTTTGAGGAAGTTGATGTTCTCACATTGGTATCAGTTTTTAACAAAGCCTGAAATCTGTAAAACTTCAAGCTAAAAGAAAACAATACTGCATGAGCAATTAGGGGGATTGCATGCATAATAGGTAGCTTTCCTTTTGTTTCATGTGATGTAAGATATGGTGCGATATTTTCCATCAATATTGTATTTGTTTAAAAAATACAAGCTCCTGTAGTTTTAGAGGAAAATCCATCTTTTATTGCATGGTTGGTCAGTGTCTGCTGAAGGCTTCAAAACAAAATAGTCCCTTGGGCAGCAATTGAGAGAGGGATTTCTGTACTGCCAGAGTAGGCAGAAGGTAAATCCAGATCTACTGTAAAATATTTGGATGACACAGTAGATTGGTAAGGATTTCTGACTCCGTCATTTAACAATGGCAACAGCAAAATGACCCCCAAAATTATACTGCTGAAATGAAGAAAAAACGAGTGGTGGGGTAATTAGAATCAATTATTGCATAGCATTGTGAGCTGAATTCAGTTTTGGTACTCAAAACAAACTTGAACTCAGAATATTTTCGTTCTAAGTATATATCTTTTGCAAATGGATCCAATTGGTGGCTCTTAGGATTCTAGTAAAAAATCAAAGTTGATAAGGCAAGTCTGAAGGGTGCCTACCTTTACTCCTAGATCTTCACTTTCCCTGTCTGCTAGGCTTGCGGCTCTCACATTTTTTCCAGTCTCAACTTTATAAAATGCTCTTATTCAGGACTCAAATTTTATAACCAGAATAAGGATCATTTTTACAACCAGAATTAGAATCTGCATAGAAAACTATATAATATATTTTTAGGAGATGCTTGATACTAAATGTGATTGTCCTGCACTGAATCTTACTACCGATTTTAAGACTGCTTTTCCTTAACAGTTGCCAGCTCCATTTCTCTCACTTCCTCACTTTCCATTAGTTCCCCTCCTGCTACCCTTTTTAGGAATTCTCTCGCAAGTCAGCTCCTCAGTACGTATAAGTGCTCAGATCATAGTGATGGCAGTCTCAAATCCCTTTCTCCTCTTTGTGTGGAATGCTGCTATGCTCACAGCTTCCTCTGAGAAAGGCCCTGAGAAATGTATGTTTTGGGCCAGAAAGAGTCTGGTGTCCTCACTTGATTTATATGCTTTCAGCTTTTTATTAAAGTTCCAACTTAACTTTGATACAGTGTACAATTTAGCACATCATTGTACAGTGAACAATTTAGCACATCATTCCTTCAATCTGCTTTTAGGTCAGTGATGGGGAACCTTCAACCTGGTAGCCAGATTAGACCTAGCAGGGGTGCTATTGGCTTGTGAGGCCATTTCCTGAAAACCACTGCCTAACTGACAGCAGGTATGGGGAAAGTAAAGACAAGGGGACAATCAGGAGTCTTAAAGTACACTGAGGGAGACTGCAGCTATAAGCAGTAATTGGCAGGGGCAGCAACTTTGCAGAAATCAACTGAAAGAAAAAGTTTCTAATTGAACATCCCAATGTAGCCAGTCCATGCTTACAAAGGGATCTTCCTTTGCAACCTGGCTTGAGTTCAAGCCGGACTTCAAAGGCAGAAAATAAAGAACTGGGAGCACAGTTAGTGTGCACTCATGTTTCTTTCCTTTGAAGCTGGCTAATTGATGTTGTGACATAGAATCATAGAATTGTAGAGTTGGAAGGGACCCTGAAGGTCATCTAGTGCAGTCATACATAACTAAATCATACCTGGCAGATGATCAGCCAACCTCTGCTTTAAAAACTCCAAGGAAGGGGCATCCGTATGTTGGATATTCTGTGTGTGTGTGTGTGTGTGTGTGAGAGAGAGAGAGAGAGAGAGAGAGAGAATCATTTGTTCCAGAAACAGATAAGTCGTTTCAAGAAGCAGCAGAAGGCTGAGTTTGTTTTGATGCAAGGGTATTTTTTGTGGGAATTGTTCTTTGGACTTGCGCAGTATGACAGCAAGTACTGATAACTATGGTTCTGTGTAACTTGTAACTTGCTGTGAGTCTCTTGCTTGTGTCTTGTGGTGAGAGAAACACAGAGAGTGAGTCTTGGATTCTTGTTGGACTCTAAGCATGCCTTGACCACAGCAGTGGTGAATGTCTATATATATTTGCTACCAATATGCTTTTATGCCTATCAAGTAAACTTCTACACTTGACTGAATCTTTATGGCGTCCATGAGTGTTTATTGCCTACTGTGTGTACCTTCAACCCCGAAGACACTTCTAAGGAAGGAGCTGCATTGAGATGTAACTCTGCTGAGTATAAATACAGGCACACACACGCAGCAAAAGTGATGCTGGACCCTATCCTTCTAAATCATCCATCAGAGGTTGATGGATTGATCCAACACTATATCCACCTCTTGTGGGCATTTGCTCCATCCTTCATGTGACAGCACTTTAGTTATTTGAAGATGGCTATCATATCCCCTCTCAACCTCCTCTTTTCCAGGCTAAATGTACCCAACTCCCTCATCTGTTCCTCACAAGGCTTGTTCATCTTGGTCACCCTCCTCTGCACATGTTCCTAAACCGTATTATCTTGGTGGGATGCATGATGGGACAGCACCCACTGTAAGCACCCACTGGGGAACTACAATACGGCATAGCTCCCTAGTTTGTCCTCAATAACTGTTGGGATCTTGAGTCAGCTGTAATGTCTGACCATAGAGCGTGTTTGGTAGACCACCATGTAGACCAGGGTGGTCTATCCCATGGCCTGAGGGCCTCATGTGACCCTCAAAGCCTTTTATTGGCAGTCCTCAACAACATTTGACAACCCCACCCCCAGAAAAGACTCCCCACTGCCTTTCCAAAGCTAGGTAAAGAGGCACTGGGCTTTGGGAAGGTGTGAGGACTCTGACAGGGTCCTAGAGTACACCTGCCTCCTTCCCAAAGCTTAGTTTTCACTTTCCGAGCTTTGGGAAGGAGGTATGGGGTTCTAGGACCCTGCCACAGAGCCTTGAGTCTCCTTCCCAAAGCCTTGCTTAGCTGGCTAAGGGAAGGCAGCATGAGGGCCTAGGGTGTCTGTGTGTGTGTACATTTTTTGCCTCTCCCACCCCCGTGCACAGCCTGCAGGTTCTGTGTCAAAGTACGCTTGCAACTGACTTGGTATGAAAAATTGGACTACCCTGATGTAGACACTCTACCACATGCACTCTGGTTGGCAGCAGAAAAATAGTGCTGGATCAAATAAAGGCAATGGGCAGTTAAAATCAGTGGATAGTTGGTTGGGGTAATAATTGGCAACATCACAGCATATTTGAAGGTTATATTGGCAGCGGAGCAGCAAATTTGGTTAAGTAACAGCAGAAGAAGATTCATGATGATAACCTGTGGTCCACAGGTTGCCCTTAAGTGTGTTAAGTTGAGAGTTGATTTGCCTTCATTAAAATTTCAACTCTCAATTAGCAGGGTTTTGTTGTTTATAATTCAGTGAGCCATTAATAGTAGTATTGCCTAAGATTGCTTCCAGCTCATTTATGCTCTTAGAAAAGTTAGGTATAGAGCTTATCTGTATCTTTGTTCACAAAATCTCTACTACTTTTGTGGTGGTTATACTTTTATAAATGTAGTAAACTGGGATGGAGATTGGGCTCAGGCATTGCAAGCTGCTAATAAGCCGGCTTTCTTTAAAAATTATATTGCTCAACTTACTGTTGGCATTTAGTAAATGTACTGTTTTCCCTTAAATTAATAACATAGTGGATGATCGTCTGTTCCTATGTGCAGAAATGCACATGTTCAAGCTGTGTGTGCACAGGAGGGAGGATGCAGCAGGAGACTGAATTGTCCCTAATTGATTTTTGTGCGTATACTTGCAATTTTTCTTAGCCTGCTGCTTCTTTTATTTCAAGCTCTTCTCATTTTAATAACTTGCAGTTTCATTTATTGTTTATTTTTCTTCCTTTCTTTAATACAGAATAGGTAACTGCCTCTGCTGTATTTTCTGAGGAAGGGTTTCAGGTCCTTTGACTTGCACCGTCAAGTTCTGTATATCTATCTGTGTTTGTGTGTGAACACACACTATATGATACACACAGACCATTTTCAAGCATCTTTTATCATTTTGCTCCGATGACTGCTATTTCTTATTGTTTGTTTAACATTAATTGCCTAGCTACACATTATACTTGTCACGTGAGCTCTTTTTGTAGAGTATTCTGAAGGATTCCCTGCCAAGAGGCAGAGAGCAACATTAGAGGGGATGGTAATTTCTTTTTGAAGGTAGATACTACTGGCTCTTTCTGTCTCTCTCCTCTCCTCTGCCTTTTTGCTCTCTTCTTAGCTGCTTGCTACATATCCCTATGATATGGTTAGAAGAGGGACGAACTGTGGAACTTAGCCACTAAGTGGAGAAAGAGCAACAATTCATCCTTCATTGTTTGTGTGATTTCTGCCCCTTCCAACTTTCTGTCCCCTTGTTGTGAACCCGTTGGAACTCTCGTCAGCTAGAGCAGCCTTGCATGGTGGGACTGCACTCATGGGGTAAGCGTAGCGCATAGCAAAGCTTCATGTGAAGAATTTGTGAGAATGTTTCAGCTTTATATCACAACTATAGCTAAAGTATTAAATAGCAGGTGCAGGAATCTTTTGGTTGACATGTTGAAAGTATTGAAAAGCTGATACACCTGATAGCTTTTCAGATGCATGCAGTAATCTCTTTCTTACTGTCTCCTGATTTTTGAGCTGCTAGGTAGTGAGTGAGTGAGTGAAGGAAGATGTGGAAGTGATGATGGACAGACCTTGTATTCTTTGTGTTATTTTTATAATTTATGTTTGAAAAAAGTGATTTAAAAAACATATGTAAACCACCCCACTAATTTGCCACCGTTTGAACATTAAGGAATACATGGTTTTTTTCACCTAATTGTTAATCTCTGTTGACAAAATGAATGTGGGAAGTAGCCCTCTATTCTTCTTTTCTTACTTGTGACTCAATGTTGTGTTTTTCCTTTCCCATTTGAAAATAGGATTGGTGAAAGTCAGTGAAATTCTTAATTCAAAAAACTTTCAGTTCTCTAGCAGGGGCAGTACATTTCTGCTGCCAAGGTATAAGTATATTAAAAGAGTTGTGCCACCTTGCTGAATTTACTTAATTTTTGCCAAAGAATTTACTGTGACTTTCCCAAAAAAAGTGCAGGGCATTTTTCAAGGGCTTATACCACTCTAGTAAGCACTAGTTTGGTGCAACTACCAGAGAACACATGGGAGGAGCGGGATTTGATCAGTCATTTGCTGATGGTTGCAAGAATTCTGTAATATGAGGAAATATTTGTCAATGATTGCAGAAGTATAGAATCTTCTGGGCTTTGCTTTAATTGTAACAAAGCCAAGTGAATATGGTGGAGCACTGAGAGTGAGAATATTTGTTTGGTGACAGATCTGAGTTTTTAAAATACTTTTTTTTTTCAATTTTAGGAGATCTGCTGCAAGATCCAATTGCACCCACCAATTCCACATGCCAGCATTATGTATGCAAAACCTGTAAGGGCCAGAAGATGATGATGAAACCATCGTGTAGTTGGTGCAAGGACTATGAGCAGTTTGAAGAAAATAAACAGTTAAGCATTCTAGTGAATTGCTATAAAAAACTATGTGAGTACATTACACAAACACCACTAGCACGGGATATTAAAAAAGCTGCTGAGACTTCTCCAGATCTATTGACTTTGCTTAAAGATGGCGCTGCACTCCATGAAGATACAGAAGAAGCATCTGATGAAGCCGTTGCATTGTGTATCACACATTCCCCATCACCTTCAACCTCAGAGCATGTTAATGAGCCTCCAGCATGCCGTTCTTCTGTTCCTGAAAGCACACATGAGTCTGATGTGAAAGGCTCCACTATTAATGGGTTGCCCAATTGCAATGGGCTGTCAGTAGATAAAATTGGAGCAAATATTCCTTCTCCTGAACAAGCAAATACAGTTGATGTATGTAGCCCTGCACCGTGCATAGAAACTGACGATAATTCTAGCAATCTTCAGCCTGGCCAGTGCTTAAAAAGTGACGATATTTCTAGCAATCTTCAGCCTGGACAGTATGTAAAAACTGAAGCTATTTCCAGCAGTCTTCAGCCTATCTGTGATGCTGTTTCTCCTAGTAACTTGTGTGTGGCAAGCAGTGATACCTGCAGTTTCAGCAAAGACACCACCAAACCTGGTGATTCTCTTCTACTTAGTGTTGAGGAAGTGCTACGGAGCTTGGACTCCAACACAGAGGTCTGTGGTCCTAATCTTCAACATAGCTTGGAAACCAATATATCCAACGGCCCTTTTTTGCAGCTTTGCCCTCCACCTCCTAGCCATAGCATGTTCATGTCAATGGGTGCTTCACCTTATGGGATTTCATGTACAGCTGTGACACCGAAGGCGGTAAAATTAAATAGAAAGCGATCGCGTTCCGAAAGTGACAGTGAAAAGGTTCAGCCTCTTCCCATTTCCAGCATCCTTCGTGGCCCAACGTTGGGAGCCTCAGCCCCGGTAACAGTGAAGCAGGATACAAAGATGTCTTTGCAGCCTGTAGCAGCTGTACCAAATGGAGGCACCGCTCCTAAAATAGGCAAAACTGTACTCTTAGCAAATAAAGGCATGAAAAAGACTCTAGACCACACCGCCAAGAAACCCCACCCGAAATCCAAAACAGGAATGCTGAAAAAATCAAGAGCTGGCAGTCATGTGCCAGGTGGTCTAACAAAAACGGTGTACAAAAAGCCACAGGAAAAGAAGGGGTGCAAATGTGGTCGAGCCACCCAAAATCCAAGTGTTCTTACATGTCGTGGCCAACGCTGTCCTTGTTACTCAAACCGTAAAGCTTGCTTAGACTGCATATGCCGTGGCTGCCAAAATTCATATATGGCTAATGGGGAGAAGAAACTGGAGGCATTTGCAGTGCCAGAAAAGGCCTTGGAGCAGACTAGACTTACCTTGGGCATTAATGTGACAAGCATTGCCGTGCGCAATGCCAGCACAAGTACCAGTGTAATTAATATGACAGGGTCACCAGTAGCAACGTTTTTAGCTGCCAGTACAAACGATGATAAGAACTTGGACGAAGCTATAGACATGAGATATGACTGCTGAGTCAATTTTTTTCTTTTTGATCTTTCTCTCCTGCCTTTGGTAGGGGGACTGCTATAATTTTGAGGGCAGCTATGGTTCTGTTTAACTTGCCGGAGCTCCTGCATTTAGATCACTTGTATCAAGTGTTTTTCATTGCTATGTTGTGTGTTAGTGTCTGGGAAATAGTTTGACGGTAATTGCGGAGTTACCCTGAAACTGTCTTTAGTTCTTACAGCACCTCATAGTTTCAGATCAAATGCTAATGTAAATGATTTATAATACACAATTACTTTTGGGCAAATATTGACCTTGTACCAGTTCATGCTTTGTGCTTAATCAGAGATTGATTGAATATACAGCAATGGTTTCTAGTCAGTCCATCACACTTGTGGTAATTTATTATGTACCCATGGTTAGAGTCAGTGTCGCAGGAAATCAGCGTCAAGCTCATGCTGCAGTTGTAGTAAAAATGTCACAGCCAGTCTTCTCATACCACGTTATTGTGGATAGGGAGATTAGTAATTGAGCACTTTAAACTTGTTCAAAAATTAAAGTCATTTTAATTTTCCATCTAGTGTATGTTGTCCTGAAGCAAAGAAAACTATGAAACTGGGCCCTCCTGTCAGATTTGAACACTCAAGATTCTCAAATATATGTTTCTTTTTCTCTAGAGTAATATTTCAGAAATAGTAATAGAAGTTCCATTGTCATGAAGCAGCCTTTGAAGACATTATTATTATTATTATTTTATTATTTTTGGAAGAATTTGCAGATTGATGTCACTAGTCTTTTGCATTATGTGTCATACTGTAAACGCTAATCTTCAAGATATTATTGTGGAGTTCATTATGAAATAGGTAATGTATATTTTGCAATGTGCTAGTTAGCTACAAAATAAAAGCAATTTAATTCTCATGCCAAAATTACTGAGACATCATTGTATATGTTAGTTTCTAGCTGTTGGCAAGAGCATACCTCCTCCCGCTTCACACAAACATGCTTGGAATAATAGCAGCATGATGACACTGTGAGGGCATTGACTTTCTGCTGAGGTCCTCCCATGCAGCTACTACTTCAAGAGCCTAGTGCCTGTTTCCCCCAGCCTTGCTTGCATAAATCTGCTCCTATCTGGGTGGAGTCCTGGATGGGATTAGACACCAGCTGGATGCACCAAGAAGAGACACAGCAGGGCATTGGTTGAAAGTGACTAACATGCTGCTGTGTACCCAAGTTTGGAACAGCAGGGATGTGCCAAGCATGGAATTGGTGTGGTGGATGTTGCAAGTTAATCTTGGAGCCCATCGGAGCTGTTCTACCTTCTGCTCCACATACAAGCTTTTGTCTTTAGCTTATTTCCAATTATACCATGAAAGAAACAGCAAACCGTAAAGCTGAAAATATACCACTTTGTATCAATCCTCCTATTGTTGAGATGTGTGCCTAGAACACGGTTAGCCAGTGTGGTAGCATCCCGATGTTAGATTGCAACTCCCATCATTCCTGACCATTGACCACGCTGGCTGGGGCTGATGGGAGTTGTGATGTACATCACCTGAAGGTCACCATGTTGGCTGCCTCTGGTCTAGCATGTAAGTTCTTCAATTTGCGTATCTATGGGCTGACTAGAATGGGAAAGATTACCCTGCTATTTTAAGGACAATAGTTCAATAACCTGTTTGAAGAGAAGTGATGCCAGAATTTCTAAAACTCCTTTACATTTGCCATCTAGTTGTTCATTAAGTGACATTGCCAGAGAATTATGACATTAGACACTTTGGATTTGGCACAAAGCATGTACAATGATGGTTACTAGGTCTGAAAAGTAAGCAAAAGGTTTTGGACACCAATTGGATGATGCCTCCTTTTTGTTCTGTAGTGTACCATGGTGTCATTTTATGTGAATGTGGTCAAATAGCGTTTTTGTTGGCTTTTTGGTTTGTTTCCCCCCTGTCTTTTCTGTGGGTAGGGCAGGGTGTGTGTGTTTGGGGGGGGGGGTTAAAGCCATAGAAAGAAGGATGTGATGTACGTGTTCCGTATGTACTTTTTTTGTTTCTGTTTTGCAAGAAGAGTTGAAAAATATTTTTGATAATGAGAGTAAATGGTGGAAAATGCTCTTTAGTATTCTCGTCTCTTTTTTTTGCCAGCCCAAACTCCTGAATTCTGTGTTTAATTTTGAGGTTTACTATGTCCTATTAAAACATAATTAGTTAAATATTTGTGATTTTTGTGTGGACCAAATGGGATCTGCCGTTATCTTCTTCAGTGTTCTAACCTTTACTTATTAGTGTAAATCCAATTATTATTTCAGTGTCTGTAAGAAGACTAATCAAACAAACCAAAAGCCTGGAGTGCTATTCCCACTGCCTGGGTATTTTCTGCAAATGTCTGTAGAACTGTTTTTTTTCAAGACTGCTACTAGTATAGTTCTGGAGCTCCAATATGTCATGAGTATGCCTTGGTCCCCAAATGTGGGAATGATTTCAATCTATCTCACAGCTATATTAAACAGTATTCCAGTAGCTGGTGATTAAAATCAACTGTTCTTTGGAACTGCTTATTGGAGATTCCAGATCTTTAATGTATTGCTGGTGGTAAATTCAGGTTTGTTTTAAAAACTAATTTTCTTCTACACTGCCAACATTCTTAAACTGTGTATTAAAAATTGAGCTGATTAATAAATGCCATTTTTTAATTTTTATTTTGTTAAACTACCCAGGGAAACAATTTGATACCATTTAATACTCTGAATACTTGGTTTCTAAAGGAGACTTTTTGTTTCATTTCATTAAAAGTTGTTTTGTTAATTTCCTGCAGCTTCAAAAATTTAATAAAGCAATGGGGATAACTCATGTTGGTAATAAGAGGACTGTCAAATCAATGATCTTGCATCCCTATGCTTGGGTGCCATTTTTTCTATGTTGCTTCCTAGACTGCTTTAGCAAAGAGGTGCTTCTATAGTCATTTGCCAGAAGGAACAAGAGGATCACTTTGGGCTGCTTTGCATATACATTATCTTCTTTTTTAAAAAAAAAATGTTGGTTGAAAAATAGTGTTTGTAAAGTACAACACAAGTGTTTTTCCCATAATAAAAAACACTTGCACTGCACTACAGAAATTACTGCCACGTAGGAAAATTACTAAAACCCGAGCATGGAGTCAAATGAAGAAGGCAGAAAAAGGCACTTTGGAGCAGCTGTGAGCACTTGAACACATTTTTAATTCTGGATTTATGTATCGGACCAGGTTTGTGTGATCCCAAAAGAAGTCCAATTGTGCAGAAATCAAGATTCAGGACAGGCAAAAGAATGTACCTCTTTACGCAGCACACAGTACAGGATGTAGCCATGGCTTTAAAAGAGGTTTATACGAATTCATGAACGATAAGGTCATCAGTGACTATTTATGTTCTCCCTCCATTTCAGGCACTGCTTTTGAGTACCAGTTGCTTGGATACCCAGGTAGGGAGAATGCTGTTACGCTGTCATGGCCCTCTGATTGGCCACTTTGTGAAAATAGGCTGCTGGACGAGATGGGTTTTTTGTTTGATCCAGCAGGCATTTATATTAATATGCTCTTACCTAATATATTGTAAATACTTCAAAATCAGAAAGGGTACTACACAGGCATTATAGATGGTAGCCGAATCTCACTCTTGAAGAAGAGTCGCTGCTACATTCCTAATTGCTCAAAAGCAGCACACCTGCTACCCATTGCTATCTGAGCTGTAGATCCAGGAGACGTACTCCATGGTGCAATTTTTTCTCTAGGGCAGTGTAACCTACCTCCCCTGCTTGAGCCAAGACTTTTCACTGATTTGATGAAATTGAAGAAATTTAATAATTAAAAATACAACAGGGTGTTGCAAATATATTGGCATTTCACTCCAAACTAACATCATTTTACCCAACCACTGTACATAAATAGCAGGGAGGGCAAGAAAGAAATCTTAGATTAGGCTACGAGTGGTTATGACAACAGTTGCTCTGAGCATGCTTCAGTAGGTAAAAACAACCATCTCAAAGCAGTGCCAATTCCGTTAGGTTCTTTGATGGTCTGTGATGCTGAGAGATGCTATAGTCCAGTGTAAATGGAACTGTTTAGTCATACAGGAATAAACCTGGATGAGCCTTGGTGTCACATAACGCTCCTCTTGCAGCACAGCCACAAGGAGATGTGAAGCATCTGCTTCCATTTTTAATCTCTGGTCTGTTGTTATATCCATCAAGGACAAACTGCTTAATCTCTGGTTTCTTAAAACAAGCCAGGGTCACACCATGGTTTCTTATCCTGGCTTGTTCCAAGAAACCGTAGTTTAACCACAGTTCCCAGGTCTGTCATAACAAGAAACTCCAGTTAATTTAAACCAGGAAGCCTTGCTTATAAAGTCCTTTATCATAAGCTAATAGCATCTGCAGTTAAAGGGACACGGGTGGCGCTGTGGGTTAAACTACACAGCCTAGGGCTTGCCGATCAGAAGGTCAGCGGTTCGAATCCCTGCGACGGGGTGAGCTCCCGTTGCTCAGTCCCTGCTCCTGCCAACCTATCAGTTTGACAGCACGTCAAAGTGCAAGTAGATAAATAGGCACCGCTCCGGCGGGAAGGTAAACGTTTCCATGTGCTGCTCTGGTTCACCAGAAGCGGCTTAGTCATGCTGGCCACATGACCCGGAAGCTGTACGCCGGCTCCCTCGGCCAATAAAGCGAGATGAGCACCGCAACTCCAGAGTCAGTCATGACTGGAACTAATGGTCAGGGGTCCCTTTACCTTTTTATCTGCAGTTAATGGTGCAGTCACAGGCAGTAATCCAACTTGACCAGATTTATAGAGCAATTCTTTACGTGCTTATTTGGGAAGTGCTTACCGGTGGTATGCAACTAAGTTTTATGGACCTAACTTAGAATGTTCATTAATTTCAATGAGTCTACCCTAAGCAAAACATAGTTGAATACCTTCCAGAAAGGAAGAATAGTATAATAAACATCTTTATTAATTTTCAGAAAACTTAAGTTTCAATATGACCTCACATAAACATCAAAATGAAAATATAAATGAAAACAATAATGACAATGATAATAACCCCCCAATTTACATTCAAACATGTAATTAACCCTCTGATATTGCATATCTCAGGTACGGGGAGAGCACAAAAGGAAATCGGTAAGTACAACCGAGCAACTACAACAGAGCAAGCAGTATCACAATCAAGGTAACGGTCTGATTATTTTTCCTCTTCACATGTTCAACAGTCCAACAACAGAGTCTTGTAGAGATTTTCACGACTGTAGACAAACCGTCGAAGTATAGAACCCAGAGATGAGTGTATGCCAAAGGAGGGGAGTAACTTTATTCTACTTCATAAACAATTTTTAAAATCCCTTTTGACCTCTCCACACTAACTGTCTGGGTCAGTTTTTCTAGAAGTACAATTTGCCTGATTTGGTACCAATGCTCAGTATTTACCTCTTTCAAATCCTTCCAGTGTCTAGCCACATGAGATCTGGCTGCCACTAATAAATGGCTAACAATTGTTTCCATTATGGCTAACAAGTGTTTCCATTATAAGTGTAAGTACTGGCCTGGAAGGCCAATTGTGGCATGAGATGAACCCATTGGCCTGTGATGAAACTAAGTTCCTGAAACACTTGCACCCAAAATTCCCGACCTCTTTACAATTCCATTACAAGTGGAGGCAAGTGCCCATATGTCAATTCCAACTTAGAGGGAAAGTCTGGGTACGTGTAAGATAATCTCCTTAAATACTGTCAATGGAGAAGTTTTAATTATGCCTTCCTAGCAGTTGCTGCCAGGTATTTAAAGGGCAGCTTAGACTTCAATGTATTACAGTCCTCTTGATTATGATGTTAAGGCCATGTTTCCACAGTTGATTTTTTTTTAAAAAAATATTTAATAGTGTACAAACTGTAAAAAGAAACACTTTAAAATCTGGTACACAATATTTTTAAATATCAATGAACAGCATCAATTGCCATTTTTATATATTGGATACAATATCTCTCATTGCTATTAGACTACCAAACAGCTTTTGCTCAAATTGCATGAGCTGGCAAGTAGCACTCTTTCTTGACTGCCAGTTTCAGAAGGAATTAATATTTGAAATGCCGATGAAATTATAGGAGATAACCTTGGTATTAACAACCCTGCCCTATGCTTCCAGACTCTGAACATTGCCATAGTAAAATGATTTATGATCTAGAAAAGTGAGTGCAATTTATGCTTTCAGAATGGAGGGATATTAATTGGGATTCCTTCTGCTATGGTCTTTGAACTAACACAACAAATGCTGTTTTATTCTAATTTATGTTAATTCACCCATTAACCTGGCTCTCTAATTGGGCTCACTGTTTCATTCTGTCTTCTAAAATAAAAGACTGATATCACATTTCTTATTTGGTTCACCTCATAATAAATCTCAACATTAAGGGCATCCCTTCCTGAGCTGGTTTAAATAAAATGGATTTCCTAATCAATGGCATTGTTGAGCCAAAGATAAATTTTCTTTCCTTTGCCATTTCTGAAGCTGCTTCTTGGGGACCCAAACTGGCAGGGTTTGAAAGAAATACAATAATGTTTTAAAAAATAAGCATCATGACTCCCACCATTAGACAGTCCATGATACTAAGATTGATTCTTCCCCATCTAACTACATGTTTATTAATTTGTTGTCACACGTTCCCATAACTGACTTTCTATAACTTAGATTCCTTGTAATATATATTCCCAAATACCAAATCTTAGAGTGACACAGCGGAATCTGAAACACTGAGGGAAGAGCTCTCCGAATCTTGGACATATGTACCTCCAGCTTATTAAAATTAACTTGGAACCCATTCACTTCCTCAGAAGTGCGGAGCTCTTTTTAAAAGCTGTGCCACCACATTTAACGACTGAGAGGTGGTCAGGCTTACGTATATCAATGGCACACATGCCTAACAAATAAGAAGTATTCCAAATATTGACTCCTTTGATATCAGGGCTGCTTTGAGAATTGGCATTCAATGTAATAACTTGTGTATTGCAATCCTATGCATGTTTATTTTAATGATGCTCCAAATTATGGGATAAATGGGGCTTGCTGTTTTAGAATTGCAAGATGATTGGCATTAATGTTTTATACTAATAGCAATCTGTATGTGACCAAAATGAAACTGACAAAAAGCATGCAATTCAAAAAAATTCTTACATAATGAAGTTGAAATAGATTGGATTTGGCACAAAGACCAGAATACACACCAGTCCAGATTGGGTTGCTCATTTGCTATCCTGTAGCCTTGCTCTTATTCCAACTGATTAAATGTGGTAGTAAATTCTGTAGCGTACAACGTCACTTATTTCAGACTCCATTCTAAAACTTTTCTTTTTAATTATTTCTGTTTCTGAGATACAGCACATTAATTCCTATCTTGTGGGGGGAAATTAATGAGACTCGCTATTTTTAAAAATATTTTTAATTGCAAAAAAGGAAATACAAAGGAAAATAGCTAAGGCAAAGCCTTGCCCAGCACAAGTAATCCTCGGACAACTGTGTCAAACAAGTTTCACAACTTTTTTTTTGTACATCTTAGTTCCTGCAAACCTTAACACATAACAACAAAGCATGTTAAAATACATGAATAAACATTAATTACAAGCATTTCTCCAAATTATTTCGTGTTTATAGTCTCTGTGACCTTCATTAAAAAATATTTTTGCATAGACTTCGCATACTGTGATACTCAAAGATATTCTTAGACCCAAGAGTTATTTTGGCATTGTGGATGAACTTTTTGGTCTTTTAAGGCTATATATTTTAAGCTAAACCCAAGATGCTCTTGGAGCGATCTTGGGAGAGCTTTTGTGTTAAATCCAGACAGTTTTGTCCAATTTTACAAAAAAACACTCTTACCAATGAACCTGATACTCGGCTCAGCTCTGTGCCTTCTGCACAATACTGCCTCTCAGTGGCGGCCCAAATAAAGTAGAAAAATCAGTTACAAAGTGCGTGAGGCACCTCCAAAACACGAACACTGCCTAAAAACTTGATACCAATTGCAGCATTCATTTTTAGTAACCATGTTTCTCTCTCATTCCACTTTAACCAGTGGAAGACAGACTTTGTCCCAATAGGCATTAAAGGACATGCATCACCAAACAAGTATTGCTTGAGCAGTTTATTGAAAGGAATTTCTGCAATATAGCAGTCTGAATTATACTAACCCCTTTCATATGAGGTAGGTGTTATTATTTCTACTCTTCAGACAAGAAATCCCATATACAGCATTAAGAGCAGATAAAAACAAAACGTTCAAAATTTGACTAAAAAATCCTTTACAGACTGTTGTCCAAAAAGGTATTTTTGCACACGTGCAAAAGTTCAACAAGCTTTTACTAGTGGTGCATAGCAGGTGCTTTGCAGAACTGGGAATAAAACATAGGGAGTCTAGCTCCTAGTTATGCTCCAATTAGGCTACAAGTATTCCATAAGAACATTTATTTTTACAATACAGAAAATTTTACAGTGTTTTTGAATACAAATTTGCATACAGTTGACCTGTCGACACATCATTCCTATTCAAATGTAGTGCTAAATGTAAGTGGTAACCTAACGGATTACCACTTATAAAATTATTCACTAAAGTTATCTGCATATCTACACTATTGGCTTCAAGTGAAACGATGCTAATAATTGCCTCTGCCATTTACTTTATGGCAAGTAAGATATGGCAGCTCAAGTTAACCTTTTTTTTTCAAAAATGAAAATAAGCATAATTGTGTTTAGCCAAAGAAGTATGCATAATTTTAAAACGGGGTGCCTCTAGAGCACCAGCGTAGCAGAACAACAGTTTAAATGAGTTAGCAATGGTGTGAAGTAGATCCTGGTAACACCAAGGAAACACTTTATGCGAAGCCTGTGCTTATTTAAGATGCTGTGTTTGGATTCTCTAGAGAAAACAGTTAATCACCCAAACTACATGGCGTGGGTGGAACAGGGTGAGGAACATATTGACACATTAACCCATTCCTGATTGGAATTGTAACAGGAGTGCAGTAAACCTTTCCAAACAGCAGACCAGTCTACAAACTTACATGAGACTAGTCTAAAGTCTTGTTCAGTACGCAGCTGTGTTGGGAGGCTGGACGTCACAGGTGCAGCATGGCAATAACCACTCTAATGTGGAATAATGCTAACTTAAAATAGTTGCTCAAAAATAATGGTGAAATCAGTGTCAGTTCCACTAAAAATACTAAAAAAAAAATATGCATTTTACCAACTCCTTTCTCCAATGTTTGCTCTATAATATGTAATAGTATATATAAAACCAACTGATGTACTAATGAAGAATTGCATGGAATCAAAGGTTTGGATAAAATCTTGTGAACTGTATAGCTAGCACAAATGCTATGAGATAAAATCTAATACTCTGGGGGAAATGAGCTGTGAACTGAATATTTCTTCCAACAACTCAGAATTATGGGATCCACCAATTTTCCTAAAATTACAAACCCCCCCCCCCAAAAAAAAAATCAGTGTGAATATAAATGGTATAGATGGCATGGAAATGAAAACATTTTCTGTCTTCTATCTTTATCACCAGCAGTCTTTTTAAAAAGTGATAAATCCCATACTTCTTTATCATTTGCACCATTTATCAGACTGTATATCAAGGGGTTTTCATTCTAGAACCCTTCTTATAAGCTCTGTTGCTAATACCTCGTCTGGAATTAAAACTTGATTGAGGTTATTTATTTATTTAAAATATATATTTATTGAAAACCAGCTTTAAAAATGTTAACTTGTTGTGTTTACAGAGAGCACCACAAGCCTCTGACCAAAAAACTTCCACTTCTCTAATTCCAACTACAAATGGTTTTGCTTAAGTAATTAGTAGTGTGGAAAAAGCGCTCTGCACAAGAACATGCCTTATGCTGAATCAGATCATTGGTCCATCTGGCTCAGAACTGTCTGGCAGCAGTTTTCCATGTTTTTACATGGGATTCTTTCCCAGCCCTGCTTGGGGATGCCAGAGACTCAGCCTGGGACCTTTTGCATGCAAAGCATGTGCTCAGACACTGCACCTGGCACTTCCATAAAATGGTGTATATGTGTATGCATGCGTACAGATAAAGAACACAGGGTAAAGTACAGGCCCCCTTCTGTTTGTGACCAAGGCAAATCACCGAGATGAACCTCAGAGCCCTCACACTGTAAGCGAGAGTCATACACCTGCATCAACAATCCAGGCAGATGCTCAAATACACTCTTCCAGATTGTTATTATACAATGCAGTATTCATGCTCCAGGACTGGCACTGAAATTAGGTTCCAAAACTCTAATACCGTTTTAACCTATAGCAGAGGAAGTTAAATTTGGTACGCCGGCATTTTTTAAATTTGATTTTGTATCTGAAAAAAGTGCAAACAATTTCCTATAATTCAATGCATGATTATTCCTATTATTTTAACACATTTTATTACAGAATTAAGACAAAAGCAAGTTCAATACCAAAGTATCCAAACTTACAATCCATACTGTTTAGCCTGCACAAACTATATTCATATTAAATGGGTTTGAACCAAGGCAATGCTTTTAAGTCTGGGATGCAAATCTCAGTGGCTTTCAAAGAAATTTAGTGCCTAATTCTAAAACCTGCTTTAGTGCCACACAACATTCCCCCATTGTGCAAATGAGGAAACACCATAATCTAGCGTTTTAATTTCTAAAGAGCAAGAACCACAAGCGAAGTTTGGGGGAGGTGAGGGTGTCACTGATTTTAATGGAGCTTTCTGAGCTCCAGTCAATTTTGCTGCTGTATCAGGGTTTTTGTTTAATATTTGGCAGGGCATATACCCTGCACCTCTCATTCATGAGAGGTTCACACCCTAGATTTTAGTTTTAAAAGCTAAAAAAAATGGTGAACAATGCAGGAAAGAGCTATGCTATTTCTTGCAGCAGTGTTTTGGGTTATTTCCTTGCAGTAACCGCTTGATTATGTGGGGATATATGTGACATGATCTTTCTACAGAGATATGTAGGAGTATTGCATTCACTAAGATTAAACATGTACGAGGGGCTCTTGTACTTTGTTGGAAAAGCCGTAAGAAAAAGAAAGCTCCTCCTGTGGAGAGAGGCAATTAAGATCAAATAGCCTGGATTTTTCTAGAATAAACTTTAAAAAACAAACAAACCCAGTAGCTTTATATTGGATTTGAATAAACTCTTGGGGACCCCCCCCGCCTATTCATTGAAAATCTTCCTGTGATGCTTATCCAGTGGAGTAATCTGAAAATATTTCTAGGAAAACATGTAGTTTTTGTCACAATTATGTAGCAAGGTGAGAAGGAAGCTGAAGGTTCAGTTTCTAAGTATAAAAAGAAGAGAAAAGAATCCATGAGGCAGGAAATAATTTCTTCAACTTGTTTTAAATTCTTTGGTTTTCTACAACCATGGATTCTTTTCAATCCTTTCCATGCTTCGTTGTACAGTGTAGCCCTTCTAGCTTCTCCACAGTTTCTAAATATGCCTGCGGAAGCCCACCCATATCCACACACATTACCATACTGCTGGAAGTTACCAAACTGCAGAAGCAAGTAATTATTTTTTTTAAAAAAAGATGGTGTTACGGTTTCAAATGTTGGTTATTTTCTCAAGGAAAAGAATGAAGTAATTCCTGAAATGTAAGAACTGAGGACTCTCCCATTTAATATCTACAGACCTTGGAGACACTTCTTCAATATGTTTAGGTTGATAGATCTGAGATAACTAAGTGGTCTGACTTTTCTTCAATTTCAGGTAGTGATAAGAGTTCATCTGTTTCATAGTCGTCATCAAAAGATCTACAAAAAGGAAGAAAGATATTAAGAATGCAGATGGTTTACATGTTTGGTTATAACTGAGGTCTTTTACTTGGATAATTTTTCAGTAAGTAAAACAGCTATAAATCTGAGGTATTTATAAAGGCGTAGAGAGCAGAAATGTAAGTAGTGTATCCAAATGGCCATGATGATTCCATTTAAATCTTTAACGTATAACATGCTAAAGCATTTGGTACCACTGCTTACGAATTTTTCACTTTATCACCTTAATACATTTTGTAGAAGGCTCAAAACAACATGCAAAAGAAGCCGATTTCTCTGCCCTCATACAGGGGTACCTTGGTTGTCAAACTTAATCCATTCCGCGAGTCCGTTTGACTCCTGGAATGGTTCAAAAACCAAGGCGCGGCTTCCGATTGGCTGCAGGAGCTTCCTACACGCAATCAGTAAGCCGCGTCAGACGTTTGGTTTCAAAAAAATGTTCGCAAACAGGAAGACCCTCTTTTGCTGGAGATAATCTCCAGGTATAGGCAAGTGCATCTGTGCTGCTCATTGTGGGAGACAGTTGCCGGGGAGAGGGAGAAATAGGGGTCCCTGAAATGCAGTTTTTTCCAGAGGTATGCTGGACAGAACAGGATATACAGAACAGGCTTTTTTCAGAGTTTGGCCCTGGAGAAGAAAAGTGCTTTCGCTGATGTGAAGGTGCTTCCAGAATAACCATACTAGCATAAAACATTGCTTATCTTCACTCAATCTTGCTTACCAAAGCCAACTCCTGAAAGACACATTTTAAGTCATAGCAATTTTCTGTGTCAGTGCCTGGTAGTGTACTATAAACTAAAACATAAGGAACACAAAGCTCTTATCCTTTCTCTGCCAAGGCTGAGTTGCCTCTGGGCATGCTTTTAATATGCCAGGGAAGCTTTCATCTACAAAGAGTTAGCAATATGAATTCATCAATAATACACAAATCCTTTGGTTGAAAAAAAAGATTGTAACATTTCTGCCAGCATAGTTTAGGAACAGTTCAGCTAATTGCTTTGACATTTTGTAGATACAGTAGCAAACAGTATAACTATCAACTAAGGAATGACACCCTAAAAGACTATGTCATATGTGTTTATTGTCATAGTCAAACAGGCTTGCAGTGACATTCCAAGATTAGTTATTTAGTAACTCATTTTATTGTTCATAAACATGTTTCTCTGTTTTAAATAGTTTATCTTTTTCATTTTGCTTCAAAACAACTGTTCATCTTCAAACGTACGAGTTTTGAGGCTTCTGGGAGTAGCAATTATAACCACATTTTGCAGATATTGACACTCACCCTTCTTGTAACTGTTCATTGCCAGACTCTTCAGCAACAAGAATTTCGTACTCCTCAGCAGCATATCTGTCCCAGTCAGAGGGTTCAGGACCATCATTTTCAACATCCTAAATAAATATGTGAGAAAGAAACATGAAAACTGAACAAACCAAGTCACTTTCACAATATCCATATTTGCAATAACTAGGATGCCTTTGAACAAATACACACAAACACACAGTCTCAGGGCAATGACCATTCACTTTCCTGGTAAATTGCATGGGAAATTCAAACTCTGAAGAGTACAACTACTGAAAACTAGAAATAGAAATGGCAAACAAATTATTTTTCATACGCTATACCTCTGCGTACATTTCTTTATACACTTTTAACTTAATGCCCCAGAACACTGGACTGAGGCATTTCTTGTCTACAGTAGACCATTGACTTCAGAAGGGAAATAAAAGCGATATAGTTCTCTTCTGTGAAACTGTTTAAACTTGTAATGAAAGGTAGTTACAAATTCTTCACCAATAGTTGTTTTTTAATTAGGTGAATAAGGATACAGGGGTTGCTATATGAGGGGAAAGGATAACTTAGCTACCTCTTGTTGTCCCTTCCAGTTCAAAGAGTTCTAATAACGCTAGCCATATAAGCCCGGAAAAGAGATTCTTGTATCCTACTTGATGTTCTAAATTTGTAGACACTATATACCCCATCTAATAATTGTCACTGAATTGGATAAACTTGCCAAAGATCACATTCAAGATAAGTGAAAACAGTCTAGGTTTCTGTTCCTTTGAAATACGTACTGAAGAAACTGTTACTGTTACATATAGATTTTACCATTTATGTATGCTGCTCATTTATCAGAATCATTTTAAGTGTTAAGGAAGAATAATGTGCAATAGGCCAATGTACAAAGGCCTCATGACACCAAGCAAGCAGGGCTTTAATCATTTAATTTCTGCTGAAGATGCAGAAATGTCTTGTCATTACTTGTCCTAGTACCTGATCAAAGAATAATATAATGGGATATTACACAACCTTTCCAGATACTAAGCAAATTTAACCAGCTCTTCTTCCTCTTATATTTTCTGGGGTTACTAAGCATACATTTAGGAAAATTTCTGTTCTAAATACATCGTTTTGACCACTGCCACCATATTTCATAGTATATTCTTTTGGGAATGAAAGTATCCATCTCTTGATGAAAGTATCCGTCTCTTGTTCCTTTCCAGAGTAGAACTCTCAGAGCAATCACTATTTCGGAACTGCTTTATACCTTCTGCACAGCAAAGGGATCCCGCTGTTCATTGTCCAAGTACTTTTCCAGGTTAAAGAATGTGTTGTAAAATACATGAGCCATTCTGCATCTTTTCAAGTCTCGCAAAGTTACCCTTCCTGCAAAACCAGAACACATTATTTTATTATCAGTCTAGCAGTTCTCAGTAGGACTGGGGTGTCAAGGCTTCTGGGTTACAGGTCATGTGGAAAATAGTATTTAAAGATTTATGAAGAAATGGGAGATGGCCTTTCAGGCCAGATTCACCCATTCTTTTAGGTGATCTATTTTCAACACAGGGTGACAAATTTGTTAACTCAGTTTGAATCAGTATGTGCCAGTGGCATGCAAAAATCCAAGTTCTGTATGCCATGGAAGTGAGATGATGATGAGTTTATATAAGCCCCCCCTTTTTTTTACAAATTTATGCTCAAAAGCAGTTTGCAACAAGATAGTTGCTGTGAACAAAGTTTCCCCTAGTGCTTGATCACCGGGAGCAAATTCAAATGTGTTCACCCAAAAAAAGCCAACATATTTTGAAATAAGTTTCTCAAATACTTTTGTGGACAAGGCCTTTCAAGTGTGCACTGCCTTGATTGGCATCACTATCAGGTCTGTGGGTGAGAGATCACACAGATACATTATATCGGCTGTGGGGAGGACTGCAGGGCCTGCTCCCTTCCAGGGCCTTTTCCAACTGGCCCAGGCCCTCTCTCCCAGCTATAAAGGGACTCCTGCTGCAGTGAGGCCTCGGACCATCGGCTGTGGGGAGGACTGCAGGGCCTGCTCCCTTCCAGGGCCCTTTCCAACTGGCGCAGGGGGCGTGGCCCTTATTTGGAACAAACTTTGGGGGAAGTGTGGGAAGTGTTCTGCCATTGCTTCCCTGTTCCAGGTGGTTAATGTGCTTTAAAATGTCCTCAAGCAGTCAGTGGCAATTTCAATTTTTATTTCTTTTTTCCTTTGTTGGGGGTGGGTGGGTGGGATGGATATTTGGTTGGGGATTAATTTTAGTATAATTGTTCTGTTCCTTTTTTTGTCGTTGTTTTATTGGTTCTGTATAGTTTGTGTTTTGTTTTAAGGGGTGGGATCAGGGCTGCCTGGGAGTGGGGCCCCAGCCGACACGATGGCTGGGACAAGTTCCACAGGGGGGGAGCACTGGGACATCCGATCTCGGTGATCGTGGGCAGGAGGCGGAGTTACACTAAGACCAGACCATGTCATTACCGAGGAGGCAGGTTTAGTCGTTGTTTGAAGACTATCCCTGCCTCCGGGTCTGGCCTTGACCGGATGGATACTGGAATCAACAGGGGAAACCCACATGACCTGAAGGTGTTGCTGTGTAATGACAGGTCAATGATGAATAAAACCACTGCCATCCACGATCTGATTGTGGATGGAGGATTTGACCTGGCATGTGTGACAGAGACCTGGTTGGAGGAAGCAGATGGGCCTGTCCTTGCCGCTGCTTGCCCACCAGGTTTCTCTTACGCACAGCAACCCAGGTCATGTGGGCGGGGAGGGGGTTGCAGTGATTTTTAGGAAGTCACTAGCTTGCACCAGGCGTCCTACTGGGAAGATCCAGTTTTCTGAGTGCATGTTCTGGAAGTTGGGCAATAGGGGCAGTACAGGATTCCTTTTGGTGTACCGACCTCCCCGCTGCACCAAGGATTCCCTGTCCGAGCTGCTTCAGGTCGTGGCGGATTTTCTCCTGGAGACACCTAGTTTGGTTGTCCTAGGGGATTTTAACATCATGCCGACACAACCTTACAAGGGGCTGCTCGGGACTTCGTGGAAAGCATGGCCTCCATGGGGCTGCCCCCGAATAAGTTTGGCCCAACTCATAGTCATGGACATGCCTGAGACCTGGTGTTCACCTCTAGTGACGTGGGTGATCTGACACTAAGTAAAAGTGAAACAAAAGAAGTGCCATGGTCAGATCACTTCCTGGTGCAACTGGACTTCTCCGCGACCCTTCCCCTCTGCAGGGAGGTGGGACCAATTCGGATGGTCCGCCCCCGCCACTTAATGGATCCAAATGGTTTCCAGAGAGTGGTAGGGGATGCTTTATCCCATGTTGATGGCCTTTCAGCTGATTCCCTGGTGGCCCGCTGGAATGCGGAGTTAACCAGGGCTATCGACTGTCTGGCTCCGAAGCGCCCTCTCCGATTGCATGGAGCCCGGACAGCCCCGTGGTTTTCTTCAGAGCTGAGGGCGATGAAACAATCATTGAGACGGCTAGAGCGTCGGTGGCAGAAAACTCACTCCGAATCTGACTGGACACAGGTTAGAGCTCAACATCGAGCCTACCAAGTGGCGATAGCGACGGCGAAGAAGACTTTCTTCACCACCTCTATTGCATCTGCAGAAAATAGTAGCAGGAGACTCTTTCAGGTGGTTTGCAATTTAACGGAACCACCTTTACCACCGGGGCCTTGTAAAGACCCCAAGATCTCCTGCAACGATTTTGCAAAGTTTTTTGCAGATAAAATCACTCATATTCGGAAGGAGCTAGACACCACCGTGGGAGCAGGTCTGGGGCGGGAGAGTGTAGAGCTCTGTCTGGTCAAGTTGCATGGAATCAATTTCAATCCGTTACCCCCGAGGATGTGGACAGGCTGCTTGGACGCGTGAAACCAACCACCTGTCTCCTTGATCCTTGCCCATCCTGGCTAATAAAAGCAAGCCGGGAAGGGCTGGGCGATGGGCTCTGTGGGGTGGTGAATGCTTCCCTCTGTGAGGGAACATTCCCAGATCCGCTGAAAGAGGCGGTCATTAAACCGCTTCTTAAAAAACCATCTTTAGACCCGGCCAGTATGGCCAACTATCGCCCAGTCTCAAATCTTCCATTCTTGGGCAAGGTGATTGAGCGCGTGGTTGCTGAACAATTCCAGGCACGCCTGGAGGATGCGGACCATTTGGATCCCTTCCAGTCGGGATTCAGGCCTCATCATGGGACTGAAACTGCCTTGGTCGCGCTGGTTGATGATCTCCGGCGAGCTAGGGACAAAGGTGAGAGTTGTTTCCTAGTTCTGCTGGATCTCTCAGCGGCCTTTGATACAATCGACCATAACATCCTTTTGGACCGTCTAGAGGGGCTGGGAGCTGGGGGCACTGTTATACAGTGGTTTCGCTCCTTCCTCCTGGGCCGTGTTCAGAAAGTGGTGGAGGGGGATGAGTGTTCAGACCCCTGGGCCCTCACTTGTGGGGTGCCTCAGGGTTCCGTCCTCTCCCAATGCTTTTTAACATCTATATGAAGCCGCTGGGAGAGATCATCAGGGGGTTTGGACTGGGTGTCCATCAATATGCAGATGATACCCAGCTCTACCTCTCTTTCAAATCAGAACCAGTGAAGGCAGTGAAGGTCCTGTGTGAGTGCCTGGAGGCGGTTGGAGGATGGATGGTGGCTAATGGATTGAGGTTGAATCCTGACAAGACAGAAGTACTGTTTTTGGGGGACGGGGGCGGGCTGGTGTGGAGGACTCCCTGGTCCTGAATAGGGTAACTGTGCCCCTGAAGGACCAGGTGCGCAGCCTGGGAGTCATTTTGGACTCACAGCTGTCCATGGAGGCGCAGGTCAATTCTGTATCCAGGGCAGCTGTCTACCAACTCCACCTGGTACGCAGGCTGAGACCCTACCTGCCCACGGACTGTCTCGCCAGAGTGGTGCATGCTCTAGTTATCTCCCGCTTGGACTACTGCAATGCGCTCTACGTGGGGCTACCTTTGAAGGTGACTCGGAAACTACAACTAATCCAGAATGCGGCAGCTAGACTGGTGACTGGGGCGGCCGCCGAGACCACATAACACCGGTCTTGAAAGACCTACATTGGCTCCCAGTACGTTTCCGAGCACAATTCAAAGTGCTGGTGTTGACCTTTAAAGCCCTAAATGGCTTCAGCCCAGTATACCTGAAGGAGCGTCTCCACCCCCATCGTTCTGCCCGGACGCTGAGGTCCAGCGCCGAGGGCCTTCTGGTGGTTCCCTCATTGCGAGAAGCAAAGCTACAGGGAACCAGGCAGAGGGCCTTCTCGGTAGTGGCGCCCACCCTGTGGAACGCCCTCCCATCAGATGTCAAAGCGATAAATAACTACCTGACATTCAGAAGACATCTTAAGGCAGCCCTGTTCAGGGAAGTTTTTAATCTGTGATATTTTAGTGTATTTTTGGTTTCTATGGAAGCCGCCCAGAGTGGCTGGGGAAACCCAGCCAGATGGGCGGGGTACAAATAATAAATTATTATTATTATTATTATTATGTCTCACCATGCATTTAGAGAACCTTATAACACCATTTTGTATTAGTGGCATTAGCAGTTCATGGCTCTGCACCTACTTGCTGAGCCACCTCTAAATGCCCGGAGAGTGAAAATAAAAGCCTGTTTGGTGGTGGTGGGAACCGATCTCTACCATTTTTTTGCTATTACTTTGAATGTTAACTAAGGAATTGAATGAGGATGCAAAGCCTAGGAGGTTGGTAAAGACCACTACTTGGCTCTGGGTCTCCCATACACAAGGAATCTTATCACTTGCTTGGATCAAGTGTCCTGCTGGTGACTGCCAAAGAAGTGATGCAGACAGAGTAAGATAACTCTTCAAAGGGGTCTGGGAGATCAAATATATCTGAGAGATCAAAGATAATCATACTCCCAAGAAACGGTCAGCAGTGTAGATGAATATTATTGTATAAATGGGCCTTACCCTCACACTCTGGCTTCACTAGATCAAGCATTTGGCACAGTAAGTCATGGAATGGCAGTGGCTCAATGCCCATGGATTCCATCCTCTCACACTGCTCCTCGTAAAAATACTCCAGTTCATACATGGAGAGCATGCCATCCCCATCCAAGTCCATGCAGCGGAACCAGTATTCAATACTAGGGAAAGGGGAATGAATAAGATTTGTTTGTAGCAAAGTTGGGGCAAGCAATAGTTCTAACAAAGAACCCTTATTGAGACAGCTTTCATATGCACAGTGAAGCTTTGTCCAGACTCCTTCCTTATCATGCCTTTCATTGGAAATTTCAATCTAGAAATTCAGAGCATGAGCTAAGATATATAATACCCTCAGTTGCTCAGTGACTCAAACTGCAATAGTTCTCCATCCTTGAGAGAAATTACAAACTGAGATGTTCACATTTAGCAGCAAAATACAGGATAAAGAAGACGTCTAGATAAATTCAAAGCAGAGGTGATGCTATAGCAGTGTGACTAACTATCAGAACAATGTGTTTCTGATCTTCATGGCTTGGTAGCCACTGGGGAGTGGCTCCTTTTTCTACCACAAAAGTAAAGCCTTCTTGGGCCATGTGGAAAGAGCTACACTGCAGCTCATTCCTTCGGTAGCACTAATCAGTTTATGTCAATGTCCCTAGCATCTGCACATATTGTTTTAGCTCTACAGTTAGAGTGTACTGTGAAATATATTTTGGACAGTTTTGTGATTTGAACACAAAGTGGTATATCCAATGTAGCGCTTGGACAAGGGAAGTTTCCCACCACAGCCCTCTATGTCTCCCAAAAAGCTTCCCTGGTGTTGCAGGGTCCTAAGGGCTGCAATGGAGTGGAACTTACTCCTAGTTCAAGTTCTTTATCCAGTGACAGCCAGGGCACTCAGTCTCTATTACACACCTGCATATTACAATTTTTTTTTAATATTACATTTATATTTTATATACAACATAACACTAAGGAGATCATCACATCGGTGCAAGCATTTCACTTGCCAGGCAGGACAATCTCCCCCTCCTTCCCCTAAGTGCTGTTCTGAGTGTTTCCCCAACCCCACCAGAGTCAATTGGGCATGGGGGCATGAGGAGAAGGAGGGGCAAAAAGCCCCACCGCACTCGTGGAAGACGCTTGTGTTGGCTTCCACAAGCAGGACTCACTAACTGAATCATTTCCATTGTGTTTTTTAAACAGCATGCTTGTGACTGCCAATATCATCATCTTCTCATTCCTCCCTATCCCCAGCACATGATTAGCAAGTGACACATGAGGCCAAGCCTATGGAAGTGCTGTATATGTGTGTAGAGTGCACAGGAAATGTTAGGACAAGTAACAAGAACAAAAAGAAACCATGAGGCAGTCTCATTTGGCTGCAGCTGTGCTGTATACAGTGGTACCTCTGGTTAAGGACTTAATTCGTTCCGGAGGTCCGTTCTTAACCTGAAACTGTTCTTAACCTGAGGTACCACTTTAGCTAATGGGGCCTCCCGCTGCCACCCGATTTCTATTCTCAGCCTGAAGCAAAGTTCTTAAACTGAAGTACTATTTCTGGGTTAGCAGAGTCTGTAACCTGAAGCGTCTGTAACCCGAGGTATCACTGTACAGAAGTTTATCCTTTCCCCCTATTTTCCTGTCAAGAATACCTTCCTGGCAGTTGCTATTTGCCCCTGGAGTTACATAACATATACATTTAACAACCTGCAAACTTTGTATATATGTTCCTTCACTCCACCTACTCCAAATTTCTGGATGACTTATCTCACCTTGTGGGACTTCTTTTGTCTTCTTCAGAAATTAGAAGCCATACAAAGTCTGCATAGCTCATGTGGTTTTCTTTGTGCACTTGAATTCCTCTGAAACAGATTTCAAACACTTGCTGAAGTTCACATGACAATTTTTTTAAAAATAGATGTCTGAATACATCTCAATATTTCACTTTCAATTCCTTAGAGACCCCATGGATGTGTTAGTGCTGGTTACCCACTCCCTGATTCTTTGAAGTTCAACACTATTTAACTTGAAAGTGTAGCCTAGAGAGCAGATCAGAAACAGCAAACTAACAACCCAAACATGACAACTTTTAAATTAAAACAGACCACATTCTCTCAGCATCAAGATTATGGGCTGTTTATATAATCATTTATGTTGTACAAAGTCTCCATGTGGCAACCTTTCCCTGACATTCCAGGAAGATAAAGCTTTCTTATGAATGTATCTAAAATACAGACTGGGAAAGGTTTATAGTTCAGTAACAGCGTGTGTGTTCAATCCACTGTATCTCAGGCTGAAAACAGTTTATTCTGGATTGAAGACAGAAATCATTCCTGGAGATTTTCTGATGGATGACGTGAAAGGGTCAGGGAAATTTCGCATCACAATAAAAAGTGCAATTGAGCTTTACATTTTGTTTCTCAACACTGTAGAGTAGAGATATTTCAAAAGAGAAATAATGTCCATGGCAGCCAATGTGAGCATTACATGTGCCTTAGGAAATGAGATCATAGGAAGCTAAGCCGAGTCAGATCATTGTTCCATTTAGTTCAGTATTTTCTGCACTAACTGGCAGTGGCTCTCCAGGGTTTCCACCTGGGGACAATCCTAGCCCCACCTGGAGATGTCAAGAGATTTTAACCTTCTGCAAGCAAGATCTACCACTGAGTTTTGTACCTTTCCCTCCCTTCTCTAAATGATTTAAAACAAAGCCAATTTAAGCTGCACATCTGAAGCCACCCCCAGACAAGGAATCAAAGTGATTATACCCTACATTGAACTTCCTGAATCACATTCTAACTGTTATTTCAAAAATTAATTTTCTTCCTTCGATCTTAATTGTTCCTCACTTTCTTACCTAAGCACAGCTCCACTGAATATTCTCTCTATAATCCTGTTTGACAGAGCTGTAGATGAAGAAATAAGGATTAGGAACAGTTTCAGTTCTTGAATGTGTTTGCAATCATTCTAACAATTGTTGCTTTTCCCTATACACAAGTGATATCTGTGCAGAAGAATAATCATATGAGAAGTGAGTGGCTTTCAATCATGTGCAAAACACAACAGAAAAATGATTTTCCTCAGTGGCCATGTTTTTACTATGTATCAAATAAATGCCTTAAAATAGTTTTGATTCTGAATACTTTTGATCTAGTCATTCTGTTGCTTCCTGATGGCTAGATACAATGGGCCACATCAACCGCCACCCACTCCCAGATACGGGTAAGAGGTTATTCCATGACCAGGCCTGAATCCAGATTGGAATGGATTTAAATAACCTGGGTCCTCCAAGAATGCTTGCAGTTGCTCCACCATGGCTCTATCCATCACCCTCTCCCAGAAAGGATATTGGCAACTAGTTGATAGCTGTTCCAATCCGAAGGGTCCAGAGCTGGTTTCTTTAGCAGCGGTTGCACCACTGCCTCTTTCAACGCAGCAGGGACCACACCATCACATTGCAAAGCGCTAACTACGCTCTGGACCCAACCAGTCAGCCCCACTCTACTAGATTTGAGAAGTCAGGAGGGGCAAGAATCGAGGGGGCATGTGGCCAGATGCATTGCCGCAAGTATCTTGTATGCATCAGTTGATTGCATAAGGTGAACCTGATCTCACAAAATATCCTTGACAAGATTATCAGCTTTCTCCACTGGACTCCCCCCCCGAAAAAAAAAGCATTCAGGAACACATCAGGTTCCATCAGTTTCTGAGGGCAGACCACCCAAACAGGCCCATCACCCTTACAGGAAAGAACTGCCACCATCAGCCCCTCTATCTTTAGTCCATCCTCATATCACTTGGGGGCAAAGATCACATCAAGAGTGTGCCCTGCCTGGTGTGTTGGACTGATGAGCATCTATATGAAAGGCAATTTGTAACATTTTAATGCTTCAATCCACAGCAGATTCGGGCCAAAATTAACCCATAGCGCTACAGCAAAGTTTGAGATGGTAAAGGATATGGTGCCTGTTCATAGTTTTAACTTTTTACATCTCTTTCCCTACAAGCTTATGGCATAATAGACACAGCCTTGTCAACTGAACAGGGAAAAGCTATATCCAATCCAATTTTCCCAAGAGCATGGACTACTTTATTGCATGCCTATTTTGCATAATAATGACATGACTGAAGCACAGCAAGAGATATGCAAGGGTTTTTTTTGTAAGAACATGAAGAAAGAGAGATCAAGTTTGGTAATCTGGGGTGCCCATTATTTTATATTAGTAACAACCACCTCCAGTGCCTCTCTTGCTCTGCTTACCTTGATCATTGTATCTAGCCAGATCTTTCTGGTTGATGTAGAGATCATGGTCAGTGTCCAGTTCCCAGAATTTACAGTAAATAACATAGAAGTGCTCATAGGAAAAATAATCAGTGATTTGATTTATGTCTTCCTCTTCCTCCAAGAGAGCTAGGGTCTGAAAAAATGAGAATAAATTCATTCTAATTTCCATAGGCAGAAGGCGCAGACCAAGAACTGTGACTAGAATGATATCTTGTCAGTCTTTGTTATTATTCAATAAATACCTTAAACAGCAAAAGAACTGTATGAAACATTAAACTTTTACTTTGTGATTATTTTAAAAATCCACAAACAAGCAAAATTAATACTTGATAGAGTTTTGTCACCATGTGCTCATGTGGCTACTATAGTCCTTACTGTGTCATATCTATCATCCTTCAACACTAGAAATATACAAATCTGTCCAGATCCTCTTTTATTAACTTTTGCTAAATCCAGCTATAAAACTGAAAACACTGAACAAGCTATGGGAACAACTAATATTATTTACTTAAGTCCAATTGTTTCAATTGGTCTACTCTGTGTAACAATGGATATCACGGAAAGTATTTTAGAAATACTTGTTGCTCATAGGAATAAAAAAGAAAAATAGCATACCTGCAGAAAGTTGCTTTTCCTCAACTCTGTTAGGGATATTTTCCCAGACCAGGATCTATTGACTGTATAGAATATTCTTTGAATAACCTGGAAAAAGATTAAATACAATTCTCAAAACTGGACTTATTCTGAGTGATTAAAAAAAAACAACCAAAAACCCCTCAAAGTCCCATAAGTCTTGCATCCTGTTTCTGACAGCAGTCAGTGACCAATATTTAAAATCAACAAAACAGACTACATGTAAACAACAAAAATATGTACGTATATAGTCATAGAGGGATCTAAAATACCCAAAGGTAATCTCAGGGCAAGAGCAGGCTGATATGGGTATAGACAGTCTTTCAGATATTCAAATCCAAAGCCATGTTGGGCTTTAAAGGCAAGCACCAACACTTTGAATTGTGGTCAGAAACAGTCCAGAAGTCAGTGTAGCAATATAAGTTCCAGAAGATCTGGTCAGTAACTTAGTCACTGTGTTTTGGACTGACTGCTATTTCCAAGCAGTTTTCAAAGACAGCCCTGCATACTACAGTGGTACCTCGGGTTAAGAACTTAATTCGTTCTGGAGGTCCGTTCTTAACCTGAAACTGTTCTTAACCTGAGGTACCACTTTAGCTAATGGGGCCTCCCGCTGCCGCCACGTGATTTCTGTTCTTATCCTGAAGCAAAGTTCTTAACCTGAGGTTCTATTTCTGGGTTAGCGGAGTCTGTAACCTGAAGCGTCTGTAACCCGAGGTACCACTGTATAGGGTATTACTAGCCTATCACTTTGGACAACTTAACAAAGACTGTAGGGAAGGGAACAAGATGCTAGGGGTAAACATTATTATGCCATTTGACAATGTGAATTACTTTCCTTGTAACACTGAGTACAGCTCAGAATGAATCACGAACCTTTTCTTAGACAAATGCTGACATCTTGTACATGAATTTAACCTACCGTAGTAATGTAGCGGGAATGGAATTCTGGGGCATCCTTCAGAAATGTCAGCCCAGGATGAGTTTCAACTACATCCTGAAAGATATCAAAATTATGTAACACAGAAAAGTTAAGGAGAAATGATACAACACTGTCAGCAGTTAGAGTATAAGAACATATGCTGGATCAGACCAAAGGTCCATCTTGTCCAGCATTCAGTTCTCACAGTGTCCAACTAGATGCCATTGGAAGCCCACAAGGAGAACTTGTGCAGGCAACTGCTCATAGCAGCATTATAAAAGCTACCGTCTTTAATGAAACCTTTAAGATTCATAGGTAATGCACACCTGCTAGGCTACCATTTTGAGTTACTTTAAAAGACAGAAAAATAAAACATAAAAGTCAGTAAGCAGGCAACAATGTATTTTCAGTCCACATTCACAAAAGGCCACATAAGCAGTACTCCCTGTGTGTGTTCACATGGAACCTCCTCCTCACTGTCTTAGTTGTGCCCCTACAAACACTGAAGATCCTGTCAGTGCCTCTCTCAGCAGGGCATCCTGCTATGCAGACTCAGACTGGCTTTCGTTTGCATGTTGCTTAACTTCAGATCACAGTGAGTGAATTAAGCTGTGGCTCTCTGGGTAGAGTATATTGAGGAGGAAAGGGATGACTTCTTCAAAAAAATTTGGGTGCTTATCTAAAGGGTTTTTTCCTCTAATTCATAAAATGACACTTATTAGCAAGTCACACAAACCTGCAGTAAAGGGATGAAATCTTCTTGTTCCAAATAGTTGCTGCTGGGTTTTGCTAAAAGGCAAATGAATTTTGATGCATCATCATGGCAGTTGTGTAGTATCCTACAAAGGAGAAATAAGACTGTAAAAGTACTCCTATCGATTTGGATTCCCAAAGAATCAAAATCACACGGCTTTCTCATTCCCAGCTACAACTGCATTTGTTCACATTCACCTATTTGTACACTTATCTCACCCTTTGTAACCTCTATTTGTCTTTCACATCATCTGTTTTATACTGTAAACCTCTTGGGGCTGGGGATCTGACTATTTTATGCTTATGAAATTCCATATAAAGCATCATGTACATTGATGAAGCAAAAATAATACGGTGAATAATAATAGTATTAACATTAAGGATCAAAGTAGACATAATGCTAAAGACGTCTCTGGAAGTTGACTCTCACTTTCTCTTTTTATACTCTAAATAGCCATGACAAGGGTCCCAACTGGGATCATGATTGCACTGCACAAGAAAAGAAAGGTTAACACTTCCTTCTGCTGTAGTCCAACAAAAATAGCCACCTGCAGTTATTTGGGAGTTGCTTCACAATGGCAACTAGAGTAAAACGAGAGAGGTGCAATTTCCAGTGATATACTTAGTGCCACTTCTAGGTCAGCCTTGAAGGCTGATTGTGGAATGTACACAGATTCATCCTCATGCACCAGAAAGCACGCATAAAGTAATGTAAGAACAGTTGTACACATGAATGTTTTGGCTTCTATGCCAGGTGGATTTGTTTCCTAATTCATTAAATTGGGACCAAAATATACCGTACATGTACTCTTTTGATCATTTTTCACAGTACTTTATATATACTCTTTGGTATATAAGCGTAAATAATGTACAGCACATTTTGTGATAATGTCTTCAATAAGTACTACACAGATCCATTAGAATGCTGTAGCATTCAATTTATTCTCTTGACTGTTAAGTAAAAGTAATACAACTTCAGACAGACATTCAATAACAAGAATAGCCTGTATTCTATTGAGGTTAACAGTAAGGCCCTTGTTAATTTCAATGACTCTCTATGGATCCAGAGTGAAGCACAGTCTCTGCTTGCAAAAGTTGCCTCAGACATTTCGTCTCCTCCTCAGCTCTGCCCCCTCTGCCATTTAGAAGGGCCCCAGGATCCTTGGTGGAACATTTTCTGGGGGCAAGAGGAGCTGACATAGGGAGCAGCGGGTGGCATAGTCAGCTTCCACCCGCTGTTGTGTATGCTTAACTCTGGGTCCAATTCAATTTTTAAAATATTGAAAATGGTTAAGCACTGCACTGCTAACCAGAGCTCCCTCACTTGAAGTATTCACTCAAGATTGGATGTGTTTCTGACAGATGTTATAACTAAACCAGAAATTCCAAGGCAGGCGTAGGAATGGCTGGGAGAAAATTTATGACCAGTTGGTGAAATTCGACAAGGCACCAGCAGATATGACCAGACTTCCCCTTCCTATCCCACCCCATCTGCTTTGAAGGTTCTGCCAATTTTCTGGAAGGAGAGGAAGTCCCATTTGCAGGAGTGGAAGTCCACTGGGCATATAGGATGCCATGATTGGATATCACCTTCTGGGATTTACTGGTAGATCTATGGGTGGTAGATCAACATAGGTTTGCAGCGTCCAATTTTTTACAATAGAGATATATAAATGTGTCCTCCTGCATAAGTTAGGCTGCCAAGATGAAGAAAGCTGGGGGACAACAGGGAAGATCTTTGTGAAAGGATCTTTGTGGGAGCTCCAGTTCTTATACTAAAAACAAAATTCTGGCATGAGCATGTGCTCAGAAGCACCTTGTTCCTCAATTCTACATCATTCCTGGGCCATTATTTTGCACCTGGCTCTGGTTGGTGGACCACAGGATGAAAAACAAAGCAGACCCCATAAGCCGAAAGTTTGCCCACTCCTGCCACAATGGGCCTTTCTGGCATAGAAAACTATGAATACATACGCAAAACTTGTATGACTACAAGATTTACCCAACAAACAGGACTAGCATTTGTCAATAAATACAGACAGGAAGAAACAGGAGACAGTATTTTTTAAAAAGGAGAGCTGTATTAAAGGGCACAGTGGAAACACAGAAAAGAATAAATAAACATGCAAAAGAAAGGCATACTGTGCTGGTTTTTCCAGAAGAATATTTTTGCACAGTTTACTCACTTTCTCCACATGGCCACAAATGAATGTACAGATACAAATCCTGTCCGCTCTCCCCCTGACGCATTGAACATGGGAGCTTTCCAGTACAGAGGGCAGCAGCATATCTGTGAACAACACAATAAGACAGAATGCAGCCAGCTAGTATTCGGGCAGGGGCATTTTTTCTTCTTTATGATGACATTTTAACAGAAAATAAGATGAAGAAAATGTAACTTTTGGCTTAAAAAAAAATCCAACTAAACCAGAATTTTTTAATTGGACCTAATACATTAATATCTGAATCCATTTTCTTTTTACGCCAAAGTAAGTATGACTGATTTCATATGAGCCACTTAAAAGCAGAATGAGACCATGTGCAGTATGAACAGCATCAAGCTGGCCCGGATATATTCTCTCACCCTTAGACAAATGGATGGAGGAGACTTTTGTTCAGCCCACATTCTTAGATGAATTAACCCGACACCTCCTGGAATAATGTACAGGTTGAAACATAACTATCCTTTGGAGTTTGCACTTCTCTTGAGTTTTATGATACTGCTCTTGACTCAAAAATATTATCAAACTACATTAAAATGTGTATTTTTAGATAAAATACATTTAGAAGTGAGTACACTAAGGTAAAATACATATTTAAACCATAGTTTGTGATTTAAATATAAATTTATTTACAGTTTTACAGGCAGTAGATTAATGTGGAAGTAGGGTAGAATGGAGTTATGAATAAATACATGTGAAATTGACAGAGACTGGAAATAGACTGAAACATTCCTTTTGGAAAAGTTTTGCTTTTGTTTACTACTTCATCTCATCCCTTCAGCTAAAAGCCTCTTCATCTGAGAGTACGCTTTTTCTTTGAAAACCATTTGCTGATATTGTACTGAGCCTTTACCTTCCATAAGTCCTAAAAGCCTGGCAATAATGATATTTACCTTTGCAATTTTCCCCATTTCATTAAGTGGTACTCTCTCATCTTCAAACTCAGAAAAGGTTGCCTCAACCTTGGCAATGGTCTCCTCATGACTACTGCAGACATTAGGAAGTCCGTTGGGGAAGTAGAAACGTGGAATGTTTATGGACAAGGGCGTACCAACAGTTACTTTATTCGCAGGCAGAAGTGCCTGTGAGCTGACTGCTGAAATTGCAGGCACTGGGGACGTAGTCACAGGTTTCTTCTCCTGCTTATTTTGGACCTAGAAAGATAACACATAAAAATTATTTTTGGTACAATAGAATGTTCGTGTGTATGTGTGTGCGTGTATCCCTTTAGATAAACAGAAATTAATGAGCAAGTATCTAAAGTAAGCTGTGCATATGTGCCACCACCTAATTAATCCAAAAGACCCTCAGGGGCATACAACCCCTGAAACCTTGGCTAATTGGAAACAATAGCTATATATAAACATACAGGAGAAACACATAGGATATTTTGATTAGCGGAGCTGCCCTAATGAAGTTTCTCTGTATACTTCTGATCTATGCATAATTTTTTGTTAGTACTACACATTCAGGTATTGCACTTTCCTAAGTTCCTAAAAGAGCATCCATTCAAAGCTCTTTGAGGAAGTGAACAGCTTTCCTGTAGCTTAAAGAAATCACTGGGCTCCAATAATAATCTGATAGGAGAACATTTGTACTTATTTAGAAGATTTATACCCCATTTTTCTGCTACAAGGCACTGGTGTCTGGAGTGCCCCTCAGCCAGGCTGGCTTCTGCTCACCAGTCAAGCAGTGTGCTGCCCATCTCCCCTTATGTTTTCTGCCACCTCTGTTGTGAGATGGATGCCTGGTGATGGGCAGTGAAAAGTGCCTCTCCTTGATAGCTGTTTTGAGGGATTCCCCCTCTTTTAGGAGCTTATTCCAGGATTTCTTTTGTAACTGGATCCTGTCTGGGAAACTGTTAAGTTAGGATACAAAAGCTGCTCAGTTCCAAGATCACTGGGTAGCTAAGTTTTGGTTTCTATATGCAAATGAAATTAGTAAGATGGCTACGTGAGTGTATAGAATTACAAAATTTCCCAAAGAGGCTCTAATTGTGAAGGAGGAACAGTGGAAGAGGAACAAATTTGCCAATAAGATGATTTGGTTCACATCACTTGTGCCAATGTTTTATGAGAGCACCAAGAAGTGATGCACAAATAATAATAGGGGATGCAAAGCTTGCTGCATATCCATCTCCTTGCAGGTGTCTCAGTGCCAGACTGAATCAAAAACTGCCTGTCTGCATCCTAAGACTTATATTTACATTCCCCCAGAGTGGCTGGGGAAACTCAGCCAGATGGGCGGGGTATTAATAATAAATTATTATAAATTATTATTATAATGTGAAGCTAAGCTCTCAGTAAAAACCTAAGACCCCTTTCCTGCTTTTTACTATCAGAAGGCACTTTAGCAGCTAGAGATAACACACAGAATACTGAAGTCCAATCATACATGACCTTTCCCACAGTCATTGGGTTTTAATCCTTAAAACATATTTTCAGCAGTGGAGTAGAACAAAGCTTTTCCAACGCAGCTGACATTTAGGGTCATGAAGGAAAGTATGTAGCATATAACAAACAGAAACACACTGGAGCAATTCTTTCTTCAGCAAGTGGCAGACAAGTTTTAATTATTTTCAACTAATAATCTTTTTTAGTGTTAATATTATTATCTTCAAGAGAAAAATAGTTTTCGACTCTTTCCTCTTGTTTACCAATAGGACATTTGTGTGCTAAGCCTGGAAGGCCTATTTTTAAACCTATGGGTATCTGGTGCAAATAACCTTCTGAAAATAGAAAAGCCTGAGAGAGACACAGTTCTGTCCCCATATCCAATAAAAAGATACAAAGAAGTATAAAAAGAAAAGCACGTTCAAACCTGGGCCTGCTGGAATGACTTCAACCTCTTCTTGAAGCGGGATGGAAGAACAAAATCACAGCCTTTTGCAAGGAAAGCTAACTCTCCTCGTAAATCTGGGTCCCTTCGCAGAGATGTTTCTTTGATCATCATCCTGGCTTAGTTCCTGAGCAAACTTTTGTCTTCCCAGCAGAGGTATCAAGTCCTTCCAGGAGATCACTTCAGCCACAATGAGCTATTTTCTCGATTTGGAGTTTGGTTTTTTTATGGCCAACAAATTCTAAGTGAAACATACCTTGCCTTCTTTTTACTTACAGCAAGGATTGTTCAGTCACTGTACCTAGACGCAAGGCCAAAGAACCTCCCCCCGCCCCGACAGTCAAATAATCCCCGAGTATGAGTACTTCTGGGTGTCTCTTTGCAATTCTTTATCAAGAGACATGATCTACACCAGAATCTATGTCCCTGCTGGCTACATGACAGTCAGAGAATCTGTCCTTGGCTTGTGATACAGCAGAGGTATTGTGGGAAGGGAAGCACCCACCACTACTACCAGTGGTGCTAAAGTTAGACATACTGCAGAAGTAGCTAAATATATCACCTTCCCAGATAGTTCTTATTTTATGAGCTTCAGAGGTGAAATTTGAGGTGCGAATGTACAGCCATCAGCCTAAGCTGAAAGCAAAAACATGCTGCAGCTTAGTCCTGTGTGAAAAATTGTGTTATGAGGTGCCCATCGCACAATCACACATTTTTCCAATTTGAACTATGAAATAAAATACTCAGGACTCTTTAATTGTTCACCTTTCTCTCTTACTAAGGAAAAATTAGCTGTTTCCTACAATCCAAAGGGACTGCACAAAAAAAATAATAATACGTGGCTGGTTATCAAGCATTTTTCTTCCACATTCAAAAGCACTAACAATGCATTCCTATACATGTTTACTCAGAAATTAGTTTTAGTGAGTTCTTTGACACTTACTCTGTAATAAATGTGCTTAGGATTGTGCTGCAGATGGTGTTTTTTTTAGAAGTATCAGGATAATCAATTCAAGCATAAGAAATCAATTATTTAAATATTTCCTTTAATGCTTCATTCTTTCACTTATTTTTGCTGGACACCACTTTTCAATCAAAGGCTTATCCTTATGCTAAATTTAATTATTTTAAAGCATTTATACACTGTTCAATATTTAAAAAATCTCTTAAATAGTAACACACAGTACTAGAAACTAAGCCCCTCTCTATATGACATTTCGAAAATCCTCAAGAAGGTAAAGCAATTTGGAAAGTCTAATTAAGTGTACTCTTCCCAAAACCTGAGAATTAATGCTATTAAAAAAAGAAATAGATTAACAACCATTGCCACTACCATATATATAAAACTTTTATTTCAGAACTTACAAGGTATTTACTGTCTGCAATTACAGTTTGCTCTGGAACTCAAGAAATGCCTATTTTTTCATAGTGGCACTCTGATTTGGGACATGAAAAACTAAGTTTCACATGTTTATTATTTTACTGTTTCAGAAGGGATAATAAAGCGAGGTCACCCAATCGCATGTTCCAAGAAGTGATATGAGGGCCAGCAGGTTCATAAAGCTACGTGGGGTCTCAGTTGGATCAGGAATGGATATATCAGCAGTTGAGACTATGGTATTCAAGAAATTTATTTAGCTTTGTTCAAGACTGATAAAGTAAATATTTTGTTTATACCAGGAATCCTAAATGTATTTGTCAATGTGATTCTGTTTCCTTTCTTATTCATTAAAAGTATTTGTATACCACCCTTCATTTCAAATGGCATTCCTTGTTAACATTTTTGCTAGAATTATAAAATTATATTACCCAGCTATTTTAAAAAATAAAAATTGGCTTCAATGACTTTCTTTTTTCAATCATCACACATAGCAATTGCATTTTGTGTTTTGAAAACATCCCTGTGTTTTGAAATAGGAGCATCACACATTATCAATTTCCACAGTCTGATAACATTTCCATACAGGAAACTGTGGCTGTATACGAGCAAGTATGTCTATCATTGGAACACAGGAAACTGCCTTATATTGAGTCAGATCACTGGTCTATTCAGCTAAGTGTTATCTATATTGACCAGCAGTGGTTCTCCAGGATATCAAGCAGGAGTTTCTTCCAACTCTACTTTGAGACACCAGAGATTGAATCCGAACCCTTCTGTAGGCAAAGCTGAAGCCCAACACTTGCTATGGCCCTTCCCAAATATTACTTTGGACTATGGAAGCAATATTCTCCATTGCGCTATGAGACACTAGTCCAAATCCAGAATCACTAGCTTGAGTATTATACAGTAAGACTGTGTCTTGCTCTTGTGCAGGGGTTACATTCCAGGGGGGCAGTGTGCAAAGTCACAATCATGTATAGTCAAAACAACCCCCTGGAACTGTCCCTGCACCAGCAACCTTACCTTCCTGACCCAGCACAAGATATTTTGGGGCCATCCAAGATCTTGTGAAACCGCAAGAGAGTTTCCCAGAGCCTGGTAATCAAGAGCTTTTAAGCTCTCTGCCTTGCTTGCTGGGATCTTGGAAATTTTCATGTGGGCTCTGGAGGCTTTCGTGAGATCTTGGACGGCCCCACAAGACCTCACTAACACCACCAGAGCCCGCACAAGCATTTCCCAGAATCCGGTAAGCAAAGCAGAAAGTTTAAAAGCTACTTCTATGCCAAAATAACTTTAAAACTCTTTGTCTTCTGGGCATTTAATTGCTGAGATTTCAACTAGCTGGCTGCCAAGCACATAAATTTGAAATCACACAATCCATAAGAACAGCCTGCTGAATTAAGGAAATGGCCCATCTCGTCCAGCATCCTGTTCTTACAGTGGCCGACCAGATGCCTGTGGGAAACCAGCGAGCAGGATTTGAGCACAAGAGCACTCTCCCCTCTTGTGGTTTCCAGCAACTGGTGTTCAGAAGCATTGTTCTCTCCATCTGTGCTGGCAGAACATAGTTATCATGGCTAGTAGCAATTGATAGTCCTCTCCTCCATGAATTTGTCTAATCTAATTCTATTTTAAAGTCATCCACGTTGGTGGTCATCACTACCTACTGAGGGAGCAGGATCCATAATTTAACTATGCACTGCCCAAATGAGTACTTTCTTTTATCCATCCAGACTCTTCCTACATTCAGCTTCATTAGATGTCATTGAGTTCTAGTGTTATGAGAAAGGCAGAAAAGCCTTTCCCTATCCACTTTCTCTATGCCATGCATAATTTTATAAACTTCTATCATGCCACCTCTTACTCACATTTTAGCTAAAGTAAACAACTCAGCTCAACTCAATTATTTTAAAGTAGTGATCCTACTATACTATATAGTCATAACAGTGGAAAAGAAATGGGAAAAGCATTTCCAGGGAGAGGGGAACATGTTCACTCAATTTTTCCAGTTCCAGCCTCTCTTATACAATTTAAAGGAGATATGAAACTAGACCAGAAGTTAGTAAGCGACTTCCATGTACAGTACTGAAAATAATTTAACTTTTGAGACAATTCCAGAATGTGTTCTGGATGCTGAGAGAGAGAACATTAGGATCATCCACTTACCTTTTGCCCTGCACTTTCTAGGCACAGATCAGTGCTTTCCTGGTCAGTGTCAGAGTGCTTTTTCTTTCCCCAGGAAAACCTGTCTTTACCACTGAATTGGAACAAACAGCAATTCATGTTTTTTGCAGGTTGCTGTTTCCTCCAGTTCAGTGGTAAGGAGTGGGTTTTCAAAGAGAAAGCACTGGGGGTGGGGGAGCACTTGGACATGGAGCTTTAAAACGTGGACTTGTGCATAGAAAAACAGCACAAAAACAAGTCTGGATAAGCCCATAGTGAGAATTATCCAAGTGAAGCCTGCCATACTTACAACAGACTTTACACACATCTGTTGCAGCAGTAGTGGCCACGCACTTCTGGAAGTTGTTCTGCAGGGTACAGCTTGAAGTACTATAAAACCATGTGAAACTGGATTTAGTAAGGCTATGGAAGGACATAAAAATGAAAATGTACCCCATAGGCAATCGTTGCTTTACTGCAGGATTCCTCAAATTCAGCCCTCCAGATGTTTTGAAACTACAGTTCCCATCATCCATGACCACTGGTTCTGCTAGCTAGGGATCATGGGAGTTGGAGGCCAAAAACATCTGGAGGGCTGAGTTTGAGGAAGCCTGCTTTACAGTATCACCAACTAGCTAAAAAAACCCTATAATCTACAGACAGCCTACATGCACACTTTCACACATGGCAAACGTGTGACTATTTTGCCATATGGACAAACAATGGGAAGTGTGAAAAGGTGGCAGAATTCCACATTGTATGTACACAGAGTGAAACATACAAGTATACACATACATACATAACGAGTATATAAACATATATAGAGTATAATGTACTTTTCTATGCAGAAGTGATATTTATGTGGGAAATTTGTTGCGTGTGTATGGTCCGTAACTGTTACAGAAATAAAGATTTGCATTCTTACCTTTATAACCTCTGGCATCTGTTGAATAAGTGCTGGGACAGGCTCTTTGGCAGATGTACCTATGTAGCTTTGCTGAGCAGCTGTGATGGAGGGAGCAGCCAAAGTTTCCTGAAGAATGTGCATCACTTCCTTCTCTTTTGATAAGCTTCCTTTGCCCATTCGGAATTCTACTAGTTCCTGGGCAAAGTCTTCAATACTCTCCAGAATTCGCAATAAAAGGGTTTTGTCTTCATCTTCCATTTTATGACCATTGGTTTCCATGAGTTTTGATAAAGAGGGAGAAGGACTTTTGTCTACAGGTGAACAGACTTTGCCTTTATTTTCCAGAGTCAAAGGTTGGCTAATATGCTTCAAACATGCAGGATTAGTCTTAGTGGTAGTCTCTCTCAGAGTAGCCTCCATTTTCTGTGAAAAATGTTCCAAATCCAGGAGAAGTTTGTCTATTTCCTCTTGATTATTTTTTCTGGATTCACCTTTAGAAATCTGAACAGTACAATCAAATCCTTGAGTGTCTGAGGTTGCTTGGGTGGAGGTTTGGGGCAGCATTACAGGTTGAAATAAAGTAGGTGATGTTTTAGTTGAATTTCCAGCAGAGTCTGCCCTTTCTGTTTTCTGCTCATTGCTGTCTGAATTAACCCGTCTTCCTCTCCTCTTAACACTTGATACACTGCCCAATGCCTTTTCTCTATCTGATTCTTCCATAATGTACAGAGTTTCTGTGGGAGAAATGCAGTCTGACGGGTTTACAGATAGTAACTGAGGTAGCGCACAAGCATCATTTGTAGATTCTAAGTTTTCCGGCAAAACTTTTGAAGAAATCTCTATTGGAGTGTGGGTAAGTTTTGCTGAGGAGTTTGTGTCAGTGCTGTTCTGGTTACCTCGTAAGTTTGAAGTGAGAGATTGCCTTGGCACAAAGGATGGGGAGGACACAACATCTTCGTATCTAGGTGGCTGTTCATTGCCAAATACTGGAGGAAAATTAGACGGCTGCAAAGCAGATAGGCTATTAATTAGTTCTACCATGTCACCAGGCTCAGTTAGCCCAGACTGTCTAAACTCAAAAGGCAGTTTTTTAATATAAGAAGAAAATCTTGACATCAAATTCATATATATCATTTCAGAATTGGCTAAGGAATCATTACCACTTTCTCCACTTGCACTCCCTGAAGATTTCTTCTTGATGCATTGCTTTATTATATCAGTACACTTCTTCAAGTCCTCAGAGCATTTGAGCAAGATGTCCAAGCACATCTTAATATCTCCACTAGAAGAACCATCCAGCTTGTGCTTTTCCAAAATCTGTGCAAGAAAGCTATCCTCATAGAGAGTCTGCATTGGTAAGGAAACTGTAGAATTCACATTTCCCTCTACTGAGGTGCTGCTGACCTGCCATTTCTCATCTGTTGAGGAATTATGTGACAGGCCAAAGGGAGGAGGGGAATTTTCATCGTTGCTGAAATGGCCATAGATCAAGTCAAAATCTAGTGACCTTCTATTGAATGGGTCTGACTTAACTTTTCTTCCCTTTCTATAGGTTACTTGATTGGAAGAATTTCTGAGTTTTTCAAATGAAAATTCTTTTATTTTCCCACTAGCGAGATTTATGGCTTCTCCAGTGATATCTTTCAGACTTGCAGTGTTTTGAACTGAAGACCCCTTTTTGAGCCTTGGGTTACTAGGAAGGATTTGATGATAATCTTCATCCCCAGCCAAAGAAAGGGAATTTTCAGGCATTGAAAGTCTGTGGGTCAGATCTGAACCTCTAAGGTTGTGTGCAGGGACTTTAATAAGTTCTGCACAAACACTGTGGTGGGCTACTATGCATGCAACTCCTTGCTTAAATACCTGACACGCCCCTGTACAGTAATGCACAGCATGTTGAAGTCGACGATCTATCACAACACTGCTATAACAATTCACTGTTGTTATTACACGTCTATAGGTTACTGCCATAATGATAATTTTAATTGGCTGCACTATAAACTGAGCTAATGATTCCGTTAACTAAGAAAATAATCTTAAAATGGGGAAAAAGTAATCCATTGTCAACTGTAAGGTAGCTGCTGTCTGTGAGAAATTTAACTTAACCAGTGAAATGTGCAAGGCTAATTTATGGCACACTGATTACATTTCATTATTTATTGAGATACTGAAAAGTTATCTCCCACACAATAAGTACCGTACTGATGAAAAATTGCTCCCCTTCTCTCAGTCTAAATAAATGTTAGAGGTAGAACTGTAGAACTTCAGCCCACTTGAAGAAAAAAGAAGGAATTGTTTTCTCTTGATTTGCTGTATTGAGTTTCAGATGCCATGTAGAAGCAAAAAGCATGTAGTGTGCTTAAACAATCCAACTCTTCCATTAATGTGGAAGATACCTGCAATGACAAATTGTAAAAATAATGTGAAACTTGCCATCGGACTTCACCTGCTACTTTATCTTTTATACATATATTATTGCAATAGTGTATAATTTTATTCATGCTTATTACGGTTGGCCTAAGAAATTTTCTGCCCAGGGCAAAAAGTGGTCATCCTCCCATTCCATTAACAGAAGCTGACTGGACTACTAGCAGAATTAGACTTTTAAAACTGGCAATGCAATAGCATCCTCCACTGCCTCTGAGGCTGGTAGGCTTGTCTAGGGGGTGCATGATAAGTCATGCAGCATACACAGGTGTGGTCTGACCAAAGCAGAATAAAGTGGTACTATTACTTCCTTTGACACAGATACTTCTGTATAGTAGCCTTAGTCTCCAAAGTGTTTCCTGAATCATCATTTTAAGACTGTGACAAACCTGCAGATTGAACTAATATCAGGCTATTTATTAGTAACATTTTTAAATCTCGTCCTACCCTTTTTATTATTTATTGTTTAACATCTAGCACGAGGAAGCGCTCTGTGAAACTCTAGAGCCTGCTCAATGCTTTGCGGTTTTTGGTTAGACAAAGTCATAATGTTATTATCCCTATTTGCTTTTTCCCCTAACAGACCAAGAGCACTGCAATGATTTCTGCATTGCCGGGGGGTTGGACTACATGACCCTCATGGTTCCATCCAATTCTACAGTTCTCTGAGTCTACTGCCTGGGGACGGATTGATTATGGCCTCCTCCTGCTCATGTGTGTATATTTAATTATTTATTTACTTAGTGCACTTCTGTCTTGCCTCTCCTCCATCATGGAGCTCGAAGCAGTTCTCATGGTCTCTCAATCTAGACACTGACCAGCCCAAATCTTGCTTAGCAAGGTGGCTGCATCATGTGCTCTCATATTCCATTGCCAGTAGTTGCCAATAATCAGTTGGCAGCATCAGCAATGGATGTATGTTTGTTCTGTCTTCCTCCTTTCATTCCACTTCATCTACCTCTACTGCCTTTACTCCCTCTCATTACTGTTTAATGACCACCAGCAAAACATACATTCTCCACTTTCCTGCCGATCAGCATACCTCCTTGCAGTACTTTCAATGCCCTAGTTCCTCTGCCCCATGTCCAGCTCCCACACCAAATATGGCAAGGAGGCATGTTGAGGGCCAGGAAAGTACCTTATAGGCAGGAAGGCTGCACACACACCAGATTTTTGTGACAATGAGTCTGGAGATCATGATGCATCCTCTGCTTGTTCTTTTCCAGTGCTCAACATGTTCACAACTCTTTCTGCCAAGGTAAATATGAACCATAGAGGAAGCCAAAGGAAAGAAAATTGAGAAGGAAACACAAGAGTGTTACAATATTGTATTCCACAGGTAAATTAGAATTTATATTCACATGGCAACATAGGTTATATATAAATACATCTCCATCCCTCAAAATAACTATTAATATAGGCAAGGATCACCATTATCTATTTTTTTTCTTTTGCTACACATTTTTCTAGGGAAATAAGAATAACAGGAAGCAGAAGTGGGGGGGTGTGCTTCTAAATCTATAAATGAAGATACCAGATTAGGAATCTATTTGTGTTGAGGCATCAAATTTTTCTTACTTAGTTCATAGTGTTGACTCTTGCATTTTAGACACTCTGGTGAAGTAATCTGGAAATATGAAAATAAATACTAGCATTCTCTCCTATAAGGAAGGAGAATCACATGAAAACTAGCAGTCTGAATATTCCTTTTAAAAATGTCTTGTTCTATGGCTATAAGCAGGAATGCAGCTGTACTTTTGTGGATATGTGAATTGGTTTTCCTTTTCCTACTACCAACTAAAAAAGTTAGAAGGAGCTGAACCAGGACTACTCCTAGATATTGTAGTTCTTGAGGGCTGGACTAGATAACCCTTGGGGTCTCTCCCAACTCTATGATTCTATGACTCTGTGACTGTTCATGACCAGTTTGCATTGAACACTGGCCAAGCCTGTGGAATATTTGGAATATTTACCTAAATGTCCCTGTAGCTACATGTTGCAGGACTCATAAGAGGACAAAGTATTTTACATTTGCTGATCAAGGAACATCGGAAGACCAAGCCAACGGTCCTGGGCAAAGCCTAGCAAAGGTGCCCATGGAAAGTTCACAAGCAGAACCTGAGCACAAATGCATTCTTATTAAGTTTCCAAGGAATCCCAGAGATTCTAGCAGCTCAATTTTAAAACACATGTGGTCTATGAATACTGATGCCTTTTGCTTCTTTACAATCTGTGACACAGTACCTAATTTCCCAAGTCTTACTCAAGCACTTCTTTCCAGGCTCAAAACACATGACCTGTTCTTCCTCACCTGAACTCAGACACCAGTCTCTGTCTTACTATACCTGTTGCCTATTTATCTTTGTATCTCCTTGCTTCTATAAAATACAATGCACATGCTGTAGACAAATCTACAGTGTTCTCCTGCAAGGCCTCGCAGTGGCGACAGGATCTGACAGCAGAAGCGGCGGTGGCCTGCAAGTCCTCGCGGCAAACGCCTGCAGGGACTCACGGCAGTGACAGGAGGTGACGGCAGCAGTCGCATCCTGCGAGGCCTTGCGGCAGTGGCAGGAAATTCCAGCAATATTAGTGGCAGCCTGCAAGGCCTTGTGGCGACACAAGCAGTGGGGCTTGTGAGGCCTCACCGTGGTGGCAATAAGTAGCTGAGGCCTGCAATTCCTCCCGGCAGTAATTGGAGGCAGTGGCAGAAGCTGTGGCAGCCTGCCTCAGCAAGGCCTTGCAGGATATCTTTGCTTCTGTCTCCTGCCACCAGCGCAAGGCCTTGCAGGCCACTACTGCCACCGCCACGACAAGGCCTTGCAAGCTGCCGTCACTTCTGCCACCGCCACCCACTGCCATGACAAGACTTAACAGGCTGTTGATTATTGTGCCACTGCTGTCAGGCTGCTTTTGCTTCTGCTGCCTAGCAGGCCTGCTGGCAGTCCCAGATTATTTGTATTCACTATGACTCATCATCGTATTTTGGATTATCCTGAATACCACTATTTGGTAGCCAAGCTTCAAACCAAATAATAATAATAATAATGGGCAAGGTGGGGCACCTGCCAAAGGCCCACAACGTGGCAGAGGACCCATTGCTAACCTGAGATGCTGGGCCAGTTTCCCACTTCTCAATGGGAGAGTTGCATGGCAGCAGCAAACATCTGACTCCTCCCAGCAGCTTCAAATCAAGAAATGAGGCTGCCCCAGAAGCTCCAGCAGCATTCACAGGGACTTCTTGGTTAAAGGTCTATTTCTTGTTGGGTGGAGTGTAGGAAGAAGTAATGTAGCACATTTATTTTGAGCCCTGAGGGCTTCTTCAATCACAAGGGTGTTGTTGCTCAGCTCCTTCTTGGCATCTCTGAAGCAGCGAAATGGGTGACTGTTCCAGAGGCTCCTATGATATCATCAGAGCCTCTAGGGTGATCATACATGTCCTAAGTTGAGATGCCTGCAAGGAGCTGAGCAACGGCTCCATCCAGCTCCAAAAATCCCAATACTCTCAGAAAATATTCTCTGTGGCCTCAAAGCGGCTCTGTCAAGGGAAAATGGGGACTTTGTTTCAGAGAATTCTGCAAGCTGGGAGAGACGCCTAGGAAAAGCAAAACAACACTTCTGCCTCATCTGCACCAAGGGAGATAGTAATAAGGAGCACGAAAAAGTTGCAGCTCTCCTCCAGCCGTCCCCCCAATGAGAACTTGCTCAGAGTCCTTGCGATATATAGGTGGGCAAAAGGGAGACCTGGTGCAAAGAGAGAAAAGACAGCGGGTGTTGGTGTGTGAAACGGAGCTGCAGAGTGTGCGTGTGTGTCGGAGCAATCGCAGGATTGTGTCAAGAGGAGACCCAAAGGCAGAGAGTGTAAAGGAGGTAGGGGAAAGGCAGGAAGGGAGCTGCGATGGGCGGGAGGAGAGGGAGAGAGAAAGGAAGAAAGAGAGCGGAGAAAGGGCGCAACAAGAAACGAGCTGCAACCACCGTGCCCCATGGGCACCTGTGCCCGAGGGCCCACCAAAACCTGCAGCCGGCCCTGACCGAGGGGCAAATCGACGGCGCTCCCCAGGCGTGAAAAGCGGCTCCCGCTCCCTCCCTGAGCCTCGGCTGTCACCCGCTAGCCCAGCGGACGCAGAAGCTGCTGGGGACAGCCGAGGCGCCCGAGCGCCGCGGAAGGCGTTGGGAATTATTGAGGTGCCTCTTGTTTCGGCCCCGGCCGCTCCCTCCTCCCCGCCTCCTGTCCCACCAAAGTAAAACGCAGCATGGATTCAGACCGCGGACGAGGCTTGGGCGTGGGGGGGGAGGGAGGGAAAAGCTGCCTCTTCGGCGCCACTTTGCTAAGTTGTTGAGCGCAATTAATAACGAGCAGTTGGCCGACAGCGCCTGAGGCGGACGGGACAGTAGCTGAGCACCTACCCGCCGCCGGGGCGACTCCCTCTCCCATCGTGGGGCGCTCTTCTTCGGATGCAGCCCTCCTCCTCCTTCCTCCACCCTCCTCCGGGCCCAGGGAGGCTCTGCCTCTTTTCCTGTCCCTCCCGCGCGACGAAGGGGGCGCCCGCCGAGCGCGCTCAAGTGGGACTGGAGAGGGGAGGGGAGAGGCGAAGGCGGCGGTTCCCTTCCAAGAGAGGGCCGGGCCACGGGTACAGCATAACAGAGCCCTGCCCGACTGCGACTTCGTGCTAGGGACGCCGCCCGCCGCGCATAGCTCCCGCCTGAAACTATTTCGGTGTCCCGTGCCTTAAGCCCCAGGCGGCAGTGGGACGACGGGTGGGGTGGGAGAGACTTCTGCAGCCGAGCCCCGCGTCCTCTTCGCCCTGCTCCGTCGAAGGGAAACCGCCCTCTCGAGGGCCTTGAGGATTCAGACAAGCTGTTCTCTCGGAGTTCAGGCTCTTAGGTGGGCGTTGAAACAAAAGGCCAACGCCCTCGATAGCAGAAAAATGTGGAGTTCGGCTGGAAGCGCGCTCTGCAGCAGAGGAAAGTTTCGGAAGAGTCGCGGCGGGTCTCGAAAGAGTCAGAAACCAGGAGGGGAAGGAAAGCAACTCGGGTTTTTCATTATCTGCTTCTAAACCACATGACTCTGGAGTTCTGGGTCCAGATTATGGAACCCTTGAGTCTGGCATCTGTGAAATGCCAGCTACAGTTTCCTGACTCTTTTGACTCCAGGCCTGTTCCAGAAGTGCACCCGCCCTATGCTATTTGGCTCATACTTGCTTGACTCACCGCACCCATCTTGTGTACTCACTCATCTGCTCCTTCCCCATAGGGCTGGAATAGGCTCCTGGTTCTTTATTCCATTCAGTGGTGTGAGTGTATATATGGGAGGAAGAAGGAACTTAGGTTTGATTTAGCTCTGTGTCCTGAAAGAAGCTGTAGGCTAGTCCAGATCATGACCAATGCTCAAGCTTGGTGCTTCCAAAAATCCAGTAATTCACCTAGGCATGAAGAACTGGAGTTTGAGCACCAATATTTAACAAATAAGCATTGGGCCAGCTCAGGGCTATTGAAGTAAACCACTTGATATGCATTACATTTTATCAAAATACATGCACAGACATAATGAGAAAAAATTATCCTTTTCAAGTTCAGTAGTAAACAAAAGTGGATAGGTGAGTATCTGCACCTATCTTCATGGGTTTTCAGAAATTGCTGTTTGTCAGGATCTCCTGCCTAGTGTATTGTTTTTATCTCTTATCTTAATTCTTAAGTTTTTGTTATATGCTGCCACTTTCCCAAGCAGTTAAAAATTCTATGGGCAAGGTTTAGTTTCCTTTGGATGAGAGAAGCAAAAGAGGCACTCTTCCAAAGGCAGCATCAGAGATAACAACTGTACCTCAGGGATGCTTCAGCCAATTCACAATCTCTGACTAGTATCCCAGCTGAAACTGCAAATCTGCCTTTAGCTGACTCTCAGCCTACTTCTTGTCTGGGGTGTATTATCTTCTAAACTCGTATTACTTTCTAAATCTAAAGGGTGGATTTCAGGCCACCAGGAAGGCATCCACATTCATTAAGAAACAAAAAGACTATTCTGCCAAGGCCCTAACTTCCATCAGAGACCACTTAAAGCAAAACCAAAGTAGTAATCAAGATGAGGCAATTACAGAAAGAGAAAGAGAGGGGAAACTGCTAAGCAACATCATGATAGCTGGTTTTTTGAGAATTCTACTGGTCAGGAGGATAGCCTACCTCATTCTCCAGTTCCAAAGTAGCCGAGCAAGACAATGCTCATGAGTTTCATGGCTTGTGAGAAATTGCTACCGTAGGATCTTTTGCCTGGGGCATTATTTGCCTTTCCGGTCCAGGTGAACCAAACCAGGATAGTTGTTGTGAAGTAGCCCTGCTTGTCAGTATTTCTGTCTAGACAATAGCTGCTGCTCCAGTCCAAAAATAACAAATCTAGATAGGATGCACTTGTACTGGTTTTACAGCTGGTCATAAATAAAAATGTTTCAGGATCTGTTAAGATGCTCTCTCTCAGACTATGCGTAGCAACCATCACAGCTGGTATTTGTTCATTTGCTTTACTTGTTAGGATTTCCTGTATTAGCTCTAGGTATTGCAAAATCATATAGAACATACTATGACGGTTTATGATTTGATAGGAACTGCTATCTGTAAAGATCTGTTGCTGGAAACTCAGCTTGCCTTTCTGTTGCATAGAAAATAATATAAAAAACACCCTGTCTCAGTATCTTTCTGTGGGACAGTAGCTTATTCTCTAGTAGTTCAAACATTGCAAAAAGACAGTGGCTGTCCTGGCCACTAAAACACACAAAAAGAGACCTTTTTTTTGGTCAGCAAAACTTTATTCAGGCAAATAACAGTACTGTCTCAGCAGCAGACACAAGGCTTAGGTGTCGTGGTTCAGAAGTTCAAGAGCAGAGCAAGAAGTTCAGAATGGGACAGTAGCAACAAAGATCTCTCAACTTTCCATGTCCTGTTCACCAAGCTTTTAAAGATGAGGCATGGCACACTCACTTGCCTTGTGGAAATCTTGGGACTGCTCCTTGGGGTCTGATCCCATGTGTGAAGGTGAGGCCCAATTCTAGGCAACAAGACAGCACCTTCCTGCTACTCACAGCTCACTCTTCCCTTGGCTGTTCCAATACCTCCCCAAGCTCTAACGAGGCTTTCCATTTGGCAGGAAAGTTGGGGAGGAGAGCTGGCACCTTGCTCCCCCTTCTGAAGGGGCTCAAACTGGGGTGGAAAGGGGAGATCTCCTCACGCCTCCAGCCCAGGTTCCCATCCTTCAGTTCTCCTGTTTATTCCTCCTCCTGCATCAGGGCCTGCCAATCTAAACCTGATCCCAACATCACTGCAAGGCTCATGGGGTCACTTGTGCCAGTCTCGTGGATTAACAAAAATTGATATATGTTTGAATTCTGGAACAGAATCTGCCTTTTTGGTCCACATATAACAAAATAATAAAGCTGGTTTTCAAATCAAAAAACAGTAAATCAGTATCACCTTGTTAATTTGTAGAAACACCATGTGTGTGATATGTGGGAAATTGCATGCTGTGAGAAATTATTTAACTTAGTTTCATACAAAGAACATTAACTGTAGGTATACCATATAATGATAGCAGGTTTAAAAACAGCACTGTAACGTTATTGTCAGGATGTCCTACCTTTTCATTTGTACTTTCTCTGGTCCACATTTTAGGGAGAATGCCTGCATTAGGCTTATGAATAGCAAGACGTAATTACATGCACAGATCTCCCACGTGCAAGGTTGGTTATTTTTTATTTTTTTTAACCAAACAACCAACTATTTGTCAGGACCTCCCATCTGTTTAGAAACTAATTATTTAGTTCAGGGGTACCAAAACTATATTAAGTTCATTTGATTCCCTTTCTTGGGAGTAGCAAAGAATGATACCTAGCTTTCAGAAAGTTTTGCTTGTCACATTGTTGTGTCTGAACTTCTGCTTTCTCTTAAATTCAGTGGCTTGCTTGTGCTTTTCTCATAAGGGTCTGTGACATAATGCATGTTGTGGGCCTTACCTGAAACACAATCTGCTTCTCCAATCACAATATAGCAAAATATCATAGCTGGTTTTTATTTTATTTTTTTAATTTTCAGGATCTTCAGTATTTGTACCAGTTTAGAAGTAGCAAAGCTAAGTAAGATCTGCCTGTGGTAATCTTATGGGTTATGGTAAACTGCTATATGTCAGAATCTCTAATAGCAAATTAGAGTTACAGTGGCTCTATAGCCAACATATAGCTATTGAGAAACAAGAAGGAAGTATCAGCATGCTCAGAAAACCCCAAAGTTTGCAGAAGTAAAAATCTTTAAGAAAAAATACTAAAGGAGCAAAAAAACTGCCTCCCACAATACAGACCCAGAAAGACTGAGCATGTGCTTAGTGGCCATTGAAAGTTTTAAAATTTACTAGATTTGAATAGTGCAGTAAAAATAGGTTAAAAATGGGTTGGCACATCCATTTACAAAAGAGGAGGAAAAGGGGCCCTGCTTTGTCTTGGGATCTTGAAGACTGACTAACTGAAAATTGGCCACATCTCTGTTAGTCGTATCATCATTATTCCCTGCACCTCTGCACTCCAGGTCTATGCTAAGCACATGTTTGCAGCTGGTTTTGTTTGCTCATATGTTCAAAACTATGCTGGTTGCATTGCTTGAGCTGCTGGGGTTATATCTAGCTAGATAGGGTACATGCACATTTTTTAAAAAGAAAAGTTTTTTGATATGCCAGATTTGCAAAAAAGCATTAAATAATTTTAGATTGTCTGCTGCTTCAAGCCAGACAACAATTTGGAACCACACACATGAAGACTGCCACTTCCTTTCACCCTCTGTTCCTTTCCCACCTGAATCTGCAAGGATAAACTTTAGTTCTAAAACAGTTGTTTGAGGAAGAGTTCTGTGCAAAAGGGTGTTTTATTTTTTATTTTAAATGACATTTTTGCTGGTAGCTGCTTGTTTAGTAATAGCTAATTGTTTGCATTCTGCAACAGGCCTGTCAATAGACTCCTTATATGTTCAAGTGCAGTCTGCTGCTCTGTCTTAGAAACTGACCAGCCAGATCCAGGCAACCATACAGATGATGAGCCCTTTATCGTTTTAGAACACCTGGCACCTATCTTTTCATCTTCCAGGATCCTACAATTTCAATCTCTGTGTGCTCATCTGAGAGTGAAACCCATTAAACAATGGGATTCACTTCAGAATAAGAGTGCATGATTGGATTGTTCTCTTTCCACTGTTGGCCTATCTCTGCTATTCATCAAATTCTTTATCATCTTGCTTGTGTACTGTGTACTGCATATGAAACAATGTACCACAGGGCAAGTTACTGCAGTTGTATGTTGTTGCTGTATTTACATGAAAACTTATAAAAATTATTTTGGGGGGAAATTCTTGATCATTTTTCCTCCCTTGCTCATCTAGTGTTGATGCAGCCCTTTAACGCAGTCTATGTCACTTTTGTACAGCACCTAATCTGTCTAATCATAAAATTTAAGGGGATGTATAGATTCTGAAAATTACCGTGCATGTAACCATAACCAAGGAACACCGAGTGAAAGTCAGTGGAAGCGTTTATAGGGTTATGGTCCGGGGTTGGTGAAATTCTCTGTCTCTCGCACACAAACAGCGATAGCTCAATTTTTCCTCCCACTCACGGCCAAGGACAGATTCGGACAGGTGGTTTCGACTCTGCGCACGCGCATAAGCAGGAAGCCTCGCTAGCCTCCCTCCGTCTCTCATTGGCCCAGCGCCGAACCGTCTCTAAAAGTAGAGCTGGCGCGTAACGATTCTTCTTCATCCTTAAATTCCGCAAGCAGGTGGGAGTAAATCCATCTACTTCCGGCAATAATCCCGCCCACCATCCCTCCCGCCCAGTCCCCGTTGGCGCGTGCGCAGTGTCCGCTTCACGGAGAAGCAGTTTGTTTTTTTCGTTAGCTGATTCGAGCCGAGCGGGGCGTACTCCCTTCTCCTCGCTCTCCTCTCCCGGCGATGTGGCCGCGCATGGCGGCGGCGGCGGCGGCAGCGGCGGCAGCAACAGCAGTCGTGGCTCCGGCTCTCGCGTGGGGTTGACCGGCTAGCACTTCTGGCGCGCACCAAGATGGCGTGTGTGTTGGAGACGCCGCTCCGCATGAGTGTCTTGTCGGTGAGTGGAGGCCTGGGGCGGCGCGGCAACGGCGGCAGCCGCCGATCCTGGGGAAGGGAGTGAGGCGTGGCGAGGCTTCCGCGGGACGGCTCTCCCTTACCTCGGCCTGGAGGCGGCGGGTCCGGCCGTGCGGTGCCTGGCGGGGCGAGCGAGGGACTGCCTCCTTAGGTTGCCCGCCGCGGGTCCCGCCCTCGCTGGTTGCCCGTCCCGTCCTCGCCCTCGCCTCCCCCCGCGGCCTCGTCTTCGCACTGGCTCCCTTTCCCCTTGGCGGACGTCCGTGGGAAGGAGAGGGCGGCCGGGGGTGGGAGAGAGGGCTCCTCGGAGGGAGGGCGACGGCTAGCCGTGCCGCGTCAGACCACTTCTGCGTTTAATCCCTGCTCAGATGTCACAGGCATGATGGCAACCGGCCTCGTTGGATTCTTGTGGGAGTGAATAGCTTTCCCAGCCGCATTCTTTTCCTCTGCTACTTATGGCCTTGCATGGTTATTACTACTTTTTAATTTTTACTGTACTATTTCACAACGCACAAAGGAAGTCCCCCATTGCAACGCGATTGTACCTTCCAAATGTAGCATTTTTCAACGCACACTCTGCCTTCGTGTTCTCTTGCCCATGTGCCAGGTTCATGAAGGTCCTGCTGCAGCTGTCCAGTCTTTAGTGGAGGTGTACTGTGTGACTTAGGCATCATTGCAAACTTGGCCACTTAACTTGTTGGACTTGTATGTCCAGATCTTTTAAAGAAAAAGTTTGTTCCAGTTTCAGTATCCATCCATAGGGATGCTGCCTTTGTACAAAAACTGGCAGTTCCTCCTACTTTCACCCTGAGAAGAGAAAGTAGCTACATGTTCTGTTGCTTGTTGAACCTTATGCACAGGAAGTGAGTTGCGGTTAAAACCGATAGAAATGAATGAATTTAAACTAACTTACCTGGATTGAGGCTTGTATACAAGCTTTCTTTCAACTCACCCAAGTAAGAAACTGAATTGAAATTTTTGATTACATTTGCCAGGGGCTGTGTCAACTTCTGTCAGCTTGTTCTGTTCAATCCTGGTATGCTGTCTCTTGCTTGTGTGGACTCATTTATGATTCCATTCTCATTCCCTGGCAGCAGTCAGGCTTGATTACAAATCATATCAAAGTTTTTTACTCTTCTGACAAAATGCTAGAATTCTCTAGGATCTCCCTCTTGAATTAGATTGGGACAGAAAGCATTGCCTAGTTTGGTAGAAGAAAAATATTTCTTAATTGCAGAAAAGGGTTATTACCTAATGTAGTGATCTTAACTTCATTTTGATAGTTCTGATGTGTAAAACAATGCTTGATCCAAGCTAAAAACCAGGGCAGTCAAGTTGAACAAACTTTGTAAAGTTTTTAAACTTAGTGTCTCATAGTTTTTCTATGATCTAGTTGAGATTCCTGCATTCCTGCATTGCAAGGGGTTGGACTAGCTGAGCCTTGGAGGTCCTTCAAACTCTGATTCTATGATTCTCTATCTGGATGGTGAAACCCTACAATAAGAGCAGTTTGCACAACATTCCACATCTCCTGCAAGATGTCACGGGGTGGTACAGTTTACAAAGTGTTAATTGCACTAAACTTGTTAGTCTCTGAGATGCTGTACACTTTGTTGCTTGAGACTATTGCAGATCTTCTATTTACTTGATGCTTTTTCACTTCTGGCAATCTTGGTACATATCTCTTGGTTCCAGCAAAAATGAGCCATCATTTACAAATTGCTACCTTAGACAGATGGAGGCCCTAAAAGTTGCAGACAAGTATAATTCAGGTATTCATATAGCCACCTTTACAGGTAAGTATCAGCTGCAGAGAAATAAATAAAAGCTTAAGTTGAATTATGGGCAGTTTTTATTAATGCTAAACTTAATAGTGCTGCTTTTTCTGTCAAAAGCTTTTTGTAAACAATATCTATAAAACACCTATCTGCATTGAATAGGCTGGTTTCTGTCTCCCTCTCTCTATTTTGAAGTCTTATCCATCAAGGTTGAGCTTGTTGGTCAGTTATTGGGAGAACTGGATACCTAATTAAGTTCCCCACATAGATAGAGAACTGCTACTTGGATTAAAAGATTTGGAGAAAATCTCTTCTGCTGCTGCATCCTAAGTTTTCTGGATAGTTCCACCTCAGAATCCTGGCAGAACCTTTTATCTTTTCTTCCTGCTGCATAGCAACAAATTGGAAGTCTAGAAGCATTGTGGTGGCACTCCTTCCACTATGAGATTGTCTGCATTCCTGTGGATCTTGCTCCTCCACCATAGGTGACAGGAATGAGAATCGGGGTGAGGGTGTCTCCCCATTTTCTCTCTAGGCTCTGTTATTACAATATGGGATTAAATGACTATTCAGTATGTTGGCTGCCCCAAGATGAGAGAGCCTGTTGGTGGAACCAGTCTCTCTCTCACCCCCACCTCCACAGGGTGAGAGATGGCAGGGGAGTGCATATACCCTAGGTAAGAGATAGGGTTGACTTGCTTGTTGGAAAAGCAGTATACAAATATTAAATAAAATTAAAAGAGCACTTTGATTTTAGGAGTGAATGGGCTCATGTATGTAATAACCCAATAAAATCAGATTCATAGGCAGCAGCACCAAATGCTGAAGTGCTAGCTCTAGCAAGCACTGGAAAATATTTTAAATTTGTAATGCCAGCTTCAGAGTTTTCCAGTTGCTTCAGTCATCAAATGTCCCATTCTAGTTCATGGCACCTGAAAAGGGAGATGCACCCTGGTATATGTACAGGTAATGGTCAGACTTAGTGTGTGAGAGATAATAAATAAAGAAGATGATGGAGTTGGAGATACAGCATGCTGAATTCAGTAGCCAACTCCTCTGCTCATGCTTGGTCTTGAAAGTATATATATGAGAGCCATGTGCATATTAATTATGAAAGGAGAAAGTTATTTCCGCATTAACGTTTTGTCCAGAATCTTTAATTTCTTGGCAAAGAGATCTAGTCATTTGTTGGGGAAATCGCTGGGTTTTAAGTGAAACTGGAGCATAATCTGTATGCTGTTGGCCAATGGCTTTAAACTGTGTTCTGTGGAAACCCTCCAGAACTTATCTCAGATTCCTATGGGAAGATCAGCAAGAAAAAGATTGCCAGCCATAGGGCTGTGCAAGAAATCGCTGATATTGAAATGGCATTGAAATTATATCCTGATAAGTGTTTCAACAAGGCAATATACCTGTGAACAAAAGGTGGAGACTTGACAGCTTCCCAGGGGGTAGCTCAGCTGAATGAATACTTCGCAGGTACTTTGCAGGCACCAGCTCTTCTGTTTTGTTTGCTCCTCTCTCTCCTCCCTCCCTCCAAAGCCCTCCCACAAACCAGCAAACTCTATCTTTCACACTGTCTCTCCTTGCTTTGTTTGCCCTCCCCTCGCTGAGAAATAAGGACAGTGCCTGTCTGCAGCCAATTTACCTGTAACCCCTTGCAAGCACACAAACCAACTCTTTAAGCCAGGGGTCGGCAACCTAAAGCCCATGGGCCACAAGCGGCCCACGGGGGTCATTTAACCAGCCCCTGAGCCACTCCCGAACCGAGCCGCCCGCTCAGTGAGTTCCCGTGCACTGTGCTAAACTGGCGCAGTGCAGCGTGGGTACTCACTTCTGCGGCGCCAGAAATCGTATCTGCGCAGATGCCGGAAATTGCAGGTGCACACAATCCAGCCCAGGGAGTGATCTCTGCTGCAGTGAACCGGCCCAGGCGAGGTAAACCTTGCAACCCCTGCTTTAAGCCTAACTTCCTCCTCTCACCCAAAAGAGCCCAGCTAATTATGCAGAGCCTGCTAACAATCCAGGAGGAACTAAAGTGCAATCTTCTACATGTTTGCTTAGAACAAGTTGCTTGGATTTGTAGGATTTCCATCTGACTATACATATGTAGAATCTGACTGGAATTCAAATAAGCTAAGAAATGTTGACAGTCTTAATATCAAACTAGGGGTTTAAAAAATCAGCAAAAAAGCAGGTTACAACGTTATTTCTCTGCAGAGCAAAATGTGTTTAAGATGCTGGAAATACTTATGCACATTCTGAAACTAGTTCTTCATATCTATTCTGTGAACTTGGAAAGTACGCATAGGGGATGTTTTTAAAAGGGCTTCAGTTGAACAGTAGCTCACTAGTGGATGATGTTCATCTAATACATCTGAAAGCAATATCTGACTATTTCTGATAATTGCTTATAACTAAGCATGGCTCCTGAGGTCTATAGTGCTTGTGCTTAAACTGGCATAGGTTTATATTTCTTACAGGAATTATTGTTAAGCATAATGGTTTATTTCAGTGCCAAGAATCAAAACATGCTCACTAATGTATTTATAAATGGGCTGATATGCAACACTGTGAGCAGAATTCCTGTCCTCCCTTGAAGCCCCCTACTAGGTTGGTGTGTGAGGTCTGTACCTGGGAAGAGAGGGAGGGGAAGTTTTGTGAGGTGTTCTGAGCTCACATTTGTTGGAAAATTCATACAAAATACTAAATTATATCAGTGTGTTAGCTTCCTATGTACTATTGCTTCCTTGAGTATTTAATTTTAGAATGCTAAATGTCTGTAAATGTCTTTGCTTCCAGGAAGTCACGGCTAGCAGTCGCCACTATGTTGACAGATTATTTGATCCTGATCCCCAAAATGTCCTGCAGGGTGTCATGTAAGTAATATCTACTTGTATGTTATCTTGCCATTAGTTCTGTGGGTTTGTGTGAAGCTTTTCCAGAGCTTGCTTTTACAGGTGTATAGCTGTGCATCACTTACTTGAAGTGTTACTGATGAAATATATTTTGATACTACCTTCATGTAGAATAGGTAACAATTCTCTTCTTTACTAAGGCTGCAGTACCGACTGCATTGAAGTCAGAGGTATTTACTTTTGAGTAGATATGGTTAGGATAACACTGTTAATCTTTTTCTTTTGATAGTATGAAGGTCTCTAAGTTGCTTTCTGAACTGTATTTATTACTTTATCTTCCAAGCCTGATATAAATCTCCTTCTTTGCTGTCCCATGCTAGTACTCACATGCACTTGGGATGAGAATCCCTACATAGAATATTTTAAAATACAGACACACTTATTGCACTTTGCAATATAGATGCAGCCGTAAGCAGCCTGGCCATTTCCAGGGGAAGAAAGCCCCCCACTGCCGGCCCTCTTCTAGCCACAGGAGTGGAGCTGGCTAGGGCTGGAGCCAGGTTTTCCTCCTCCTGCCTCTGCAGCTAGGGGGGCCTGGCTTACAATAGTGTAAGCATAACTTTTATATGCACTGAGAAACAAAAAAACAAAAAAAAGCCATTTGGGACAGGGAGCTCATATATTTGACACTCACACAGGATCCTTCTCATAATGCTAAACTGATTCAGCATACAGTCCAAATGAGGCCAATGAGGTAAGACTCTGGTGTTGAATTTGGAGACTCTGATTTATGAAATTGATTATTATAAATAATATACTAGCACAGTTCAGACACAAGAAGGAAACTATGGTTTCTTCCTCTGTTGTGAATTTGATATGGCAGGCCTCAAGCTTTAGCATCTCTTTCACATGTCAGAGAAGGAGAAACTATTCTTGTATTCTTTTCTTATACCCTCCAAATCATGTGCTCAGCAATTTGTTTGGCTCTCAGAGTTTGATATTTATGACTCTAGAAGCCAAGCATCATCTTGGTAAAACAACATTGCCTAGTATCCACTAGTCCTTGCTTCTGGAAAGGTCTGGATGCTTAGGACTGTGTCCAGTGCTGCAACTCTGCTGGTGCGACTGACTTTTCTGTGTTCTGTGGAGCTTCCTCTTCCTCTTTTGTCACCTTCATCCCCTTGCACTCTGAAGATAAGTGCTCCAGTGTTAGGAACGACCTAGAACAGATTTTGAAGACCCCAGCCAGGGCGGGGGGCAGGAATACAGAAGTCCTTTTTCAGCAGCAGAACCCCACAGGTGCAGCATTGGCCAGAAAGATTAAACTTCAAGTAAACGATCTTTAAGAAGATAGAATTTTTCATGCTGCATGACCATGGAGGGTCTGGATTATACTTGTAGGTTGTACAAAGATGCTTCTTAGTAGCAAACCAATGTATATTTATTTAAACTATTTTTATTCAGTTCTTCAGCCAAAAAAGGCTCCCAGAGTGGCTTACAAATATCAGCAATAAAACAGTTCCTTCTCTCAGTCTTGCAACCTAAAGGGCATGACACACAAGGAAAGGCAATTGGGAGGGAAGGGGGGTGGAAGCTAATTCTGCCACCATTTGTTAGTTAGCATTCTTTTAGTAACCATCTGAATTGGAAAGATTTCAGTGAGAGGTTGAAACAAAAGTTGATGGTCTTTTCAGAACAAGAAAAGTAAACCAGGAAAATAAATTTCTCAATTTGATTCTTTCACTGATCTGTTAAAAAATAATCTCACTCCTGCAAATAGCACTATTACACAAAGGAGGAAAACTAATAGCATATGTGACTGAGGATACTATGTCCCCCCACATGATTTGACCCATAGCTTTCAAATGAGTAATGCTTTCGAACCATTCCATGAGCTTTGCTGTGATAGGCCAACTCCATCAGTCCTCTCCCCTCAACTGTCACTGTTTGGGGCAGCCATTCCATTGGGCAGCCTAAGTGGAAGCAATAGGCTCATTCCATCAACTTTGCTGGAGGTCCAGCTCCATCAAACACCTTCTGCCCCTGAAATTTGCCAGGAACAACTGTTTAGAAATTGGTGCCTGAGTTTGATTTTGATTTTCCTCTTCTTTCCCTGTTCATTGCCTATGTGTGTTGTGGTGTTTTTTTTAGATTGGAAGCCCATGAGTAGGGACTGTCTTATTGGATTGTATGTAAACTGGGAGCCTTTTTGGCTGAAGAGTGAGGTACAAATGCCCTAAAATATATAATCTTCTGACCCTTCTCCAGCTCTTTATGCAAATCTCAGAAGAATTCAAATGCTCCTCTCCTTCCTAAGCCTTGGACTTTAGGTAGTTACAGCTGTTTTAGTATATTAATCTGTTAGCCAGTTTCTCCAGACACTTTAAAAAGGGATTAGTGCATATACATCAAAATATGTACCTCTGGTAAACTGATAATGTAAACTAGTTTTGTGGCAGGTATGCTGAAAGAAGGTGATATTTGTCAGCTTTTGTTGCACTGAAATGTTTAATAGGTATTCTGTGATTGTCAGTAAAACTGAATTTCCTACTTTGGATGGTGGAAGCTGCCCTGTTTGGGATATGTGATAGTTCTGATAGATTAATAAGCATGCACTAAGTATAGCTATCCTATAATGAAGAGATTTATTTATATGGCACTATTTTTTCACATCTTACGTGTAACTTTTCTATAAACTTGGGAGTGTAATTTCTTAAGACCACCATGTCTTTTTCTCTAAACACAGAAACATATTTGGCATTTGTTGAGCACTTATAAGATTTTGTCCATAAACATTTGAATAATGCAATCTTTTCTCTGTTGCCTTTTCTTGTTCTGTGATGTTGGTCATATGTGCGTGTGGAATTCTGTATGTTTTAGTGACTTACTGAATTCCAAATTGCTATCCTCATGTGAAATTCCATCTGCAGAAGTAGAAAAAGTCTGAAGTAGAACAAAAATTGCAGTATATTGGGGAAAAATATTTCCATTTTTGATCTAGAAGAGCATGTAATCACTTTCATGACCAATGACTTTGTTAATTAATTTGTGTATATGCCATACTGCTATAAAACTAGAAACGTATTACATATGTTATCATATCCCACTTTGTGATGGAGTAAAAATGGTGGCCAGCCTTCTTTAAGGTGGATTATTGCTCTAAAATCCTTCCCTTTTGGTTAAGCAAAATAGCCTTTAGGACACCACTTTGATTTCACCTACATTTAGCTGTCTGTGTTCCAAAAACAAAGCATTTTAACTCTTAATTGGTCTAGTTGGAACCTTTTGCTCCAAAGATTTTCAGCTGTGAGCCTTCAGAAGCAGTATTCATGTGCCGTACTTGCAAGTGCATATGGGCATAGCTTGACTGGATCTACATTCTTTAGGACTGCAAAATGCTTTGTTTGAAGATGTCACTTTGGTTTAAATATAATGTTATGGTTTCACAAGGTGACTACAACTAATTTTACTTGAGTGGAGCTGTCAAATTACTTTTTAAGATGGGAGGAGGGACTGGCATGGGGAAAGACTAAAAGGATATATTTTATTGCCAGTAGGTAGATATTAGGAAATGTATATTGCAGATAGGTTTTGTAATGAAGTTTATAGCACTGAATGCAGAAGCAGATGGCTTCTGTTCACCATTCTTTAGCAGCACCTGCCTATATCTAGTATGCATTAAATGCCTCCATTTTCTTCACAGAATGGGGAGGAGTTGGGGGATGCATCTCAGTTTGTGCCAGAACTTGCAATTGTCATTTTTCTCTTAAACTGTACTTCATACTTGTGCAATGCCCATTCTGGCTTCATCAGTAAACAGAATAGAGATTTCTTGCTATACTTAGCCAGATAAAATTGTGTTTGATCATTGGTAAAACTACTGTATATCTGTCAGGAGGTCCTACACACAAGTAGGAATCCGGCAGAGACACATGCCCGGCTGGCATGTTCTCTCCCTCCTGGTCAGTCGTTCGGAAGACTCAAAGTCTTTTTCCAGCCCGAACATCACAGTGGCTGATGCCTCAGAGGCATCAGCACACTTCAGGAACAGCAGAGTATAGGCAGTCAGTGTAACATACTCAGTAGCTCAGCATTTTGGCTAAACTACTTTATTTACATATAATACACTCAGAGCATTCTAACTCAGCTCCTTCCTCATCAGCATCAAACAGGAAAGAGAAAGAACAAAGGACAAAAATCCTACATCACGGAAACACAGTAATAAAAACATCCTGTCTCCGTCACTTCCCACAATGTGGAATGAAAACACACACCGTCATGTGATAAAAACAATCCCATGATTGCAACACGGGGAAAGAATCCTAACAATATCTTGGTACTTCCTTCATCTCCTTTGATATTCAGATCCAGAATGTATTTGATCTTTATGGACTTCTATCACATAGGAAGAAAAGGAACTCATTCTGGTCACATGTCTTCCATGATCTTCATGGAACAAGACACAATTTTTCCTTAGTTATCTAGGTCCCGGACCCATAACAAGCTGAGGGTCCCAGAAGCAAATCCTATTTTAGCCATGAACTCAATAGTTGACTTTGAACGAAGTAATATCCATTGACCTAGTTACATATGGTGAGATACAACTTTGTGAATGTCCACTCAAGCAACATGGCTTCTTCTTCCTGCTCCCAGCCCCCTGCATGCCCCCAGAATCAGATTTGGAGGATTAGTAGACCCTTGAGCAGATTTTGGGAGTACATGGGGAGCTGGAGAGGGAAACGAGAAGCTAAAGTCCCATTGCACAAGTGAATTTCTGTTGCATAAGTGGACAGACATCATTGAATGTCACCCATAATATTATCAGTATTGTTGCTGTTATCCAAAATATAACATATATAAATTGTATAAAATAGAATTTTAAAATTGAAGGAGATAAAAATTAAAGCAGTTAAGTGTAAAACTAATAAATTTCTCAGCTGACATCGACATATCAACACACCTTCCCAGTTACTGATACAGTTGTGCATAATCTTGCACCTTATTACAGTGGTACCTTGGGTTAAGAACTTAATTCGTTCTGGAGGTCCGTTCTTAACCTGAAACTGTTCTTAACCTGAGGCACCACTTTAGCTAATGGGGTCTCCTGCTGCCGCCGGAGCACGATTTCTGTTCTCATCCTGAAGCAAAGTTCTTAACCCGAGGTATTATTTCTGGATTAGCAGAGTGTAACTTGAAGCGTCTGTAACCCGAGGTACCACTGTATTCTAAAACAATATGAAATTTATGATAATCAAAAGCATTGTTCTGCTTGCAGCATGGGAGGTAGTATGGCTCCAAAGATCAATTGCTGGAAATTACAATTTTTCAATTTTGGCTACAACAATCTCTGGCATGTCATGGGCTGATTTCAGATTACAGGACTCCCTGCCCATGTGTTCCCCTTCTGCTGGGATTCAAAAGTCCCTCTATAGGTACCATGTGGTTTGGGGGGCCTCGGTATCAGGGCGGATGGGGTGGGAGTGAGGCTAAGAGTATTGCTAGTGAGTAACATTACTTTCTCCCCCTGTGGTTGGTGGCCAGGGCTGACCTACTTCAATGATATAAAGCTCATGACTGTTGCAAATTATTCAAAGACTTGCAGTACAGGGCTTACTCTGAGCACAGTGGGACTTCCTTCCATCAGGCTTTCTCCCTTGAAAGTGTGTTTAGTTTTACAACCTTAATCTCTTTAATTCACAACTCTATGAAATTTAGCAATGGCATGCTAGAAAATACATAGTCGTTCAATTGGAAACTTTAGCACTGTAATTTTATTATTAAAATATTTACTTAAATCTAAAACTGATGAACTTTTTCTTCCAATGCAAAGATGAGAAAGCTTTCAAGTAGGAAACAGTTACTAAGTTAATGTCATCATAAGAGATCAGTGTCACCTTGGGGAGATAAATGGGATATCATAGCTAAATGTTCATCTCCTCTTTACTCAAATGTGTGGAAAGACAGTCACTTGAGCATTCTTTGTTGCTTCTGCATAATATTTGAAAGGGTATTTGAATTGTACTGTCAATTGTTTTTAGAGGAACAAACGGTGTTGTCGTCCTCTAAAATTCTTATTAACATCATCACTTTCTTTGGTTCCAAAAGATTAATTCCTTTTCGGTATCAAATTGACTGATAAAAATATAGAGAGAAGTAGGCAAATAGCCTTTCTGTAAATGCAGAAAAGGTAAGATGATGATAGGAAATAAGTCTACATTCACTATGTTTGAATTGAAGTTGGAATGAGGAAATTGCTGTAAGAGACTAGAAAAGGTTTGAGGAGAGTAGCTACAAAGTGTGTGGTGCTGCATCATAAATATGATTGAAAGTTGATGGTTGGCATAAAGATTAGCATCAAGGAAGCTTTGTATGACTGTAATTTCCACTGAGGAAAATATTTCAGTATTTCATTCTACTGTGATTTTAAATTCAAGACAAGATAGGTTCTCATCTTATTACATATTTCCTTTCCATTTTTTCATTGACTGTGCACTGACTCTCTACATCCTTATTTTCTTGATACTGATAACTGTCCTTGTCAATTATTTCTTCATCTCAGCTCACCCCAGTATGTGAGAATGAACATCTCTGTTATTTAAATAACTGGGTCATAGAAAAATATCAGAGATTCAAATTGTTACTGAAAGTCGTGGGGACTGTTGCTTGGTTTGTTTGTTTTTTTAGTGCTTAGCTTTTTTAGAGACTATTGATTTTGGTGGAACTAAATTCTGCAAAATTGAGCCCTTAGTACCTCAGCATAATTTACTAGGGTCTTTCTCTTTCTGGATTTACAGAGATATGAAAAATGCTGTAATTGGAAACAACAAACAAAAAGCCAACTTGATTGTTTTGGGAGCAGTTCCAAGGTATGTCCTCTGCTACTCTCCTTTTCACTGATTCACAGCAGGTCTCAAGTTAAGCTATTAAGATACTGGGACTTTAATTTGACTGTCTGTCATTGCATTTGTCTTTTCTTCACTGTAGCTGAGATTAGTATGTCCAGTTCCTAGTATAAAACTAATTATGCATACACATTTATACTACAGAAGTTGGGTTTTATGGGTGATACCCACATTTCTCAGAAAATACTTTCCCAAACATACTTGATTAGTAAAGCCTCTTAAGATTCAATGCAATTTGAAACAGCTTTAAGTTTTCTCTGTATCCCACTTACCAAAAATAAGAACTGTATAACAAAACATATAATTTTTGTATTTCTGTAAGATGTTTCAGTTTGGGCTGCAAAGTTTAATACCTTTTTTAGGTCATACCACTTTTTTTGTAGCCCTGAATAAACATAAGGACTCTGAGACCTGCTGACTGTTAGTCTTGTATTGCATCCCTTTTGCAGTTTGTTTAGTATTCCTAGCTTCATGTTGCATTTTAAAACAACAAAAAAACAAACAAGAATGGGAACTGGTTGATTTCTTCTGGAAAACCCTTTAGTCATAAAACATCAAAATAGTTGCATTTCAGTCTGTCTACCTGATGCTGATTATCCCCATAATTTTTTGGAACATTGTTTAGCATTTTTACTGGTTGGTGTCTTTTTCTTCTACAGTAGTACCTCGGGTTAAGTACTTAATTCGTTCCGGAGGTCCGTTCTTAACCTGAAACTGTTCTTAACCTGAAGCACCACTTAACCTGAAGCACTATTTCTGGGTTAGCGGAGTCTGTAACCTGAAGCGTATGTAACCTGAAGCGTATGTAACCCGAGGTACCACTGTATTTTGTGGGTATTAGATTTTGCTATGTACAGTGGTACCTCTGGATACGAACGGGATCCCTTCCGGAGCCCCATTCGCATCCTGAAGTGAACGCAATTTGTCACTTCTGCGCATGCGCGTGATGTCATGTCGAGCGCATGCGCGAGCGGTGAAACCTGGAAGTAACGTGCTCGGTTACTTCCGGGTCACTGCGGAGCGCAACCCAAAAACGCTCAACCCGAAGCTACTTCAACCCGAGGTATAACTGTATCCCATAAAAGTGTAAACATCAGTTTCAGTAACTGTCATTTATAAACATAATCAGCATACCTCAGCTACTTGGTGTAGGCACTTCATGAATCTCTCTTAAGTTTTATGATAATTAAAAAAATAGATGTTTGAAGACACATTAGCATGTATTTTTAGATATGCAAGTTTAACTGAATTGTGCCTCTTTTCAATGGAAGACACACATTTACTAGGCCATCTTTCAGAATTTTGTCAGGTTTTGCTGACACTGCCCTCTCTGTATGAATTAGATGTTATAATTAAAAAACAAACATAATTTCTGCATAAGGTGGCATGACTTCTGAAATCAGCCCATGTTAAAGTTCCTCTAATATCATTCACTTCAAGAAGGTTTGTTTTGTAAATTTACCTTCAGACAAGAGTTTGTTTGGAAATTTTTCAAGACAAACTCTTAAACTAATATACTGTATCACATGGTGCAGTTTCAATTTACTTATAAAAGAAGAATGCTGCCACTTAGGTTCTTGACTTGTGCTGGGCAAAGGAAATGTGTACAGCTTATGGGATGTTGACTTTTGTTGTAATCTTCATGCTTTTCTTTCCTGCTATAGCATCACTGTACAGGAGTGCAATTTCCACAGCCACCACAACTTGATTCTTTATGTTGAATTCTTGTAGCCTTACTAAAACAAATGCAGTAACCCACTCATTTATGTGTACCTCTGTTTTGATAAATTGGACAGAAGGTACTGATGGCTGTTTGTCTGGAAGGAATTTTGTGTGTCTGATAACTTTTATCAGACTGTCAGTGACTATTTCTTATGAATTCTTAGTCACTGAAAACCAGTTTATAGAAAGGCAGTGTTGTTTGGCATAACTCAGCTGTGAATCCATTGGCAAATGTATATTAATGTATAATACCCTCTATTTTTTCACTGTTAATGATTTATTGGCTTACCAGAATATAAAAGTAAGCCAATCTGTACATCATGAGTCTTCTGGAAAATCTGTTTTGAAAGTGCTCAGTATAAGTATAGTCCCGTATTTCTAGAGCAGTGAATTGGGGCTCCACTGTAACGACATATGGAAGTAAAGAGGCTGATAGTGCCCAAGACCCTGAGTTATGCTGGTTTGATCAGTCAGTTTCTTCATAATCACAACTTCTTTCATAACCATTGAGGTTTACTTGGAGCAGACTGGAAGGAGGCTGTTTTTGGAAATCATGGCATCTGTTTGATCAGATTTCACTTAAGCTTTTTGACAAATTAATGATGTCTCTAAATATTTGGTAGGCTATGACTTGACTTTTCAGTGATTGCCAGGTGTGCTCTTCCCTCTTGGATTGGTGCATTCCTCATCCTGCCCACTCATTGCTAGCTATGATTAACATTGCATCTGTACATTGTCAAATCTTAACCATACCTACTTCTATAATCTTGGTATCAAACTATGTTTAATATTGCACGGTGCAGATTTAGCGCTAAGAAGGCAAAAGAATCATGCAATGCTGAGGAAGGGTAGTACGTGAGCCTCAGGTATGCATCCTGTCTCTTACCCATAATTAAGAGATCTGGAAGTGTTAGTCTGCAGTGAGCTATATTGAAATGTAGTTTTAATCCCACTCTAGAACTTCTAGAGATTCTTCTGTTGCTGTTGAACCAGACATAGCTAGAATCAGGCACTCCTAGCCACTGAGGTCAGCCTCAAGGGACAGTATTGGAGCCAGGAGTACCCCTAAGCTATGATTATGTTGCTTCCAGGGGCATACAACTGCATCCAGAACAGGCCGTCTTTCCACCTAGTTTCAGTTTGTTGGGCCATTTCTCACCCATCACTGCCTGCAAACACCTGTCTGGCACCTCAGTGCCTCTTCTGATTCAGATAGAACAATGAGAGCAAGAGTTGGGTGTCATCTGCATATTGGTAACACTTCCCTTCAAAATCCTTGATGACAGGCCACTGTGGCTACATGTAGATGTTAAATAGCATGTTCTATTAACCAGGAGTGCCTGGCGTTCTCTGGTCCATGGGGTCACGAAGAGTCGGACACGACTAAACAACTAAACAACAACAACATTAACCAGAAAGGAAATATGGTTATGGTGGTAATATTCATGAGGCCTATGCAGCAACCTTTTAAGAACATCTCATGATCTCCTGACAAGTTAGGCCAGAAAGTGTGTCTGCTTTTCTGTGAAGAATACACACAGAATGCTCCTTTGTGTATTTTGCAGGGAGTTGGACTAGATGACCCATGGGATCCTGTCCAACTCTACAGTTTTATTAAACACCTGAGATGCAGTTTTCCATTGTAATACCATAGGATTGCATCTAGAAGCTATGCTGAAACAGGCAAATGTTCAAAGTTCATTACTAGCAGAAAAATTCATGCAAAAATAAATTATGTAGGTGTGTTAATTTGTGTTCTGTAATTTGTAAGCACAAATGACACTTGTCAGCAGAAGTGGAAGCAAATTATAGGAGATGATCATCCATGCTTGGTTAAAGGTAAAGGGACCCCTGACCATTAGGTCCAGTCATGACTGACTCTGGGGTTGCAGTTCTCATCCCACTTTATTGGCCGAGGGAGCCGGTGTACAGCTTCCAGGTCATGTGGCCAGCATGACAAAGCCACTTCTGGTGAACCAGAGCAACACACGGAAACGCCGTTTACCTTCCCACTGGAGCTGTACCTACGGTATTTATCTACTTGCACTTTGACGTGCTTTCAAACGGCTAGGTTGGCAGGAGCAGGGACCGAGCAACGGGAGCTCACCCCGTCGCGGGGATTTGAATCGCCGACCTTCTGATTGGCAAGTCCTAGGCTCTGTGGTTTAATCTACAGCGCCACCCAAGCCTGGCCTAATTGTAGTATAGTAATGTAGGAGAAAGAGGAATGGTATGTAAGGGAACAGGATTCATAAGGAAATGGTGCTTGCATCTGTGTACATGTACACACTGGCTTACAATACATGTAGTTGACCCTTATTTTAAAGAGAGGTTAAAAATATAGGGCTTTCCCTCCATCTTTACCACCACTTCTGACCTGAACCCCAAGAAAACGGGGCTTATCCACTCTCTAAGAAAAGCTCAGCAACTTTGACCTGAACCCCTAAAAAACAGGGGCAGATCACTGCCAGTTTTTAATTCTGTGAGTAGATCTCAGTTTCTTGGAAGTTGGCCACCCCTGCTCTAGGGCAATTTGTCAATATTGTCAATGTATGATTGCCTAATACTTCAAATTAATCAGCAGGTGAATGGAATCCTGCAGTGCATATGTAACATTGGACTTCTGTCTTCAAATACTCTTTATTTTTTAACTTTATTACATTTATATCCCACTTTTATTCCATTGTGAAACCCAAATGGTGTGCATGTGATTCCCAGGTGATCTTGGTGTTGACCAGACCAGCTTAGCTTCTAGCAGATGATTCTATTTTAAGTGACACACTCTTAGTGAAAATGCTCTGAGGATCAGAGTGCCTTTAGATTCCTCACAAAGAAAATAATCTTATGGGAGATACCTAAAAATGATAATACTATTGATTCTAATGACTTCAGAGTAGTTGATTATGATGACCAAAGCCTATAATGCTATTATGTAGTTTGTGCAAGACTCTACTTGATATGCTAGGTGTGAGAAACTGATCATAGTGATATACAGAGTCACTTCTTCCATTAAGCTTATCCTGTTAGGCTTGTTCATTCTCAGTGTTTGGAGTTGTTTGGACCTGCTGCAGATACTAAAGTTATTTTTTTAAAAAAATATAATCACAGGCAACCTTTTCAACTCTTGTTTCTGGAATAAGCATTGAGATTGACCTGCAGAAGTGATGGCTTGGAATTGCTGTAATATTGAATTTTCTTCCCTTTACCACCTAGGAGAGTCGTCTTTTCAACTACTGTTCCTTACTCTTGGGGTGCAGGGTGGGTTTTGGGGAAAGGCTGTGTAGTTATACCTACCTGAGCCAAAGAATTAAAATGCTGCCGCAATGTTCATGTACCCAGAGCATATGAGTTAGCACAGACCTGCTGCATTTGTGTTCAATCTTTTATGCCAGAGGAGTTTTTAACAAGTTCAGCATAATAGCTGGATGGGTTTACTTGTGGACTCTACTAATAATACTGGCACTGTTTGCCATCATGGTAAGTTATAGTGTGAAACAAACTGTGGTTTAGCTATGGTCAAATCCCACTTACCTCACTCTTTCCTTTACCCAAGCCAGAAGGCAACAGACCATAATACTGACTTGTCTCTACATGTGATCTAGGTTTTTTGAGCTGTACGCATGAGAGAGCAAATGGTTCACAGTAAAGCATAGTTTGTTTCAATCTATGATTTACCATGATATGTGAACCAGACCACTGTAGTAGTGAAATCTGAGTAATTGCATTTTCTGTGCATATTTTCAATGTTTTAGGTTTACACTTAAAGTGTAGTGTAGTGAATGTGACAAACACATCCATTATACAAGTTCACTCACCTGAAAGTGTGATTCACTGTGAAGTGCATTGAGTATACACTTTGGGGTATGTGTGATATTAAAATTTTAGTAGTGAAGTATGAATAACGTCAAGTATGGTAAGTGTGACTTTTTCTGCTTGACATCTTTTCATTTTTTTATATAAAAATGTCATTAAGAGTACAGTCATACCTCAGGTTACAGCCGCTTCAGGTTGCGTTTTTTTTGGGTTATGCACCTGCCGAAACCTGGAAGTACCGGAACGGGTTACTTCCGGGTTTCGACGGCCGTGCGTGCGCAGAAACTCTGAATTGCAACCCATGCGTGCGCAGACGCGCCGCTGCAGGTTGCGAACGTGCATCCCACACGGATCACGTTCGCAACCCAAGCATCCACTGTACTTAATTATCTTCCCTTGTTTCAGTAAGAGATCCAGTTAATCACTTTTCCATTATTGCTTGGAAGAGTTAAAATGTGTGTGTTTGCAAAGGGGAGGGATACCTTTTTTACATACCTTTTGTGTGCAGTCTTAAGCAAATGTGTGGAATGTGCTACTGAGATTCTTTCTGAAGAGGATTAATTAACAGAATCTCATGATCCTATTAAGGAACGTTCTTTTCTGTAGTCTCTGCATGGGATGTAAAGTAAGAGGTTGGTTTGTATAATTAACATAAATACGAAGTGGTTAAGTACTTGCAGTAATTAGTATAGGACAAGGAAGTTGAGGAAGAATGTCTGAATACATATAAGGTTGAGGCTGCCAGTCAGTTGACTGGTCCAAATTAGGTCAGTTGACTACTATCAAAAACAACAATATATCAAGGCTGCTTCTACTAGCCACCTTGTAGAACCATAGGTATTTCTGAACAGGATCACAAGCAGTCATTGGGGCCATAAGTCTCTCTCTTTGATTCCCTCTTACTTATTGCAGCATCCTGAGAATCTGCTGTGGCTATCTGACCTTTACAGAAGGTCAAGTAGTGGATTGGACTTGAGTCTAGAAACATATACATTTGTTGTTTGAAAATAATTTGTGTAAAAAATGAAAGTATCAAACTTAATGGATAAAGTATCTTTTGTTAATATTTTTTAAAATAAAACAACAAAAAACCTTGTCTATTATTTGACAAGTCTGTTGACCAAATCTCTTTTTACTGGTCAAATGCTTGAATAGTTAACATTTCTGTGGATATGAATGCAAGAGTATGGTAGTTACATAGGTTAAACGATCCATAGGATCAAATATTAATCTGTCTTGGAAATAATATTTTAACCATTTAGAAGGATAAAATCATGGGGCAGTTCTCCCTAAGACAGTGGTTGGAACAAAAATTTGTAGAACTACTGATAGTTGGAATTATATACTTCATCATACTTGTTTTATTTGTGTTGTGCTTTCTTGACTGTTACCTGTGTGGTTTATTTTTTTATTGAATAAAATACCTTGACAAAGCAAAAAGCCTAAATAATTACTCTCTTTTAAAAATCTTCCTGGGAAATGGCAAATTCAGATTGTTGCAGAAAAATGATTTTAGAAACTTTGGGTCAAGGAAATAGTCCTCTGATATCTTGAATTAAACCAGGGTTCTTCAAGCTCGGCCCTCCAGCTGTTTTAAGGCTGCAGTTCTCATCATCCCTGACCACTGGTCCTGCTAGCTAGGGATCATGGGAGTTGTAGGCCAAAAACATCTGGAGGGCCGAGGTTGAGAAAGCCTGAGTAGTAAACTGATCAGATGAGTTAGAACCTAGGCCAAGAATGGGAGGAAAAAAATCCTTTCTTGAAGTAATTTATTAGTCTGAGGGATTAAAGGATGTTATGTTTGTATTCTTATGTTTATAAGTAAGGAAAAAAGGGCTTTGAATGATAGAGTTTTAAGAGAATCTTAATGGTCATCTAGTCTAACCTTCTGCCAAATCAGGAATCTACAACCACCATATCCCTGATACATGACTTTCAGACTCTGCTGCTAAGGAAAAATCTGCAGCCTTTTGAAATGGTTTATTCCACTGTACAAGCTGTTAAGACATCAGTTACTCATAATATTTAGTCTAAATTGTTTTTCTTATAATTGTGCACCCACTGGTTTGGTTCCTCTCGGCTGCAGGAAACAAATTAGAGTAATCTATATGACAGCCTTTAAAATGTTTGTAGATAGTTATCTTCTTGATACACATTAAGAGTAGCACACATACACATTAAGAGTAGCACACATTAAGAGTAGTTTGAGCAGTTTATCTAGCCAGACTGTGTGTAGGGCCTTGTGGATCTGAGTTGGTGAATACTGCTTCTAAACCCTTGAACCTCTGAGTGTTTAATCAGATGGGTCAGATTTTGTTAAGACCTCATCATCACTTTCTGTTGGGATGTTTTGTATTCCTCAGTGTACCATTCTCTGGGTGATGAAACTGTGGCTTTAGGAGGATAAATGATGTATTACAAGCATTTCTTATAGATGAAGGTGGCAGAGAGCCATGACTGTATGTTCTAGTTCAATGAATGGATCAGTCTCTCTGGTCTTTGTCAGTTTCTGTTCCTTTCTGTTTCTGCGTTAATCTGCATTTTTATTAGCTTCTGTGAAAATTTATATTTAAATATGTATTTTATTATCACAAAATAAATCCAAATGCAAATATGAATTATCTTGATGTATGTATTTCTAAACTTATTTAATCCTAAATGCACATTTTAGTGTAAATCTTGAGCAGTGAATTGTATCACGAAATTTTGACAAGTGCAAAACCCAAAGTACTGTATTCAGGTCCATGTATTAGTCTGGGAAGTGCAAATTAGGCTAGTTCTCTTAAAAATATAGGCCAAACAAAGTTCTGCATCCCTATCTAGTTCTTTGGGCAAAAAGGGGGCTGATTAAGTCTTAAAGGTTTTGAAACTTCTCTCAGTTCTGGCTTCCTTCCTCGTTAAAGGGGAAAAGTCATACAGGTGACTTTCAGGAGTAGTGAGGTGGCACAGGACTAAGAAGCTTGGATAAATGGCATGGTGTTAGGTATCTTGTAGTGGCATTCTACCTGCAACAGCTTTTGCTTTTCACCTTCCATCCCCAATCTTTCTTTTAGTCTGAAGTGGCAGGATACTGACAGCCAAACTACACATTTAGCTGTACATGCTTTTAGACAAGCAAACCTAAGCCATCCACTTTGACAGTGATACTTTGAGTTCTTGTGAGTTAAAAATGGCATGAATATTAATTCAGTGTTTCATATTTTTATGCTAATTTGGTTGATTTGGTCAGTTTCACTGTATACAAGGATTGTGCACATGGCACTATAGCTATTGAATTAGGCACCTCAGGCAGCATTCAGAGCTGTTTCTGGAAGAGGGCATTCTGGTGAATGCCTGTTTCTGGAAGAGGGCATTCTGGTGTGATCTTCTGAAATGGGATACTTTCCTAATAAAGTAAGGCTTTAATCCTAACCCCACTTACCACGGGGTCATACCCATTAAATTCAGTAGGATTTGCGAGTGAACATGGATAAGATTGCATTGCAAAACTCTGAAATACATCTCAGAAAGATGAGGGACGTAAAGCTGATCCTTATTCATGGTGACTGATAAAGTAGTCATCTGAAAATACATTTAGATTTAAAAGTCCTTCAGTTGAAAGAACATTTTATGAAATAACTGCACCATCTTCCCAAATAAAGACAGAATTCATATGATAGAATGAAATAAAGCAGTAGGATCAATTGCTTACAGTTAAAGTGAATTCCAGCTGTAGTGAACAGATCATTTGTATCAGTGTAAGTCTTAATGGAATTTGATGTCTAGAATAAAGGAGTACTTTCTGTATGTCTGTGAAAGAATCTCATAGATCAGTGTGTGGAACTTTTCTGGCTCCAAAGGCCAGATCAGTATCAGGCCAGTGGTATGGCCTAGTTTAAATGTCACCTGATCACCTGATTGGCAGGTGGGCATGGCCAATTTCAAGGGTACGTAGGGAGCTTTAGGGGAGAGGAGGGGGAAGTTCTGTTCCATGAGTGAAAGTCTGCTTTGTGAGCAGAACAGCAGCATCGACTGTAACTCTAGGTCAGGGGTTAGCAACCTTTTTCAGCCGTGGGCCGGTCCACCGTCCCTCAGACCATGTGGTGGGCCGGACTGTATTTTTTTGGGGGGAAATGAACGAATTCCTATGCCCCACAAATAACCCAGAGATGCATTTTAAATAAAAACACATTCTAATGTAAAAACATCAGGCAGGTCCCACAAATAACCCAGAGATGCATTTTAAATAAAAGGACACATTCTACTTATGTAAAAACACGGTAATTCCCGGACCATCTGTGGGCCGGATTGAGAAGGCGATTGGGCCACATCTGGCCCACGGGCCTTAGGTTGCCTACCCCTGCTCTAGGTTATGTGACAGCTCCACCAGCGTTGCATGTTGTCATGTTGGGCAGGGCTAAGATTTGTTGTTGTCTAACAAGTTGCATATGCCTCAGCAGAAGTGTGTGTGGGGGGGGGGGAATATTCCAACTCTTTCTTTAGGGTTGTGTTACAGCATATCCCTTTTTATAAATGGGCATCTGGAGGTCCCGTTTAGTTGTGATAGCAGGGAGGAGGCTAGGAAGGTAAAAGGTTCTCAATACTAGATTTTGCTTTTTGACAATGTGCTCTAGATTTGTTCTAAGGTTTCAAACTCATTTTGCTTAATTCTTTCTTTTAGAACAATATAATTACAAATGAGAGCTACTCTGATTCCTTAGATATTACCCTGCTTTTACCAGTCTTCCATTTTCTTTTGGTTCTTACACACCTGTTCCTTAGTGTTGGTATCTGATATTGTCTTTTTTTTTTTTTTTTTAATAGTTAATATTTATTGAATTTTCAGAAAATAACAACAAAAATTTCCAAAAAAAATTTAAGGATACAAAAAACAAAATTAGTGCATAAACAAAAAAGAAAAGAAAACCCAGCCCCAAAGAAAAAAAGAGAAACAGAAAACAAAAATATAAAGTCCTTTACCATCTCTATTGACTTCCTTTCTAGACTTCCTCCTCCTCCCCTCTTTTGTTTCTTAATTTTTAATTCTTACAGCAAATCCTTTCTGTTTTTTCATAACAATCTGTCATTACGTTTCCTTATTCTATTTTCCCTCTTGTCATATAAAAACTTTAAAACTCATAGCTTATATTCAATATTTACCAAATTCTTGCATCATTACCTTTTTACGAATCATTTACCAATCCTTACTTAAGTCATGTAATTTCATTCAACATCCTTCAAACATTTGTAAGCATTCCCAATATTAAAAAGTAAAAAAGAAAAAATAATAAGTCAAATTCAGTCCAGTCAGCTTCCTTATTGTCTCCTTATCCCCATTAGTCCATCTTATGTAGACTGGACAGTCTCCAGCGTAGGATTGTGTCCTTTCTGTGTATATCACTTAACTCACGACTTGGGCTAACACAGAGTAGAGCAGTGTTTCCCCTTTCCATAGTACCTGCTTACTTTTAACATAAAATAGTTATTTGTTTGAATTATGCTTTGCTAAGTCAAACTTTTCTTTTGTGTTTCCATATATAGGTTGCTATACTTGCTTCAGCAAGAAACGTCCAGCACTGAGCTGAAAACTGAATGTGCAGTGGTGCTAGGAAGCCTTGCAATGGGTACAGAAAACAATGTTAAATCTCTTCTGGACTGCCATATCATACCAGCCTTACTACAAGGTACCTTCATTTTCATTATTGTTACCCTCTTGCACAGCATCCTCTTTGCACAGCATTTGAGAACTGGAAAAAGTTTCTCAACTTGTATTCACAGGGTTACTGTCGCCAGATCTTAAATTTATTGAAGCTTGCCTCAGATGTCTTCGCACCATTTTTACCAGCCCTGTAACTCCTGAAGAACTATTGTACACGGTAAGTTATATGCAACAGGTATGTTTTCTGCAATAGCTGGTCACACACTGTAGCTCATTTAGAACACACTTGTGTATGAGAGTGTGTGTTGCTGAAAGAATTTTGAATGATGGTGATTGTGAAAGGATTACACACGACGGCATATGTGTGTTGGAGAACTGGCTTCACGGGAACTGGAAGCTAGAAAAGAATTTCTAAAGTTCTGCCGCTCTGTGGAGTAGGAGTGCCTGGCGTGCTCTGGTCCATGGGGTCATGAAGAGTCGGACACGACTAAACAAACAACAACAACCCTCAAGGACCTATATCTGCTATCCTAATATATAAGGCAATTCAAAAAGTGAACTGTATTGCAGTAAGTGCCTGTCACTACTGCCATCTGTTGCAGCAGAAATTTATGGGACCTTTTCTTATTCGCCCATATAGGTTTGTGAAAACTATATTATAAACACCAAGAAGAAAAGCAAACAAACATTGCACGGCAATGTTATCTGTGTTGTAAAATGAGTTTGAATGATTTTAACTCAAACTGTTGGCAATTTTATTCAGTGTTAGGTTTTGGGAGATATTTATTACTAGATTATGTATTCACAAATTATTTCTTTATGTGAACTAGTAAGAAACCTGTTTCAATTGCAGTGGGAAAATTGGTTAACATTAACCCAGTGTAATACTGATATCTGAGAAAATAAACTCTTGATTTATAGGACTAAAGGTTCTTATGTTCATTTTCAAAGGAAAACTACTAAACGAGACAACGTGCAGCTTGTAGAGTCTTATTAGAAATCTGAGAAACTCCATCTCTGAAAGGAAGAGCTAGGTTGTCCCAGATCACTCTTCCCTGGAGCCTCCTGTGTGTCTGTTTTTTTCCGAGTTGCTACTGTTAGCAGATCTCCTCCTCGTTATGGTGCTAAGTGAGCATCCAGAAGTGAATAAATATTCATTATTCTAAGATCTGGGCCTGTTTCTGGGATTGGATGCTGGAGAGCTTGCCAGCCAGAGGTATGTGATGGAGGAGCAGAGCATTTCTCTGGGGAATCCTCTGGAGGAGATTTGGAAGGGGCATGGAGAGCTGCAGAGATGAAGAGAGCAAGGGAAATCCTTTTGTGTGAGTAGAAGTCTGCTCATGCGATATTGGGTATCTGCCACTGATTTTACTTTTATACAAATTTAGGCGGAAGTTGCTCACTGGGGCAAGACAGTGTGACCATATAACACTGAACCTGACTCATCTGCACTAGCTGCCAATTAGTTTCCAGGCCCAAACTAAAGTGCTGGTTTTGACCTAGGAATCCTTAACGGCTCAGGACTACAATGCCTCAAGGACCATCTTTCCTCCATATGAACAGTTCAGACCCCGTGATCATCATCTGAGGCCCTTCTGCCTCCTCCATGAGAGATCTGGAGAGTGGCAACTTGAGAACAGGCCTTTTCTGCAGTGGCTTCCCATTTGCAGAATGCTCCCCAGGGAGGCTCACCTAGCGCCTTCATTACTTATCTTTAGCTGCCAGGCAAAAATGTTTCTTTTTAACCAGACCCTTGACTGAATAACATTCTGTGTCATTTAAAATATGTTTAAAATACATTTGAGGGAGGGGGCGTATTGGTTTGTTTTGTTGTGTATTTTGTGTTCTTGTATTGTATTTTTATGCAATCTTTTGATGAAGGGCAGTATACAAACTTAATAAATAAAATAAATAAACTCAAACTTAACTCAAATTTCTTTAACAGGGAGTTAGTCCTCCTGATAAATATTTAAGATGGTATTATGGATTCACATGATTTTTGCAGAGGATTCCCTGAAAAATAGCAATGAAGCATAGGTCACCTCAGTGTCCGCAGATGTTTTCTTTTATAAGTTGGTGGTTTCGTTATATATTCATTTGTAAAACTAAATCTGGATCAGTGTTGTGATGCTAGCAAGCACTGGATCGGTGAATTTCATTGTAAGCTTTAATTTTGTGGTGTTTTGGGAGGGATCCCGTGTAAAATCATGCAAATTCAAAATGATCCGTTTTAATTCTACTGAATGAGACTTTGGGGAAAGCGGTGTGTGTGCTTCCTTTTTCTGTTGGTCTGAGGAGGGAAAGTGACTGGGAGAGAGAAGGAACCAGAGCTGGTGGTGCCAATGGGCCCAAAATGTTGGTGGGCACCCTACCTTCACAGATTCTGTTTCCAGACATTTCTTAGCCATGCTGAAGGCTATAAGTCTGTTATAAGCAGAGCTGAAATGTCAGTATTCTGAGACTGTTACTGTATTCTCTGCTATCGCTAGATTTCTTCTGAACAATGTCACAGCTGTATAGATTTTGAAAATCACTGGTTAGAGATGGTCAGTTATGAATATATTAAAAATCCCATTATAAGGCTCAAGCTGTTTGTTTCCTTGTGAATCTCAATAGAAAAAGGGAATAACCCAGTGCATGTAGTGTATACACAATAACTGCTTGCTGGTGTTGAAAATTTTAGTTGTAATGTTCAGCTTTCTCTCCTGACTCTTTTAGGATGCTACAGTTATTCCCCACCTCATGGCACTGCTCAGTAGGTCTCGATATACTCAAGAATACATATGTCAGATCTTCTCACATTGCTGCAAAGTAAGAAAGGAGCATGAAACATTCTACTGGGGTCTGTAAAACCAAGTATTCCCTTTTGGTGGGCTTTAAAAATACTGTTTTGTTAAGATAACTTTGTGTGTGAGTGAAACAGTGGGCCTGACGTAGTAGAATATTTTCTTTGATTTGCTTGCAGGGCTAAGCAGGGTTGCTCTTAAAGCAAAATAAAAGGAGAAAATACAAGTTAAGATACACATTTCATTAAAAAATTAGCAAGGCACAAGCCTTTCTCAGGGTGACTGTATTATATAAAGGTTTCTCACTAAAGCTCTCAAATCAGCACAACGTGAATGAACCACTCCTTAATTTTTTGCTCTGTAGAACAGTTAAATTTTTGGACAATATTTCAGAACTTGTATATATTCCAGATTTAACCAACCATAGCTTTATTTCTGTTTACAAACTTCTCTCTGCGTCTGTCTGTCTATTTTTTAAGAAATTGACTGCCTGAAAATTGGCAGTTATTATCTGCAGAAATTATGTGGTACATGCTTCAAACCTCATTTTCACAGTCCAAATTCTTAACAATATAAATACTTTTCTGGAGAGTTATTCCTACTCTGTCTGCTCTTCTGTAGGTGTCATTTCATCTGTGTCTCCAGTATTTGACACCTACAAATGTGTGACAGATGTAGCCATTGTCCCAAGGTTTCTGAGTAAAGTGGCATAACCATGCATAGCTATATTGTTGCTCCACCCTGGTTTAAAACTGGGGCTGTTATCTTTGAGTCTTTTTCTTTCCCATGTCTGTCCTATAAAGGTGTCCAGTGTGGTGTAGTGGTTAAGAGTGGTGGACTCGTAATCTGGTGAACCGGGTTTGCTTCCCTACTCCTCCACATGCAGCTGCTGGGTGACCTTGGGCTAGTCACACTTCTCTGAAGTCTTTCAGCCTCACTCACCTCACAGAGTATTTGTTGTGGGGGAGGAAGGGAAAAAGAGAATGTTAGCTGCTTTGAGACTCCTTAGGGTAGTGATAAAGCGGGATATCAAATCCAAACTCTTCTTCTTATCATTCACCCTGCCATTTCCTACGCCCCACATGTGTCTGGAACTAGTGCAGGTTGTGATTAGGGCAACTCGGTTGAGCTCACCAAGCTTTGAAAAGCCCATGCTTGATACTGAAGATAAATTATTGCATTGATTAAGGTGGAGCAGATGATTTGACAATCCAGAAATCTCAAATTATGTCACTGTTCCTCTTCATATGCATTCAGAACCAGATTAATTTTGGAAGAGGCAATCCTAAATCCACAGTTGTGACAAAACTAGGCAAGGAGGGGGCATTCAAATGCATGATTTCACTGCTGCAGTCTGAAGTGGTATCATGGAAGTAGAACATTACTATCCCTTGCTATTTCTGCATGCCTGTATCAGCCCGTTTTGTATGACAGATACAAAATGTCCTGCTGTTCAGGGTCTTGTGCAATTATAGCTCAAACAGATGCAAAGGTTACAGAGTGCAAATAAACTGTAGCAGCTGATGTCTGACTGGAACACGAATTAAATATTTTTTTCAAGGAATGTGTATCATATTAGAAATGAGTCTTGAGTTGCTACTCCCAAATTTCCAGGGTCAAGTTTTCCATATATTGTCTGGCAGTTGCATAGAGGTTACTTCCTGAAATATCTGGCTTCACAAATATAACTTTTATAAACAATGTGTTTGTTGATGTTCTGAACTAATTGAACAGAAAATGCTTCCTAAAATGTTTACCCAAAACATTGGCAAATGAGATAATTTCTTGTGACGTTTTGAATGCTGTGTGAATAAGAATGATCAAAATACAATTTTTAGCACCCTAAATCTTAAGTTTTGGCATATAGATTATTTTAGCACAAACAAACAAAAAAGTAGTGAATTGATGAGGTCATACAGAAAATTGCAAGAGTTACAATATACCATTTTAAAGTTTCCAGAAATACTATTAGAATAATGGGGAAAGTCAGCTTATCTGTTTTTAATATCTTGCTGCTTATCAAGGTCCCCCCCCCCCGTCCATTTTTATTCTGCAACTGTGCTCTCCAGAGTTTCAGAAATAGTTCAAGACAGTATATTTGGACAGACTGTCTCAAGCAGCTGGTGGTGTGCTGTAATAATGCATAACATTTATTTAGCATTTAGAGTCTCCAAATGTCATTTACATTGTAATCCTTACAATAGAAATATTGTAGGAAGGTAGGTCAATATTTTCCCTATGTTGCAAATTGGGGACTGAAGTGGGTAAACTAGTTACAGCTATACAGCTTAATGCTGTATAGAGTCTTTTATGTTTTTACTAAAACCATGAAATCATTTGAAATCAATTGCAAAATTGTAGAGCAATCCCAATTATCTTATTGAACCTTCAGGAGACTACACATGCAAATTACACCTGAGTAATTACAGATTGGGGATACTAACAAAGGATTTTAAAACTGAGCAATAGAGTTTGCACAAAAACCTGACCAAAGGCAACCAATTTATACTTGTATTTTACTAGTGAAGAACATTGAGGCTGAAATATAGTAATTCATTAGTGCTAACCCAGTCATTGTAGAAAATTTTGTTATTTAAAAGTCTTCTTTTTTTATTTCTTGAGAAATGTATTATTATTTGTTTGTCATTGTATGCAAACAAAAGTCTCAAAGTGACATAACAACAAATTTTAATACAAACAGTAGAATAAGGAGGACAAATTCTATCTCACTGTACCTCACCCACAGATCTACCAGTTTATTCCAATCTACCTTTTGTTAATCCCCGATTCGAGACACTTTATGCTAAAAGTAGGTGTTTTTTAAATTTCCTACTCCGTTTCATAGCCTTTACACTAGTTTTCAATCACTGTGTATATCTGATTTTTGAAATTCATGTACTCTTTTTCTATAGAAATGTTTTTCTGTCTTGTATACTCAGTAGTAGTTCCTGAATGCACACAGGGGCCTAGATTGGTCCACTGTATAAAATACTGGACATAGATCCATCTGATAAAGATCAAAATTCAGTTTATAAATCAATATTTGAGAGAACATGTGGGGAGGCGGGGTGGTAGGGGAAGGGAGTTAGGCCCACAGTACTCAGATAAGTTGCAGGTTAAAAAGGAGAAAATGATACTTGACTTTAATTTTATATCTTTTAATATCTGTTCTTCAGCTCCGACACTGGCATAGCTGCGGCTTTAAATCCTCGCCTCAGCCACTTCTATGTGCCAATGTAAGTTTTTTTTCCTCCTTCAAAATGGTATATTAATTGCATTTTATCTAAACAAATTGTCAGTGGTAGTAGCTGAAGTCTGTCTTAAAAGTCCAGATTTTTCACAGTTGTTAACTTGGTTACTTGTTGCATAACGTCAGATTTTTACTTGAGCCAGATCTTGTGTATATATTTTATTGGCTAATCGAGTCATGTTTTTTTAATAGTAAGAGAAAAGTTTTGCTGCTCTCATTTGGAGCCACCAGCCTTATGAGAGGATTGTGGCAGAAACAACACTGTTGAGTGGTAAATGAAGTAGGGCTGGTTTTTGTAGTATGGATGTTGATGTTCATATCACCAGAAGAGTACAAATAGCCATAAAGTCCAAATTGTCAACCTCAAGCCAAGACTTTCCAGCTATCAACTCCCCACACAATGTACTGTAAATAGAGCAGAACTTTACATCACTCTGTAGGTTTCTACGGAAAATGACTTTGGGTGACTTAGTCAGTTGAACCTAATTGCACATTAGAGCAGAATTGGGGTGGGAGGGTTCAGTAGTCAACTGGCCAGGGAAGGAGCTCTTCCCTTATCCCATTATGAGAATCCATTAGACTCTGAACACAAAGCAGAATCGAGGAATCAAACGTCCTCAACTTATTCTAAAGTTTAAATCCTTTTGTTGTGACAGAGGCAATCGTTGTGGGTGGCAAAAATAAACTGTGATGGAAACTGGTGGAAACTCTGCACTAGTCTAATTTGACTACAACCAAGCATTGGTAGGCAAACTAAGGCCCGGGGGCAGGATCTGACCCAATCACCTTCTAAATCTGGCCCGTGGGCGGTCCGGGAATCAGCGTGTTTTTACATGAGTAGAATGTGTGCTTTTATTTAAAATGCATCTCTGGGTTATTTGTGGGGCATAGGAATTCGTTCTTTCCCCCCAGTATATCGTCTGGCCCCCCACAAAGTATGAGGGACAGTGGACCAGCCCCCTGCTGAAAAAGTTTGCTGACCCCTGGTTTAAAGTAACATAATTAGTGCCTCGATTTCAGATGGGGTGAATAGGTATTTTACCTTGTCTTTCTGAAATCTAATTGTTTATCTGTATCATAAAATTTTGGACTAGGCATATCTTTTATAATTTATGTTCAGTTGTATTGTGTAAAATATTCTTACTCGATTACGAGTGATCATCAAGGAAAAACATAGTTAGGGAGAAGCTTCTTTTTGAAAGTCCAGCCATAGGCTTACAACCTACCTATTAAAAAAGATACTCTAGGACAGGCTTCCTCAACCTCAGCCCTCCAGATGTTTTGAGACTACAATTCCCATCATCCCAGACCACTGGTTCTGCTAGCTAGGGATCATGGGAGTTGTAGGCCAAAAAAACATCTAGAGGGCCGAGGTTGAGGAAGCCTGCTCTAGGATGAGGTTGAAGGAATAGAGACAGGAAAGATAAACTAGCCAAACAACATTTTTTTTCTTTTTAAGCAGCCACCACCACCACCATATTGGAGTTGCGTATCTTTTGGTTTCTGATATTTATTGCAACAAAACGAATCGGGTGAAAAGATGACTAGTATGTTTGAGGCCATCTAGTTGCCCATGTTTTTCAAATGCAATTTTCTGCCTTTTAAAATCTGACTGTTTTGTATAAATTTATATTTTTGAACTTTTTCATAATCTTTACCATATCTAAAACACCGACTTGTTGAGGGGAGGGAGAGACAGGAAATACATGAACCCATTATTAAAAGGGTGGGTTGAAAATAAAGTTGTAAATGAACAAAGCAGGCACATATAAATTGCCACAGATAAGTAAAATATCATAGGGAAGAGAATAAAAACAACAAATGAACAACACTATGCTTTAATTATACTCATATATATTGGGATTTCTTTTGACTCTTCTTCATGTCTTCCTATTTAAGGATTCTGCTTTTAAAAGTCAGTTGGTAGGCGAGCTGGCAGGATATTTCCTGCAGGGTTTAAACTCTGTTACAGGCTTCCCATTCTGTGATATTAGATGTAAGACACATGTGAGAAGAAATATTGCCTGTGCCTTTCATTTGGGGGGGGGGGGAGGGGAATAGGTTTATTAAACAATCTGACATTTGGGGGGAAATTGCAAATTATGAACCTTCTTAAGCATTTTTCAGTGGAAAGGCGGGATACAAATGCTTTAATATTCCCAGTATATATATGCCTGTCCGTCCTTGTTCCTTGCTGCGTCTCTGTCAGCTCAAAGGCTTTCTTTTCTCACATTCCCACAAAGTTCTTGCAATCTGTGTTCCTTTTTCCATCTTGTGGATTTAGCCTTCTTTTGCAGTATTTTCTGTCTCCAGTTGACAGTTGTCTTTACTAACTTCATGAAGCTTGCTGAGGCTACACATGGACATGTATTCTGCATCTATTTCCTCCAAAAATTGCACCCACTGCCAGACATCCACCCCCCTTTCCCTGAACAGTTCAAGCCCATCCAGGATCTGATAAACTTTGCTGGGCAAAGTGCTTAGTAGTAATATGGTTTCGGCAGAGTTGCCTACTGTTGGTCATGTTCAGCCACAGTTTGGTATTTGAGAAATATTTCTTTAGGCTCTGATGCCCAGCTGTCATCCCCAAGAACTGCACAGCTTTAAAGGCTGGGAGCTTCCACTTTAGACACAAAAAATGGGAGTATCGTCACCTGTTCTATATTGTTACCATTACATTTGGGGGAGGGGGAGCATTATCAGAAAGTAGAGTTATGAAAATTAGTTGTCATTGAAGTTGGAATGATCAGTTGTCCGTTAGAGATGCACATCTTACAAAGCACTTTGGATCTCTTCTTCAGTTTACAACTCCTAGTCTGTCTGTACATTCTTGCATTACTAAATCAGGATATTAAAATGCAAGTAAGAAAATGGCCTGCGGGGTTCTAGAAGCTATTCTGCTCAACCAAAATCTCATGTACTCAGAGTAAACCACTAGATCCTGGTGTCTGCTGTAGGATATGCCATGCCATCAAAATTTGTTTCTAGCCACTATAGCTAGAGTTGATTCCTGCAATAAAGGGAAAGCTGAGGCTCTAATTCTGTTGCAGCATCAGACCTTAGGGTTCAAGGTACCTCAGCATCATAGGAGGTGGTAATCCAGCGCATTGTACCGTGTGACATTTGGTGTATGGGTTGGATCCAGAGAATGAAAGGCCACTTGCACAGGTTGTCTTTTCAGGCTCCCTTCCCCTCCACACCTTGTGCTCCTCCGAAGCCACTCTGTAGCATTGGATAGATAATGGCGGGGGTGTGTGTGTGTCATACAATGGAAGGGAAAACTGGAAGAATTTGGCAGGGCTGTCTTGTGAGAATGGCAGCACTTTGTTCGAGACAACTTTGGACAAGCCTGGATTTTTATCAGATGCTTGCTTTCATATTTTGCTGCTTGTCTTTTGAAAATACAAAAATTGAATAATTTATAGTGCCTGATTAAAAAGAAAATAAATGTTTTCTGAGTCTAATATGAGAAAGAGCACAATTTTGATGAACGAAATTTGTTACAGCTAAACTGCACATTGCATTAAACGTGCAGTTTTGGGTATGTGTCTCAGGTTTTTTCTTTTTAAATTAGCAGTTACCACAGCTTTTCTAATGGAAGCCACCACCACCCAGCTGCCACGTAGCTACTTTTCCATAGCAAATTGCAGCTGTGGTGGGGGGCAGTTTCCTGGGATATTGGTGGAGGGTTAAACATTTCCTTGCAGTTCTGGCCCACTGCCCCCCTCAAATCGGCTGCTACTTTATATGGAAAAGCAGCACAACAGAAAACTCTGCATCTTAGCCCTTACTGGAGTTGCTGGATTCTTTCTTAAAAATTTAGCTTGACTCTCTTTTGGTAGCAATTTTGGAAGATGCTGTAAAAATCCAGTCTATTCTTAGCTTGGAATGAGCAATAATAAACTTGGAAAATGACTAACCTTTCAATTTAGTATTCATTATGTACAGTAAATTAATTATTTCTTCTCCCTTTACATTTAAGGAGCAATGGCTTTTTTCTTTTTTAATAGGGTCCAGACCATCAGACAGTCCTGTTTAACCATGGAGCAGTGCAGAATATTGCTCACCTGTTAACTTCTACATCTTATAAAGTAAGGCATTAATATAACCTCTATTCTATAAAGTAAGCCATTAGTTTGAATCTTGATGCAGCATCATTGCTGGAGTGAAGAAGTAAGTGCAACAGAAGCTGCTGTTTTGGTACAGAAGAGACTGCAAGCGTTTCACTTTTAGCAGTGTGTGTACAGATATGGGGAAACATCACAAAGCATATTTTCCTATAAAGGACTCTTCTGTTGTATACTTGAGAGGCATAAAAAAAGAAGAAAGTGGGAGAGTAGAAGGGAACATAATGGAAATGGGTAGAGGAAAGTGAAGCTGAAGAAATATCTGTGATGGCATCTTCCTGGCAACATTATTCCTGTCATGAAGTAGCATGCTTAATCATTACTTAATTGTTTTGTTATTCTCCTAATACCAACAACTTGCAACAAACTTAAAATGTAGAAATGTTTAAAATGGCTATAAGCAATTAACCTTGTAACATTGAAAAGGATGCCAACCTCCAAAAAGAAAGCAAAAATAAGATGAACTACTCAGAACATCACCAACAAAGAAACCATGGCAAACCAGCTCATCTTATTCCATCAGGTGCCCTGGGAGAGGATAGTTTTAACAGGCACTGGTAATTAGTGCCTGAAACTTCAAATTACAAATTAATTATATGGCAGAAATGGCCAATGGCAGTATTAAGAAAAGATTCAAACAATTAAATTCTTCAAAGCAAAGTATATACTGAGTTGAGTCATTTCTACCTTCATTGAATAACATTAACTTTGGCCCAAGACGACTACTTAGTACATAACATGAAGTAATAAAAGAAAACTAGACCTCTTCAAAGTTAACTTTCTGAAACATAGAAAATAAAGTTGTACTTTATTGAATTCAAGTACAGTGGTACCTCGGGTTAAGTACTTAATTCGTTCCGGAGGTCCATTCTTAACCTGAAACTGTTCTTAACAAGAAGCACCAGTTTAGCTAATGGGGCCTCCTGCTGCCGCTGCGCCACCGGAGCATTATTTCTGTTCTCATCCTGAAGCAAAGTTCTTAACCCGAGGTACTATTTCTGGGTTAGCGGAGTCTGTAACCTGAAGCGTATGTAACCCGAGGTACCACTGTATATGTTTAATATTTAGGGAAATGGAGGAAGGGGATTGAAAGTAAATCCCCGCTGCATGCTGCTTGGGAGACTGCGCAGGGAGAACTCTGTATCTGGCATCTCCCAGCACATCATTCTTTAGGAAGGTCTTTATTTGCTTCCCCTGGTCAGTTTTAAAATTAACCTGCAAAAATTAGATTAATTACTTAGATAACCATTCGTGATGTTTGAAAACATTCCATGTCATCTAGAATAGTTCTGGATCATTCTCCTAGCATGGAACCTGGTCCATGTCAGATATTATTGGGGACGTGCTATGATGAAGAGGCCTCTTGGAAGAGTTTGGTTGTTTTGGTGGCAAGTGTAGTAAAAGACTGGCCTGAGACCCTGAAGAGCCACTCCCAGTCAGAATTGCCAATACTAGGCTAGATGGACAAGTATAAAGGACTTAGTAGAAAGTAGCTTCCTATGATCTTTTTGAACCAGCCAAATCGGCTTTATACAAAGTTCATTGGCAACTCTGATTTTATCTGTAAATTGAGTAAAAGGATGTGAGGACCTGTGCTACAAATTGTATAATAAATATTCACTGGATACAAATACTCTGCAAGTTCCAAATATTAAGGCTTCCGTTGCATTCTTTCAGAATGGAACATCCTGTAGTTTTAATCAGAAATATGTTCTGTTCAATGCATTTAGACGTTGACTCGTAAAGTTACACTTCCTTAAAAAGGGGGTTTCCTGATAGCCCTGGAAAGTGAAAATCCCCTGTGTGCTTAGCCTTATATTAATTGGCAGTGAGAAACCTTGTGGGCATTTTATTTTGACTCATTATAAGTAGCCAAAGGTCGTTTCTCAAATTAGGCTGCACTGAGCCTGTTTACATTATGTGGGAAAGTAACTGCCCAAGTATCAAATGCAATTATGATGCAAGGGAGGGTAGAGAGTCAAAGAAGAAGCTGATTGACAAGCCCTTGCAGCATGTCAAATGGAAGGGAGGAGAATGAAGAACGTGGGACTGGCAGTGTTAACTCTTGTTCAGCAAAAAGGAGACTCGCTCATTATACTGATTGGGAAGGAAGCAGGAAGACGTGGGTGAGCACTTATTCTGCACAAACTGGAGTGCATAAAAGTTTCAGAGTGAAGGACAAGATGATTTCTGCTCTAGTGATCATTCAGATTCTGTTTTGGCAGAGCTCCCTCCCAGTTTGAGAACTGTGGCTCTAATCACTTAACCCTCCTAGCTTTTTTAAAGGACTTCCTCCGTATTTGCACCACATTTTCAGTGGACTTCTGACAAATATTTAAGTGATAGTAGCTTTGACTGACCTTACATAAAACATAAATTTATAAATGTGTGTTTTTATACAGGTTCGAATGCAAGCCCTGAAATGCTTTGCAGTTCTAGCCTTTGAAAACCCACAGGTATCGTTGACTCTCGTAAATGGTAAGCTGAGCACTTTGCTGTCAATATACAGATTCACAAAGTAATTGCAATTTTGCTAAGTAATTACAATTTAGTTAATTCCTGACACTTCCATTTTCTCATTTTCAGTGTTGGTTGAAGGAGAACTATTACCACAGATTTTTGTGAAGATGTTACAAAGAGACAAGCCTATTGAAATGCAGCTCACATCAGCCAAATGGTAATATTCTTTAGGCTCAAGAAGGAGTAACACTTCAAATCCGGCTTCCTCAACCTCAGCCCTCCAGATGTTTTGAGACTACAATTCCCATCATCCCTGACCACTGGTCCTGCTAGCTAGGGATCATGGGAGTTGTAGGCCAAAACATCTGGAGGGCCAAGGTTGAGGAAGCCTGCTTTAAATGCTACACATATTTACTTGTCACAAGAAATTATGAATACACAACTATGTCAACCCATACAGCAAATTAGCAAAATCAAAGGGTTGTATTCCACTCTCACCGTGGGACTGCTCAAGAGGATCCTCCAAGCCTCTGGAATAGATAAGGGTGTGAAGGAGTGCTGAAGGTGGGCAGGAGAGGAAGGGAAAGACTTACTTTTGCAAGCAGAATTATGTTCTGCTCACACAACAGCAGCATTAAATACCTGGGCATGCAGATTGGCCACCTAATGTGAAGGTTGCAGATGTTGATTGTTGTCTAGATAGCATGGTAAGGAGTTGGCGATCTTGGTGCATGTTGGCACAATGACATGGGCAAATGTAGTTATGAGGCCCAGGAAGTGAACTTTAGATTGCTAGGTAGGATGCTGATGGTAGCTTTCTCTGAAATGCTTCTGGATCCACGCACAGGTGCAATTTTTCTCCCTCTCATAACATTAGAACTCAGGGACATCTAGTGAAGCTGAATGTTGCAAAGAGTCAGGACCAACAAAACAAAGTACTTCTTCACAGAGTGCATAGTTAAACTATGTAGTTGTGTCCACTTGATCACTCACACTACTATGACACTACCAACAGGGGCTCTTGCTCAGTGGTAGAGTAGAAGATTTACATGAAGAAAGTTCCAGCTTCAGTAACTGGCATCTACAGTTAAAGGGGGTAATGGGAGTGGGCTGTCTCTGCCTAAAGCTCTGGTAGCTCATTGGTAGTCAGAATAGACTGTATGGGCTAGATGAACAAATTCTCTGACCTGTTATAAGCCTTCTAATGTAAGCCTTCTAATGATTTTTTTAAAAAAATCTCTGTATATACTACATGTGTCAGTTAATCAGCATTTTGATGTTTTATTGTAGCCTTACTTACATGTGCAGAGCTGGAGCAATTCGCACTGATGATACCTGCATTGTGTTAAAGGTAAGTTGATTAAGCATATAGCTGTACTTAGACAAATTGTGTTTTGCACCAGGGTCTCGCCTAGGAATTTAGGAAGCACTAATAAAGCTGTTCCTACTTGGTGGTGATTAGCAGCTGCTAGTTTTTGGTAGTATGGTTATGAAATATACACCCTCTTTTCTCTTGACCTCTGTTGGCCTGTCCTTGTTAACCGTATGGACTGCAGCAATGTGTTATGTGTGAAGAGTTTTTTGGAGCGGAAGGGTTTTTTAGTTTTTGTTTTTAAAGTTGCATATGCATCATCAATACAACATACCTTTATCAGCTTTTCAGGTTTTGACTAAAGTCAAGTTGATTTAGAAGTTAGTTAGTTCACTATGCTGAGTACACTGCCTTGGATGATGGTTCTGCTGCACAGTTGTTGCCTATGTGAGATGCTCTCCATCCTGGGAATGGAGCAGCCTTGGGATCATACTGAGGAATTTAGGGTAGATTGAATGATACAAAGGGCAATTTGAAAAGCATTTGATGTTGTATGGAGAGTAGGTTATAGCCCTCTTCCAGCAGCTATTCTGGATGGTGCCAGAACATGAACGAATACCCCTGTTCCTCTGCACTTCACTTACATTGTTGTACCAGAACAAAAAATATGTTCCTTTCTGGGTTCTATTCACTAGATCAGGAATGCGCAGGGTAGTGCAAGAAGAAGAAAAAACTTGTACCAAGCAAAAGGGTGAAGGAGGGGCAAAGTGATGTATTCTTCCTCTGCCACTCCACACAGTTTTGTGGTGTTCACAGAAGAAAGGGCTTTCCTTCCTAATATGGCTGGAACAGATCCATCCTTCTTCCATCAGCCTAGTCATCTGTGGCTAGCAGCCCAGTCGTTAAATTCAAGCCCGTAGTAGATAAATCATGTTTTGTATCTGTTAATATTTAAGGATTAGTACTTGTCTTGGTGTTGATTTTGTGAAGGCTCCCTGTAGGAGAGAGATTACCATGCATTCTGGTGTCACTTTATTTTGTTATTGCAGGGGAAGTAGATTGTTTCAGTCCCTATGACCACTACCATAAGTGAATTATTGACCAGTTTGCTTTTGGATAACTTTGTTCCATCTTAGTGCTAAGTCATTTGGCCTTTAAATCATGAAGCTGTGTACGGCAGATCAAGTAAACCTAAGTGGATATTAGACAGTTAATTTTTTTGCAGGTTCCTAGCTGCATATAAATTTGTATTGTTTGTACAAGTTACTTTGATGGTGCAGGAACACTAATGGCAGTGGCTATTTTAAATTTGTACAGAGACTTGTCTAGATCTCTGCGAAGATCTATGCTTAGAAAATGTCTTTTTTATCTGAAAGTTGATCTAAATGACAAACCTAACAAATTTCAAAAGCATGTATAGATGAATTACTTCAAAATAATCATCATAGTTTTTGTACTTTCCAGACACTACCATGTTTGGCGCGGATGTGTAGTAAGGAGAGGCTACTAGAGGAGAGAGTAGATGGAGCAGAAACTCTTGCCTATTTGATTGAAGCAGATATTGAGCTACAAAGAATCGCCAGTATTACTGACCACCTTATTGCAATGCTTGCTGACTACTTCAAATATCCAAGTTCAGTGAGTGCCATCACTGATATAAAAAGGGTATGTCTTCAATAAATTTGGAAACTTCCCAAAAGTATGTGGGGAGATTGTGTGTGAAAAATTAAAATATATAGTAGCTAAGCACTCAGTTCTCATTGATTGGCTAATAATTAGATGCAAGGAGCTATAAGATATCCCAGTTTTCTTTGTTGCTGTAATCAAATGCCTTTTTGTCTGAGTTGTTTGGTGTTGTAATTAGTACGTTCTTTGTAAGATCCTAACTGGATAACTAAACAAAACAGAATGAGTACTACTTGGGGCAAGACACAGAATATAGTCCTAGCTGTATAAACTGTGAACAGTATTCACTGGTACAAACGCAGCAAACATTGACAGGTGCAAATGTGACTCTAATAGGTGGTAGCGGAAGGGGCCTAAAAAGTATATTGCCCAAGGCTTTGGTTTATTTCACGCTCTTGTTACTTAGACATTGGAAATAGGCACTGTTCTATCAACAGCCAAAAGACTGCAATTTAAGTATAACTTGAATTTGATTATTTTTTTAATAGCTTGATCATGACCTAAAGCATGCTCATGAACTGCGCCAGGCTGCATTCAAGCTCTATGCTGCACTTGGAGCAAATGATGAAGATATAAGAAAAAAGGTGAGTCTTGGCGTGAATGTATTTTCCAATACCAATAGCTTGCAGACAGGAAGTGGTACAGTCCAGTCAAAGCAGTTGCCCTGACCTTCCAGACAAGTACAGTGATTGTATGTCCTTGGCAAAAGACTTAGTACACTGAGATACAGGTTGGTGGTCTTTTTCTTGCTTGTTTAAACTCTACTGAACTTGCTTTCCATCCTTAGTTAGTCAGCCCCCAGAATTTTTTGACCTACAGACACTTTCGCAAGACACATTAAAAAACCCTTCTTTGCTATTCTACCTTTCCGTAACTTTCTGCATCATTATTGGGCAGGGGTCTAGATATATATAAGAGTCACCATTCTTAGCAGCTGATAGCCATTCTGCTGTTGTCACTCTTGAAAAGTTGTATGAATGTGGAATCATACCATATCCAGTGAGGTTGGGGTGGGAGAGTACACCCTAAGAAGGGAAAGTATTTCCATTGGTGTGCCTCGCTTGTTACTGGTTAATATAATAATATCTACAGAAGCTTCTGACACTCAAACAGCATGCAAAAAATAACAAATGAGCATTGTGAAGAAAGTGTTGCATTTTCCTAGGTGGTGGAGAACCTTTTGCCTGTGGGATGTGTCTTTCTTGCAAAGCCTTCCCAGCTGGTCTGCCTCTCTCTTTCTAGGCATTGCTCCCTCTTTCCAGCCACTGCGCTATTTCCCTCCAGTTAGCTGAGCAGCACTGTTAGGGATGCATTGTGAGGAAAGGAGACATAAATCTCCCCTCCCTAAAGTCTCCCTTGGCTGATAAGTAGGAAACAGTGATGCAACTGCCTAAGGAGGGAGGGAGGCACTGCTTTTTCAGTGTGTAGTAATGGAGACAAAGGTGTGTGTGTATGTGGGTGTATATGAATGTAAGTAAGTAAGTATTTAAGTAATTAAGTAGGGTGTATCCTTACATACTTTGGTCTCACCCACTGTTGGTATGTGGCCCTGGGATCACTTCCCCCTGAGGCAGTGCAGCCCTTAAGGGGAGGTGGAGGGGATAGGACAGGTTACCATCCCTGGTATGGAACATTACTCTTTCACTATCTGGGAAATACTCTGTACACAAATAGATATGTGACTTTGAGGAAGTGAATTAGGAGACCCTACCACATTCTTTAGGGACACAGGTGGCGCTGTGGGTTAAACCACAGAGCCTAGGGCTTGCCGATCAGAAGGTTGGTGGTTCGAATCCCCTCGACGGGGTGAGCTCCCATTGCTCGGTCTCTGCTCCTGCCAACCTTGCAGTTCGAAAGCACGTCAAAGTGCAGGTAGATAAATAGGTACCGCTCTGGCAGGAAGGTAAACGGCATTTCTGTGTGCTGCTCTGGTTCACCAGAAGCGGCTTAGTCATGCTGGCCACATGACCCGGAAGCTGTACACCGGCTCCCTTGGCCAATAAAAGCGAGATGAGTGCCACAACCCCAGAGTCGGCCACGACTGGACTTAATGGTCAGGGGTCCCTTTACCTTTTTACCACATTCTTTGCCACAAAGAAAACATAGTATAAGTGGTGACCTTTTTGCACGCGTCAAATTGATGCCTGACCACAAGCCTGCGGGTCCTTTTGGACCTGGAAGAGGGTGGAACAGGGCAAGGTGGAACTTATGTCTGCTCCACTGATGCTCATGGAAGCCAGGAATGGAACGCCTATGCAAAATGGTTGCAGCCTGTGTCCAAACGTGCTATTTGCAACATGAAGTTTTTCATATGAAAAGGTGATGGCTGAAAGGACTGGAGTAAATTTATACAATATATGAAAGAACATTGTAAACATCTGAAAACGTTTGTAGGTTTGAGTTAAAATATTTTGTAATGTTAATATTGGGAGCTGGTTTACAATTAATAAGGTAAATTTTATTAAGATAAAAAGAAGGTAAATAGGTGGTTATAGAAATGCTAAGATGTAAGTGAATATTTATGAAAGCCAGAGAGTGGGATGGGGGGAAGTCCAAGCTGAGTTTGAGCAATGTTTTTGGTGATGAGATTATTTAATGGATTGTGATTATGGTAAAATGTAAACTTAATAGAAAATATTATTAAAAAAAGAAAAGGTGATGGCTGAAAATATTCCAAAAATATTGTGAAAATATTATACATATTAAAATGTAAATCTGCATCACTAAGTGTCATAGTACAGGTGCGAAACATTTCCATCAGAAATTTCTATTTTGGGGAAATAACATTTTTTTTCCAGTTAACATTTTTATATGTTCTCTGTAGAGTTTAGAATATTGAGCTAAATGTACTAGATGCCATGTTCTGTTTTGGAGATTGAATTATTCTACTGCCACATGTTCCAGCTAACTGATTTGATTTCATAACTTTTCCCTCAGATAATTGAAACTGAAAATATGATGGATCGGATTGTGAATGGCTTGTCTGAATCTAGCATCAAGGTGCGCTTAGCTGCAGTCAGGTATGAAGTTACCTTATGTGAGTAGACTTACATCCAGGGTGCTTTGCCTTGCTATTTTTCACTTCATTAGCTAGGAAATACATTGATTTTAAAACACTTAAAACTACAAATCCACAATAACTATGGCTTGAAAAGCAAGATGAATTAATGTTCAGATAATTCTCAGTAATTTTTGCGTTATTACCTTTTCTGTAAACATTTCTCACAAGGTTATCTGAGGAATGAAAATTGTCTTGGAAGTTGGTTGGCTTCAGCACTAAACTTGTTGAAGTAGTATGGAAGAAGTGGACTTTCTTGCCCTTTCTTCTCTCTGTCTGCCACTCAAAAAGCCTTTCTTAAGGGTTGAGGGACCTGGCTGTAGTGGGTGAAAGGAGGGGGAATTCCTGAAAATTGGGTGGCAATGGCTTCTGAAAACTGAGTTACTGCTGGTAAAAGTTGTCTCTGTCCTCACCCCATTGAACAGGGATCCTCTGAACCTTGGAAAAGGCTTCCTTGTAATTAATACTACATTTTTTCTTTTGCAGATGTTTGCACAGTTTGTCACGATCCGTGCAGCAGCTCCGAACTAGTTTCCAAGACCATGCTGTATGGAAACCTTTAATGAAGGTATGTGTATGCTTGAAAAATAATTGTGTTTATTCTTTATTATATAAGTTGACAGCTTCAGAAGGGCTCACTGTCAACTGATTGAAACTGACAGCAAGCCTTGATTGCCACTGAACAATCAGGAGTGTACTTTACTACGATATTATGAAATAAAGGTCGGCGGTTTGAATCCCCGCAATGGGGTGAGCTCCCATTGCTCCGTCCCTGCTCCTGCCAACCTAGCAGTTCGAAAGCACATCAGAGTGCAAGTAGATAAATAGGTACCGCTCCGGCGGGAAGGTAAACGGCGTTTCCGTGTGCTGCTCTGGTTCTCCAGAAGTGGCTTAGTCATGCTGGCCACATGACCCAGAAGCTGTACGCCGGCTCCCTTGGCCAATAAAGCAAGATGAGTGCTGCAACCCCAGAGTCGGTCACGACTGGACCTAATGGTCAGGGGTCCCTTTACCTTTACCTTATAAAACAATAAAAATGCAATATATAAAACCAGGTAAAACAGTTCTGAAAAAGTAGTCAGAGACTGCTTGCAAATCAAAGCATCCTTCTGAGAAAGCCTATAGAAATAGCTTTTCTGCATTGGATGAAATCTGGATAATGTCAGAGCCTGTGTAACTCAAATTGGCAGTGGGGTCCATAAAACAGTGCTTTTCTACACTGCCATCATGGAATAAGCCTCCAGTGCGTGTGTCACCACAAGGAGGGCTCCAATGCATGACCACAGTGAAGGGGTAGGTATATTGCGGGGGTGGGTGGGAATGATCTCTCAGATAATGCTGGTCCTAAGTTGTTTAAAGCTTTATACACTAGCAGTAAAACTTTAAATTTGACCTAGTAACATGCTAGCAGCAAGTTCAGGTCTTTTAACTGATATTAATTTGTTGATGGAAGTCAACCCTGGCCTGGCCACAAGGGCACTGCCACGTTCTGTGGTAGCTGCAGTTTTCAGACCAAATGTAAGGGCAGGCCCACATAGAACACATGGTTACCAGTGCATGGACTGCTGCTGCCAAGCTATCCCTGTCCAGGAATGGTCATAACTGATGCATCAGCCAAAGCTAGTAAAAAGACATCCTGGTCACCGAGGCTATTTGAGCCTCCAATGACAATAATAGATCAAGGAGTACAGTATTCCCAGACTAACATACCTGAATATTCAGGTGAGGTGCAGCCCTATCCAAAACAGATAACTTACCTGTATTTTGGACAGTGGAACTACGCACTTGCAAGTCCCCCATCTTCAGCTTCAGGTGAGGTGCAGCCCACAATCAGGTCTAGACTCTGCACTATAATAATAGTGTTGTTTTCCTTCCATCTCTCCTTAGGTTTTACAGAATGCTCCAGATGAAATCTTAGTGGTAGCATCTTCCACTCTATGCAATCTTCTCTTGGAATTTTCTCCAAGCAAAGAGGTTTGGTTTTTTTAACCAGAAAAATATATTGGTGTTATGTTCTTTTTATGACATAAAAAGTCTGTCCTGAATCAACAGGCACTGGACTGATGTGGATAGAGTTCTTTCTTGGGATTTGAAGTCTTTGTGGTCCTTTCCAGTTTTGATTTCCAACTGTAGAAGTATTTTTTCTCAAAGCCCTGATTTACCAGGCTGTTCAGCACCTGGAATAATGCTGCTAAATATAATTTAATGGATGACATGGCACTGCTCGCATGTAGGACCCTGGCAGAGACACGTGCCCGACTGGCACGTTCTCTCCCTCCTGGTCGGTCGTTCAGGAGCTTCAAAAGCTTTCTCCAGACCGAACATCACAGCGACGGATGTCAAGAGGCATCGGCATTCTTTGGAACCAGCAGAGTATTAGCAGTCTGCGTAACAAACACAGCAGCACAGCATTTTGGCTAATTACTTTATTTACATATAATACACTTGGAGCATTCTGACTTAGCTCCTTTCTCTTTCTCATCAGACAGCAAAGAGAGAGAACAAAGAACAATAGTCCCACATCACGGAAACACAGTAAACCAAACATCCTGTCTCCGTCACTTCCCACGCTGTGGAATGAAAACATACACCGTCATGTGATAAAACAATCCCATGACTGCAAACACGAAGCAAGAATCCTAACAGTTCTCTGGTAGTCTACCCACCTGCTTCAGCTACATTTATATCATGAGTGATATCCATCATTAGCCATACTCTTCACAGGCCCATCAAAATAAATGAACTTAAAGTCACTTAAATTTATTTCAATTGATCTACTCTTAGCACAACTTAGTTGGTTATCACCCCATAGTGGTACCTCGGGTTACAGATGCTTCAGGTTATAGACTCTGCTAACCCAGAAATAGTACCTTGTTTTAAGAACTTTGCTTCAGGATGAGAACAGAAATCGCACGGCGGCAGCGGGAGGCTCCATTAGCTAAAGTGGTACGTCAGGTTAAGAACAATTTCAGGTTAAGAACGGACCTCCAGAACAAATTTAAGTTCTTAACCTGAGGTACCACTGTATTTTTAAGCTGTGTGATAAATCTTCAAACTGCAAGTAAACAACTTAAAAACCAGTGTGCATTTTATGGATTGGCACCTAAAAGTAGCATAATTGTATATGCATGTATGGCAAATTTATAACTGAGTTATAAAAAAATGATTGTGGTTTTGTTTGTTTTGTTTTTGTCCTGATAGCCTATTTTAGAATCAGGAGCCATAGAACTTCTCTGTAGTTTAACCCAGAGCGACAATCTTGCCTTGAGGGTGAATGGAGTTTGGGCTTTAATGGTAAGAATTAATGTTAATCCGATAGCTATGGCTGCACCCTGTTTCCTTTCCCCAAGATGACACCACAATTATATTGAAAATGGGATCAGTGGGAAAATCTTAAACTAAAAGTCTTGTTGAGCCCTAGGATGTTTTCAAGGATATGGAGAAACTTGCTTGCTGTTCCTTGTACATTCCTTGTGCATTATAATTGTTTCTATGTATGTAGCAGATTGCAACAGTCTTTGTAATGAAATTGTGTCCTTTTGTGGAAAAAAATGGGATGATTATTTTTTATCTATTGTCTTTAGAATATGGCATTTCAAGCAGAACAGAAGATCAAAGCAGACATCTTACGAGGCTTGAGTACAGAGCAATTATTCCAGTTACTCTCCGATTCTGATGTAAATGTACTAATGAAGACATTGGGACTACTTAGAAATCTTTTGTCTACTCGCCCGGTAAGTAAAATAATGAAACAGCATTTTGATTTTTTTTTTAAAAAAGTATTAGTGGACAGTTCCTTTAAATTGATATCACTTATATGGTTACATACACCTGGCACTGGAGTGAGGTCACAGCACTCACCTTCACCACAGCTTGAGAATAGTTCTTGATCAACCTACAATATAAAGAAAGCCATGGCAATGACTAGAGCAAAGTGTTTCCTAAATCCCTAGTACCACATCCTCTGAGCCTTGTGGAGTAAAAGCTTCCTCAGCTGAAAGTAATAAACAGAGGGATCATTCTTGCAAGATGCTGTATTTTGTGAATCAGGCTGTAAAGACAAATATCTTTATCTTTAAAGGAAGTCAATCTTTGACTTGTTACATATCCATGGTAGAGACTGTGGAAATATTGGTAGAATGCTGAAAAATAGCACAAATTGTTGTTGAACTGGTACATGATCTTAATTGACACACCAAATTACACATGATTATTGCTCATTTGGATCATTCATGGAATGTTGGTGTTGAGAGGGATCTTAAAAGTACAGTAGTTAAACAGAAAAATTATTTTTAGGTATGGGAATAAAAGTTCCCACAGGCTACTCTTTATGAAATTATCCAGATTAGTTTTAAAACTTTATAAGCAATGAGCTGGATTCAACCAAATCCTTGTGTTAGCAGGAGCCAGCACGATGAGTCTTACTAGCACAGCTGAGCTTTCCCTCTCTCGGTTCCACCTGCTCCCCACCCCACACCCCCTGGTTCTTGGAGGGTCAGGAGAACCCCTAGAGCAGCACACGGGGGAAGAAGACAGGAGACTGCTCCATCAGGAAAACAGAAATGCTTGCCTTGAGGAATTGATCTCCTTGGCTATACTTAGAATGGCACCCAATACCTCCAGATCTGACTAATTGGATTGTGAGAAATTTTATTCTTTAAACGAAGTGCAACTTAAACTTTAGGAATGGCATTCTGAACTTTACTCAGAGTAGACTTGTTGAAATTAATGGCTGTTACTTAGTCATGATCATTTCAGTGGGTCTGCTGAATAAAATTTTTTTGTGTACCACCTTTATATATCCCTTTTAAAGTCATCTCCTTTAACCTAAAAAAACTCATTGGCTTCTAGAAAGCTGTTCTGTGTAATGATCCCACTTTTAAATTTGACCAGTTTCTAGGAGAAGTTTCTAATTCCTTTGATTTGTTAAATGTACTTTGTAGGATTTGTTTGACGGTAGAGGGATGTGGTTTTCCAGCATTATTAACATTTCCTTATGATAATCCTTGCCAAATACACTAACTGCAGCCTCCGCATCAAGCACGAGGGAAGCCCAGCCTCGAGTACATGTGCAATAAAAACTCTGTTATGGCGGGTTTTTTTGTAAAAAAAAAAATAGTAATTTGTCTGACTTTAAAAAAACTGGTTATTTGCTAATGCTATATTTTGAAACTTGGCAGCACATAGATCAGATAATAAGTACTCATGGGAAGCAAATCATGCAAGCAGTGACCCTCATTTTGGAAGGAGAGCACAATGTAGAAGTCAAAGAACAGGTATGCATTGTTTGTATTGATCATACATATATAACATAATAGGCAGGATGGTGTATACCTTTGCTGAATAAAGAAATATTATGTCTAGAAAACCTGGATTTGGTGAGCATTCTAAGGATGTTTGCACAAATCTTATTGGTAACTTCCTGACATGCGGACCTTGAAGGTGAAGATTTAAGGGTTCTGAAGAGTTCCTCATCCTTCTTAAGAAAAAAATATCCCACAGGCAAAATTTCTAAAACTGACATACATGTTGCCAGGGAAATGTTGAGACAGCAGAAGGAAATAAGCAGGTTGATGCTTTTAGCTCGCTGGGGCAGGAAGTTAAGAAAGAAAGCAGTGTGCTAATAAACCTAGTAAAAATAACAAAACTCTGCAGTGATTTATAGAGCTATAGGGAGAGATGTGAGGAAGGAGGGAGGCCTAAGGCAAGCCCTGATGATAGTTGCAAGGGACAAAGGGACAGGGAGCAAGTTCCCTCTCTACCTTTTCGCCCTGAACCCATTGGGGGGGCTGGCAAGGGGTCTCTGGAGGAGGTGTAAAATAGTGTGCTCGCCCCAGGACAAGATCTCACACTAAGTTACTTTTAGGAACACTGTGTGGCCTCAGTTAAGTAACTACTGAAACTGTCATTATAACTTTGCAATTGACTTCTTTTTCAAGGCCTTTTATTGCTGTCCTCCCCTTTCCCCCCTCCAGACGTTATGTATACTTGCCAACATAGCAGATGGAACAACAGCTAAAGAACTTATTATGACAAATGATGACATCTTGCAAAAAATAAAATATTACATGGTATGTAATTTCATTGAACAGGCGTTTCTGCCATATACAAAATCCTATGCATAGGGGCCACAACTCAGTGTTACCTTCTGTATGTGATCTAACATAATCAGTGGCATCTCCCATCTAAAAGGCTCTCTGATAGTACTTGAAAGCACTATCTGAGACTGGATAGCTGCTGCTAGTTCAAATAGTGATTCGGGTAGCTGGGTCTGACATACTACAAGACAGCTTCATATGTTCAGTTAAAAAGGTGGGTTTTCTACCTTTTTAATAGTTCAGAGTGAAATACTGATTTTCTTTGTGGCTCTCATTTAGTTGCACAATAGGAACTTAACAGCTGTCTGCAGAATTTTCCATAGCACAAGATGCACCCTCTTAATAATGTCTTTCCTCCTCTTGAAGGGCAGTAGTACCCTCCTTACGCTGTGAATGTTGTTTCTGATTGCTTGAAGGGTGGTAATTTTGAGAGAAACAACACATTTTTAAACATTTAATTCTAATATATAAACCCCTTTCTGTTCATGCTTAGAGTCATTCGAATGCTAAACTTCAGCTGGCTGCCATGTTTTGTGTATCTAATCTTATATGGAATGAAGAAGAAGGTAAAATATACTTATCTGTGTTGTCCCTAAAATGTTTTTCAAACCTTGTATATTACTTCCAGAGGTGTAGGGAAACCCCTTGAAAGACTCTTAATTTCACAGGGGGGGGGGGGAGCCCCCAATTTAGCCTATGTAAGATGAAACAAAGCTAGGCTGTTTAGCATGTGGAATTCATTTTCATCTCAGTATGGAGATGAGTAGATTAAAAGAAAGGTAAAGTGAACAACCATATTCACCTTCCCTCGATACCAAGGGAAGTTATGAAGACATACTGACTGGGGAAAAATTAAAGTAATGTGGAAATGCCAGTAGCTAAATTATGACTGAAACATGAAACATCTTGAGGTGAAGAAATCAAGATGTTGAGTCATATTTGCACTGTCTTCAAAAAATGGAAGTGTTGCAAATCAGCCATTCATGTTAAGATTTTCATCAGGGCCACCAAATGCTGCATACAAGCAGAGGCTGATTTGCAGCAGCAAAATTCTTTCTGATATAAATCTGCTCACAGGAGTATGTAGCACTAAGTAGTTCCATTGCATTGTCTCCAGTGCTGCAGTTGTGCACAGAGCAAACTTCCCTTTCCTCTTCTCGGTGCTGCAGAGCGAGGAGGAGAGGAAGGGAAGGTCCTTTTGCATAGATGGAACTCTACTCATGCAGGGTTAGATACAGCACAATATTGAGATCCACATATGAAAGCATTGCAATAGAGTTTATATACATCACTATGCAATTGATAATTTGAACCACTCATTTGGGGGTTTTTTTATAACAAAGTCTTCAAGAGAACTTGTGCATCTGGCTTGAGAGCAGTACACGTGAAAAGGATCTAGGAGTCTTGTTTGACCACAAACTTGACATGAGGCAACAGTGTGACGCGGCAGCTAAAAAAGCCAATGCAATTCTGGGCTGCATCAATAGGAGTATAGTATCTAGATCAAGGGAAGTAATAGTGCCACTGTATTCTGCTCTGGTGAGACCTCACCTGGATACTGTGTCCAGTTCTGGGCACCACAGTTCAAGAAGGACACTGACAAACTGGAACGTGTCCAGAGGAGGGCAACCAAATTGGTCAAAGGCCTGGAAACGATGCCTTATGAGGAACAGCTAAGGGAGCTGGGCATGTTTAGCCTGGAGAAGAGGAGGTTAAGGGGTGATATGGTAGCCATGTTCAAATATATAAAAGGATGTCACATAGAGGAGGGAGAAAGGTTGTTTTCTGCTGCTCCAGAGAAGCGGACACGGAGCAATGGATCCAAACTACAAGAAAGAAGATTCCACCTAAACATTAGGAAGAACTTCCTGACAGTAAGAGCTGTTTGACAGTGGAATTTGCTGCCAAGGAGTGTGGTGGAGTCTCCTTCTTTGGAGGTCTTTAAGCAGAGGCTTGACAACCATATGTCAGGAGTGCTCTGATGGTGTTTCCTGCTTGGCAGGGGGTTGGACTCGATGGCCCTTGTGGTCTCTTCCAACTCTATGATTCTATGATTCTATGATCAGCAAATCAATATCAGCAGAACATCAACATAAAAAATCAAAATTGTTTTAGATTACCAGCACATGTAATGTGTGATGTTCCTGTCTTGCTCTTCTATGTATCTGTGCTAGGATTGCTCACATTAAGTCACATATAAGACACATTAGTTAAATATAGGAAATGCTTTCTACAGAATTATTGTATAGTTGAATTTGGACATTGTAGTATTATTGGCTTGAAATTTTTTTGTTAAATAGGAATTATCAAGAATTATCCTTCATTATTACATCAGCAATGATCATATATGCCAAATACTGGAGATTAGAAAAAAATACCTAAATTAGAAGCATGGAATAGCTATTGTTTATTGGAAGAGTAAAATGCATTTCTATTTCTTAATTTTTTTATATTACACCTTCCTCCAAGAAGCTGTTGATCACTTATTTCATTTACTGTAATCAACTGTCAAGTGTGTATGGAAATTAATAATACTGTAAGTTTCTAATTCTCAAAGTCAGTAAACTGCAACTGCAAAATGTACAATCCTCCTAGTTGGCCCAGTGGCACAGATCTAGTTTATCTCCTTTGGAAGGGAGTTTCAGAAATAAGGGGCTGCCACTAGAAGGTCCTGCATTCTAGTACTGATTTGCCTAATTGATGGTGACATTAAAGAAGGTCCTCATCTCCTAATCCTCATTCACATAGTGAACACACGGGATAAGATACTGCATTTTTGTGTGTGCATATGGGAGCTGGAGCTAAGTGGTATTCTGGCTGTAAGAATTCTTTACATAGGATTGTATTACATTCCTTGCAACTTTTTAGTTGTTCTTGACAAACCGCATGGAACATATCATTAACAATATGCAGTGTTTTTGTCTTAGGTTCCCAAGACCGTCAAGATAAACTCAGAGATATTGGAATAGTAGATATTCTACACAAATTGAGTCAGTCATCAGATCCAAATCTTTGTGATAAGTAAGTATAAAACTATTCCAAAACCAAATTTTATGGTGTTTGGTAACTTTTAAAACTCATTGCAGTGGTCTATGTAGATAAGATTAGATACTTGGACTTGACTGTGCAGAGCTTTTAGTGAAAATGCACTTCTTGTAAATGGGATATTGTTACTGTTTATTTTCCTGCAAACCTTAGAGTTGCCCCTTGTCTTTCAAAAATAGTTTAATCAACAGGTCTGAAATATCACAGGAGATTTAACTTTGATTTCATACCCTACAGGGACAAGTTCTCCATGGGAGTTTGGGCTTTTCCTCTTTCAAACAAAGGCTGAAATTTATATACCTTTCTGGCATGTCTTTATGCCTCCACAAACTGAAAATGGGCAGTGCAAATTATTAAAGGGTGATCTAAAAGCCTGCTTTATTGGAAGTATCCCTTTCTATTATTCCTCTATTTATCATATTTAACGTTGGATTCCTAAAGCAGTCACTTGCTTGAAATACTATTGGGATTCTTGGTTTATAGTTGTTGATTTCAATCCAAAACAAACTTTTAAGGAAACACATAATTTTTTGGACAAGCCATTAGAGAATTTCAGAAGAAATGTTGATTAATTTTGTGAGAAACTTCATTGACTCAGTTTTCCACTACTGCAGTTGGCTATTTGCATAGTGCCACTGTTAAAGATCCTGTATTTTATAAGTGTGCTTTTGTCATCCCAGTGGCTGACGGGTGTTTTTCCTTACAGGGCAAAGACGGCACTCCAGCAGTACCTTGCATGATCAAAGACAAGTCGAACTGTCCGTACAACTCTCAAAGCTATATAATAAGGAATAACGGGAAATAGCCGCACCTAATTCCTTATCTTTTGCACAAGGCACCTTGGGCTGCGTTTCTCTCAGGTGCAGGGAGCTGCTTGGCAGGAGCAGTTTAAGTGATCAGGTCTCCAATGCACTTGAGGACTTTTTTGAGGTAGTTCCTTTACTCAGAGGACTCTTCTGGGATTATTTTCCTGAGCTACCTGAACTCTACTAGAACAATCAGTCATGTTTTTTCCTTTGGGCCTACAATTTTCTGCTTATACCACAGCCAGTTGTGGCTGTGTCTGGGTGGGTGTGATACCTCAGAGCTTTTGTTTTCCTTTTTGTGTTTTTTCTACAGATTTTCAAGGGTTAACCATTCTTTGCTGTATGAAAACTTTAAAGAATTATATACGATTTGAATTGAAATGTTATTTAAAAAGTTTTGTCCCATGAAGTTTATTTTGATCAGATGAATGTTTTTAAGTAAAATATATGCATTTGTTAAACCTCAGCTTAATGTACCTGTACTTCCTCTTTTGAAACAAAATGAAGTGACATCTAGATGACTGGTAGCACATGTAATGTGACTAACGCTAGCCTCCTACTGCCGTGTGTTACTAGCACCAGCTCCCTGGACTTGGGAAAGCAAAATTCAGAGAACCCAAGGTGGAGCCTTAAGTACACTTGACACCAAGGTTGAATTTGTGGAAATCATACCTGCTGGGTTACCCAGCAAGAAAAAATACAGTCCCCGTGCCAGTGCCATTGCTGCCTCAGAGAAATTACACTTGTTAAAAAAGCTCTGCGTTGTTCTTAGATGACTTGAAGCTGTGATGGTAGATTGATTAAAGTAAAAAACAACAACTGGCGGCTGCTGTTTGAAACCGTGCAGTGATGAACGTGAGAGGACAACCCCACAGAAGATCTGCGTGAAAAACAGACACCAAATCTTTTTACTTTTTTATTTTTCCAGAAGTGCATGATGATGGGACAAAACGCTTCCTCCAGCAAAAGTACAAAATGATTAGTAGGATGTTTTCAATTCTGCAAAAATGCTTACTATCTTTTTCAGGCCTCTTGGTTCACCAGTAAGTTTTCTGTGGGCTCAGTCCAAAGTTTTTTTTCATGTCAAGGGACAAGAGAACCAGTCAGAGGCTAATCTCATTTCACTCACCAGCTTTGGTCATCCCAAACTTTTATTTATAATTAATAACTAGGCACATCACATTTATAGTCAAAGCAAAGGTTAGAGTTTGGGCTTCTGGCTGGGAAGGTTAATAAACTGAAAGGAGGCTACAAAACAACACCAGAATTTTTATATAAGTCTTTAATGTATTGCTTTACTCTGAAAGGCAAGTAATAGTGATTTCAGGGATAGTAGTAAGTGATGCCATTTCTCAGTGTCATTGCTACAAGCTTGTTGGGGTTGGACTTCTGCAGGTCTGCACGGTGTGTGCCTACCTGCCAACTAGTACCTCAGAAATAAAGCCTTATTTAAGTCATTAACGTGATTGTAGCCTTAATAATACTGAGAAAAATCACTTCCTTGTCGGGTTTGTCCAAAGCCACTCCCTAGAAATAAAGGGGTGGGAAGAAGGGAAGGCTCCCTTAGCCTGGCTGCTGCTTTTGCACTCTGGATTATTATTACACCTGCACTTCCGATATTGCTGTCATGCCTCCATCACTCATATGCATATCCATTTACTTTGAAATATAGATATGCCTAAAACTGTGTTGAATACAGCTGAGATGTGCAAATTTTCATCTTCACACTTGAAGGTTGCTTTTTAATAGTGTGGCCCGATATGTGCGAGAAGGATATAAACTATGCTAAGACAATCTGGGTAATGTTGGGGAAAGGTGGGTGAAATATTAGGATGGTAGGTGATAATGAAGTGGCATTTTGCACTCAGTGAAGCATTGTGAATACTTTTTTGATGTTGCTATAAATATGTACAAATAGAAAACACTGTAAATAAAAAATGACCTTTTACTGGAGAACATATTTAAAATGACTTGGCCCTATTGATATGGTTTTTTTCCTGACTTGAAGGAAAGATTACAGTCTTAGGAAAGGCAGTCAAACTCAGCTATACACTTAGTCTCTTAGACAACTATTCTAAGGATAACTAGCTTCATCTCAAATTCTTCTAAATGTCATGATGTTCGGGGTCATAAAACTACAAGTTGACACACAGAGTGAAAATTATTGCTTTTTACTTTAAATGCTTTGTTCATAGTTGCTGAGAAACTAGGACTCACAATTGTGTAAATCTCTTCATGATTTGGGGTGGGGAAATGCTTTGAATGCTTGGGGAGTGCTGTAATGTAGGACAGTGTTAAAAAACAGAGTTTTATTCATGTCGCAAAGCTGTTCATATTCGTTCTCGGTGCCTTTTTTCTGGGGGTACACAGGGGTACGCATACCCTTAACACTTTGTGAATCTTTGCACTTTTGTCCATTTACTGTATTTATTTTTCCCTATTTGAACTATAAAATGGTGATTTTCTTGAGTCAAAATGGAAGTACCCCTAAACAATTCTTTTAGAAAAAAAGCACTGCTCGTTCTATTCCGATCCATACTACACCTTCTCTGGTGTATTCCCCCCATTTACCTCTTGCAGACATCCAAGCTGTTTCTCCTCAGCTTTGCAAAACTTACAGATGAGCTAAGCTTTGTGAATATGTATGATAATTCAAGACCCAATAATCATTTTATTAAGGAAAACATTTTTATTTGAAGAATCTTAGGAACTTGAAGTGACCCCAAAATTTTCTGGTCCACCACTTACACCCCAGGCTGCTCGAGCCATTATATTTATTCCAACTCGACTGAACACATATTAAAGGTAAAGGTAAAGGACCTCTGACAGTTACGTCCAGTCGTAGACGACTCTGGGGTTGCAGCACTCATCTCGGTTTACAGGCCGAGGGACCTGGCGTTTGTCCGCACACAGTTTTTCTGGGTCATGTGGCCAGCATGACTAAGCCGCTTCTGGCAAAACCAGAGCAGCGCACGGAAACACCGTTTATCTTCCCACCGGAGTGGTACCTATTTATCTACTTGCATTTTTGGTGTGCTTTCAAACTGCTAGGTTGGCAGGAGCTGGGACTGAGCAACAGGAGCTCACCCTGTTGCAGGGATTCGAACCACCGACCTCCTGATCGGCAAGCCCAAGAGGCTCAGTGGTTTAGACCACAGCGCCACCCGCGTCCCTATATATAGTCCAAACTATAGTATCTTGAAAGCAGGGTACAAAAGTGAAAGAGGTGTTCTGTCCATTCCAGAGGCTGAGATCCAGTTGGTGTAGTTGAACAAACTGACTAGATCCTGGGCATTGTGGAGAAACTGACCTGAGGGCCAGTATATCTTTGTCTTCAAGCATACACTTAGGATGCTAGAGATTAATCTAAACCCTTTCAAAGAGAAAATAGTCTTGGCCCCAGTACCATAAGTTCACTTTTAAGTCTTCTCTCCCAATAATTTCATTCTTATCTATCAGATTTACTCTGTTTTTCATGCATAAGGAACCAGCATCTTACTGAAAAGAATTCAAAATGTAAAAGTCTATTAAACATTTTAAAAAGCAACTTAAAACAATGACATGTAGCAATCCCAAATAAAATGCATGTTTGCTGGATCCAGATGGTAAACAGTTCCTTTGATAGGAATGACCTCTCCCCCTGATATTGACAGGGTGGGTCCTACACAGTCTTCGGCCTTCTGTACAGGAGGAGGCGCCATCTCCCTCTCCAAATCGATCCTGACTGTGTTCCATGAAGATTTGGGCCTGATCGGCTGTCATAGAGGCTTGTCTTCCTGCTTCTTTGGCTGTGTTTTTTAGTCAGTTTCCTGCCTTTTTTCACCCACCTCTCCTCTCATTTTTCTTTTTACTGTTGTTGTGAGTGTGTTTCTGGTTTGCTTTGAGTGTTTGGATTATATTTTTACCTCAGCACATTTTCACTTTTTTCATTCCACCTCTAGTCCCTTCTGGTGGCTACAGAGTGAGGGGTGTTTTTGTTTTTTTGTTTTTTTTTGTACAGTGTCTACTTGGCCACATTTCTGTGAAGCAGCTTCTGGAGTTTTTGACATGTCCTGCAAATAAACTAGGTAGCAGCAACATTTTTAGAACAGGCTTTTGACTGTGCAATATCTGAGAGTGCTTGGGGGGGGGGGGGGAGTTCGTTTTGCAGCCTCCTACACCATAGGCCTGGGCTTTCCAGATCATCATTCTCTGCTAGATCACCCAGTTTTGGCCCCTGCCTTTTTTGTTGGACATTCCAGCTATTCCCACTACCAAGATCACCCATTGTCCCCATATTTTTGGCAACCTCAGCCACACATTTTGAGGAAGTGGAGCAGCTGTGAGATAAATTGTCTAGGCGGGAGTTCCATTTTGGAGCAGGGTTTTCTCCACACCCACCTGCCATCCTTTATGCTCCATTCTGCTCTGTATTTAACAGTTACCTTAGTTTTTGTAGTGGGTCTGCTTCCATTTGGGGGCTATTGGCCTCATTGGCCTTTAACACTCAGCAGAGGCAAGTTGGGTGGGCACTATTTATTTTGGTCTGGGCACGTGCTTTCCCCCTCTTATTTCTGTCATTACTCCTCCCTCAGTAGTTCTACAGGAGTCTGCTGGGGGTGAACTCCCAGCATTTCTGCCTTGGGGGGTGGTGGTCTGTGGCTAGAGATAGGACATTCTAGAGATAGAAAGTAAGGGGTTCTGGAGGGTTGTCCCAAATCAGTGTGTCTCTGGGACTTTTTAGGGTTTTGGTGCCCCTTATTTGACAAGTTACATTTTCTCGGCCTGGGGTATCCTTTCCTTCCTGTTCTCATGTTTTCTCTGTTGATTGCCTATTTGAGTGAATTTGTTTAGGGGTGTGGGGTTGTCTGCTCTGCCACTTGATTTGGTGAGGGAGATGGCTTATCCCCTGAGAGAGGAGGCAGAGAACTGTACGACTGCATGTCATCCTTATCAGAGGAATATTCTCCTTCTGGATCCCCACGCAAAAATTCATAGTAAGAATTCCTATTTTCTAAACTATAAGCATTGATTGATTGCATTTATATCCCACCTTTTCCTTGAGGAGCTCAAGGTGATGTATGTAGGTGTCCTCTCCATTTTATCCACACAACCCTGTGAGGCTGGGAGTGAGTCATGAGGAAGGGTGCAGGAATATTTGTGTATTTCCCTGCCTTTGGAAAGCAAGTACAGTGGTACCTCAGTTTAAGTACTTAATTCGTTCCGGAGGTCCGTTCTTAACCTGAAACTGTTCTTAACCTGAAGCACCACTTTAGCTAATGAGGCCTCCTCCTGCCGCCGCGCTGCCACTGCACGATTTCTGTTCTTATCCTGAAACAAAGTTCTTAACCTGAAGCACTATTTCTGGGTTAGTGGAGTCTGTAACCTGAAGCGTATGTAACCTGAAGCGTATGTAACCCGAGGTGCCACTGTAACAATATTATGGAGGACAGAGCTAACAAATGGGTTCTGCCTATGGCAGGCAAATGGAACCTCCAGTTTCAGATATGACAGTAATCTGAATACCAGTTGCTACTGGAGCTAAACAATGGTAAAGGTTTCCTCTGAATTCACCTTTCTGTGCTGTTTGTCTCCCCACTAGTAAATGGAGGGAACGAACCATTATCCCTGGCTGAATCAGGGATTGTAGTTTTGATTCAACCCCATCAAACCACTATCTCTAGTCAATCTGGAATGAAACAAACTAGGGTTCTTGATTCAGTCATAGCACCTAGCCAAGGATCACAGCTGGTATCTTTCAGGTGTGGGGAACATTTGGCCCCAGGTGCTAGGTCAACTCTTGGAACAGATAGCCAGGGATGATGGGAGTTAATAGTTCCCCCACCTGCTATATGGGCTAGCAGGGAGGAGGCAAATGACACAGAAAGTTGCTTTCATTAGAAACTTACTATGGTTTACCATGACATACAAACGAGAGAAGGCTAATGTCTTTATGCCTGACTGATGGCTTTCCTTGAAGCATCTGGCTGGCTGCTGTAGGCAACAGAATGAACCCATGATCTGATCCAGCAGTGAGTGCTCTTCTTATCTGCCAGATCCAGGTGGTGATGTACATGCCTGCTATAAAGAATTGTGCTCCTAGAATAGAATGAAAATTGGATTCGTAGGACAGATAAGAAAAATGCAACCACACTCTTCTGTAAACCTGCATTTTGCATGTGTAGAGTTGGTTGCCAGGTATAATCCAAAGTAGAATGAATGGAAGAGAGACATATTCTAGTTCTTGATCAGGATGAAGTAATAGGAAAATCTTTTCCAGGGGTTGAGGTAGCAGCAGCAGCTAAGTTACGGTAAGTAGGACTAAGAGTGAGATGCAGAAAGAGCAGCTACTGCTGCGCTCTTCACCTCCCCGACCTACAAATGTAGGCTTTTCATTTATATCAAGGCAAATGAACATGAGAGAAGTTACTTTGCATAGTACCTCTGAGTAAAATAGGTGTTAGACTGGGAAGATGAATTTTTGCAGTTAAGTGTCTCTTGGAGGAACAGCTTCCTTTTGCTTTTCTATATTCAGAGAGAACTGGCAAAACATGAAATGAAGAAAATTATCTTCTAAAGTGCACTTCAGGTCAGAACACAGTGTCTGGTTCGTTTTCAATAGCTTAACATTCATGGGAAAGTCCCAAAGGTGTAAATGACTTAGACTACTAGGCATCAGTTGTGTATTCAAACTTCTAAATAGCAGCATAGGGTGGGAGAGTTGATGTTTATCATCTTGTACTTTGTACAGGTAGCTTAGGGATAGGTCTTCTGTTTTAAACTTGCTCTAAAGCTAACATGCAATCATATCTTGGGGTGATTCCCCCCCCCCAGCTTTCATCCAATTTACTCTATTGTCAGTAGGCTAGGTACATGTTGTAGCCTTTTCAGACATTGGTAGGTAGCATAATCACACCATTGACACCAGAGGCACATATGTACTCATTTTTTAAAGATGAAAGGGTCTTCAAAAACAGTTTAAGAGCTGTTTGATCAGGCTGAAAGTGCATGCATTTCACAGTAAGTTATGGCTTTTCTTCTGAAAACTGGCATCTGGTTCCAGCCTTTGTGTTTCTTTCCTTATCCTTTCAAGACTTTTTCACACAATGATTCAACAGCAAAATGAGAGGCAGAAACTACAGAGACTTCTATTTACATACATCCAGACATATGTGTGAGTTTATGAGCATATAACAACTTGCACAATGGGAGCACACATTTGTTGAAGAAAAATACAAAGGGCATAACAGCACTAGTAAGTGTGCGCAGTATAGCATGCAGTGAAAACAAAGTTTACTCTTGTGAATTGTAAACTATAGGTACATTATGGAATAAAGAAAAGGGAAAGCACTTTATGTGGAATGTGCCTCTGATACCTTGCATGTCTTAAGTGTCACTGACTATTCTGGATCTTCTGTGTAAAAAACAGTGGGGTGAGGTCTTATAGCTTGTTCTTGAGACAGTGCTGGAGAGCATCTTCCAGAGCATGGAGGACTCTGTCAACGTTGTATTTAGTGGAGTTATAGCCCATCAATCCTATTCGGAGAACCTAGTGATGAGATAATATAAAAAATAGAGTAAGTGTTCTGGAACTCATTCTCTTAGAAGGGCCCAGCCCTCATCTTAGTCTAAATGAGAAAGTGATTGAGTTCAGCATCTCAATGGCATGGAAACCATGTAAATAAGGTTAATTCTAATTAGAGGTATAAATAACTGATTCACTTCTCTTTCAATTCCTCTGCATCAGAGGCTAGGGTGGGGTATTACATGTCTGAATAGTCATCTGCTTTCACACACAAAGCTAAAGTAGTAAAAGCCAGGTTTGTGGAGAAATAAAATATTTACAAAATGTTTTGCTTTTTGTTGAAAACCAGACAGTCCTGTCTTCAAACACCTTAGTTTATTTCTCATTTCCTGCCCCGAGGCAATATCTACCTTGCCTGCTGAAGCACCCAGGCCTCCTGAAATCTCAATCCCATGCCTTTTCATAATGTAGTCAGTGATTTCCTTCCAGTCATATCCCTCAGGTACAAAGACAGTGTTGACTGTTGGAAGCCTTGCATCCTGAAAAATAAAGAGAATGAGTCAAAGGCACCCAGGTAATTTCTGAATGCATGTAAATGCTTCAATTTCCCAGGATTTCTAGCAAGCTGCACCATCTGGATGAAATGCCCTCACCCTAATGATTTCTCTCCTTGCTTGCATGGGACCTTCTCACATTAGGAATCTACACTCACTGACCATTTGTCTGTGGTGAGCTTGATTCTGTGCAAGGCTAGAGAGAATGGTTTCTGAGTGTTAAAAGTTGGCTTCATATATGTTTCACATTCCGTCCTGTACATTTTGGTTTCCCTATAATTTCTGGTTACCTGTTGATTGGTGCTGAAAAGTGAGATGCTCATGCAGTAAATGATCAGCTATCCTGCTTTCAAACTACATTCAGCTGTGGAAACACTATTGCCTTAGGTTGCTAGAACGAAGTCTCTCTGGCTTATCTCTGGTTCCCTTCTCATACCTCACTACCCTCGGTATATAATATTCAACAGGCCTGCAATTACTGTCATTGTCTATTCCTTTCTCCATCCATCTCAAAGCAGGTCCTATAAGATGCAGCAGCACACATACGACTTAGTTCTCTTGTTCACTTCAATGGTGGTTACTCAGCACAGAATGTGGAGCTAATTATTGTGGTTTGCATCCTACCGGTTCTTTCACAAAAAGTTGGAGGCCTAACTTCTGTAGCCCTGCACACAGGTCCAGGCTGTTCTCCTTGTGAAGCTTCCAGGAATTTTCTAGCCCCTGTATATAAAATGCACTTTTATTTTCATGTGTAGGAAATAAAAACTATTTCAACTATCTCTACATAGCAGGCATATTATATTAGGATGGACACAGTGGGTGGGTATTTAACTAAACAGTTCTGCTATCACAAGTACCTTTGACTGTGCAATGGAATTTCCTCTCTCTCATGTGCCCCCTAAATACCGTATTTTTCGCTCTATAAGACGCACCAGACCACAAGATGCACTTAGTTTTTGGAGGAGGAAAACAAGAAAAAAAATATTCTGAATCCCAGAAACCAGAACAGCAAGAGGGATCGCTGCTCAGCGAAAGCAGCGATACCTCTTGCTGTTCTGGCTTCTGGGGTAGCTCCGCAGCCTGCATTCGCTCCATAAGACGCACACACATTTCCCCTTACTTTTTAGGTGGGAAAAAGTGAGTCTTATAGAGCAAAAAATACGGTATGTTATTTGGTGAGCAGGGAGAGGAAGTTGCATTGTGCAGCCGAAAGTGTATGTGCTAGCAGAATTATTTAATTGGATACTACCCTTTCATCTTTAAATATGATAGGTTTGTAATTGAGTTTGGCTTTGACAGTTCTGACCAGTTAGCATCCAAAAACTCTAAAATTAGTATGGTACTCATTTGTTTATTAGGGTCCACATCATACAAAGTAATATACTCCTTACCAGTTGTGAATAAACCAAGGGCTTGCTTAGAAAGTAAGGCTGCAGCCCTAACCATGTCTATTCAGAAGTGAGTCCTGTTGAATAAAATGGGGCTTACGCTCAAGTAAGTAGGGTTAGGATTGCATCAGGCAGGCATCAGCCTTCAGTAGTCCTCATTCTGCTTCCAGTCAAGAAAGGGTGATACTGGTTCTATATTAGTTCCTTCTATGAGAACTAAGGTGCTTCATACATTATGCAGCATTCCTCCCTCCCATAATTTCACAAGTGTTATAACCATTATTGCTTCCAGAAAATCATATAGGGGAGACATGCTTTGGGAAGTCCTGGATGGACATTCAGGGCAAAAATTAATCTACTACACCTTTTAGGAACACATTGACTTTTTATGCATTGTAAGTTTATTACTAATGAGGTCACAGTGAATATGATTGCTGAATAATATCTGGATACACTCTAATATGCCCATTCTTAACTAAGCAGCAGAAATATCTTGATTTCAGTATCTTCCTTTGTTTCTCTACTACTTCAGCCTGTAGGCCTTTCAGTCTCCCACACTGACTGACCTTTTCTGCAAGAATTGCCAAGCCTTCTCGCAGACAGAAAAACGTGTTGATGGGTGCAGTATGATGATACCTGCAAAGATACATGCAACATGTAAGGGAGATGCTCAATTTGCATGGACCAATCTATCAGAAACCGCTTCACAATATATATCCTACCTATCAACACCCCCCCATGCCAAAACAAAATAGTGACAGGAAAGTGAAGCGAGGAAGTATTGTCATATTCTCAGTTGAAGCCTATGTCAAACTAGGTGCTGCCCAGTGCTTGTTTTTGTGCTTTGAATCACTCATTGTAAGCAAGCAGCAAGTGTGCTCTCTGTCTCTCTCTCCCCCCAAGAGTTGCATGTGAGAGAATGAGCTGTTCCTTGCCATATTTCCATTCAAAGCCTTTTCTCTTACCCCACCTGCTTTCCCAGCCATATGATAGAAATATTGGGGGAAGGAATGGTAGTACAGATCTGCTGCTCAATAATGGTCCAGGGCCTAATCCATTTCTGGAGGCCAGGAAACTACTTTAAAAGTGAGGAGAATGAGAAGCCATAGAATTAGCTCTCACTTTCTTGGCTGATCGTTGCAGCCCCAGTATTGAGCCAGCTCCTCCATGTCCAGATAAAAGGAGATTGGTTTCGTCTTCCTACTGTAAATCTTCTTCCTGACAAAATGGAAATGCAAATATTGGTCACCTGAAGGAAATCTACCAGTGAATCACGTTCTTTGTGCACCTCCTACCCCTAGTGTATTTGCTGTAAACCGCACAGTTCAGTGGGGGGAGGAAACTGGCTCTTCACATGTTGAACTTCAGCTTCTATCATCCCCAACCATTAGCCATGATGACTGAGGTTGATGGGGGTTGGAATCCAACAACATATTTAGTTTCCACATAGACTAAATAGTGCCAATGTGTGAGTGTGAAAGAGCAATGAAGTGGCAGTGCCAGATCAGAACCTGGAACAGTCATAGAGGTATTGATTTTCTCTCCATGAGAATCCAGCACTTTGGCATCGAGGAGTCTATTAGAAATCCAGTAGAGGAGCAGACTATTGGAGCAGTAATGCTGTGAATTTTCCATCTCATGCTGAGCCTATGTGTATGTAAATTCAGCTTTAGATCACAAACGCCATTAGTCCCCAGTGACTTTCATTCCATGGAAACCACTCACAGTTGGGAGATTGGGATGTATATAATAGTATTGCTCAGTGGAATTGATTCATGTGGGATTTTCAATGCCATGTGGCCTCACTTAGCCCCTTTGTTAGAAACAAGCAGGAAAATGTAGATAATATGAGGTGCTTGAACCTGGAGCTTGCAAGAAGGCACGGAGGTTGAATTCTGTGAGATGTGGGGCTGACTTAGTTCAGTGAGTTGAACCCAAAGAATGGAATGGTAGGAAAACACCATGGCATTTTTGATAATTTGTAGAGTTTATGTAGAGCGTAAACAAGCTGTTGCAGGAGCTGAAGAGCATTTTTGGATGAGCTTCATTCTTCTCTCACAACACTTTAGTGCCAAGGTATAAAACAGTTATTTGGTTAGCTGCGGACCCCTTCTGCACATGGAAGTCCATTTTTGGATCCAGCTCAGTGTCTTTAGGAGGGAAATGAGCCTCCTATCATTTCCTATATCTCAATGACTGTCTTCTATAAAGCATTGACTTGCCTAACATCCAGTTGGAAATAACATCTCCCCAAAACAAATATTATTTTGCTTACCTTGCTCTCTGGCTGAAAGAAATGGGTGAAGCACCAGGTGGTGCATTTAAGACTTTCTGGGAGCCTGAGTAGAGGATGTCAATTCCTGTGTGCTCAACAGGGGAGAAAAAATGTTAATAAGTGTTCCTTCACTATGGCAGATGTCCTGTTCAGTTCTGTGCTACCAGGATTCTTTGTGGAAAGTTGTGGCAATTAAAAATGAAATAAAGCCAATATAAGTGCAATATGTATAGAGCAGTGGTTCTCAAATGGTGGCCTGTGGACCACAAGTTTCCATTGCATGTCTGTAAAAACACAAATAATCATACAGCACCTAACACAGTGCATTACAATTGCTATAACAGGCATGAAAATTATTAAGTGGTCTGCCAAGACCCTCAGAAATTTTCAAGTAGTCCATGGGAAGAAAATTTGAGAGGTTAGGCAAGATACTTGTTTGTTTGTTACTAATGTCATAAATTACTTCCCCAACCTGGTGACCTCCAGATGTTTTAGATGCACTTCTTGCTGGTGGGAGTTGTAATCCAGAACATCTGCAGGACACCAAGTTGTGAGAAGCTTTCATATACTTAGGGAAAAGCTTGGACACTAGTTTCAGATTTACCTACTCGTCCTCTAGAATGTGGCAAAGGCCAGAGAGCATCTCCTATACTATCTTTTGTATTCCTCTTCTCTTAGCAAACACACATCTATCTTCTGCCTTCTCCGGTGATGATGAAGGAAAGATGCAAGTTATTCTGATTAGGAACCTCAAACCATTTCTACATCAATGGTAAACATTTGTGTTACTATGACAGATTGTTACATCTTAGAATCATAGAATCATAGAGTTGGAAGAGACCACAAGGGCCATCAAGTCCAACCCCCTGCCAAGCAGGAAACACCATCAGAACACTCCTGACATATGGTTGTCAAGCCTCTGCTTAAAGACCTCCAAAGAAGGAGACTCCACCACACTCCTTGGCAGCAAAGTCCACTGTCAAACAGCTCTTACTGTCAGGAAGTTCTTCCTAATGTTTAGGTGGAATCTTCTTTCTTGTAGTTTGGATCCATTGCTCCGTGTCCGCTTCTCTGGAGCAGCAGAAAACAACCTTTCTCCCTCCTCTATGTGACATCCTTTTATATATTTGAACATGGCTATCATATCACCCCTTAACCTCCTCTTCTCCAGGCTAAACATGCCCAGCTCCCTTAGCCGTTCCTCATAAGGCATCGTTTCCAGGCCTTTGACCATTTTGCTCACCTTGCTGGTCCATAAGAATTGGAGCTCCACCCAGTGATGCTACAGCATCCACCAGTAGTAAACAATTATATCTAAAATGAGGAAGGAAAGAATAGAGATTTAGCATGCTATGGAAGGCAGGGCTTAACTTGCAAACAGGTCATCCAGATCAGATTTCTCTGTGTGCAAGTGCACTACCACACATTCTGTTGTTTTTAAGTCATATTCATTGCTATTTCACTGTTAGCCATTGATGCCAGTTGGCAGAGCTTGGTGGAATGCATCTGGGCTGGGTTTCTCTCTCTCCCCACTCAATTGGTCTTCCCCTGCTGCTCTCTCTTTTCCATTCTGGGCAGATGTGGGTATCCAGGAAGTGCACAAGAATGTAAGAGTAAATGTTAGTATCGTTATCCAACCAGTTACCATGTTTCACAATGAGCAAAATGGAGGCTTGTACTTTTTCTGTCGTTGACTGAATATTAATTCTAAACAAACAAACAAACAAACAAACAAATAAATACTGAGGTTTGAGTAAGAAGAAAACTTAGTTATGCTATATTAAGAGAGGTCCAAATGCACAGTGAACAAACAAACAACTTTCCAAAAGATATAGTAGATGTGGAGCGCCTTGTGTCTTTCATTTGGTTTAAGCAATTGATAACAGCTCTCTTATTCAGATTTTCTAAGCATAGGGAATCTTTGGATTTAGGGAAAAGAAAGTGTGGTACAGCAGTAGTTGTAGGAAAATGCCACATGGGCAAGGGGGAATTAACGGAGGCACAATGGGTTCTCAATCCACACTAAGCTGAGGTATGGTTGGGCCCACGGTAAATCAGGCAGCTTAGACTACAGCCTTGAGGCCTTTGTTTCTGAGGCAAATAAGTGTTTGACCTCCATGACCCACTGACCTGTGACAGAGTTCTCCAAGGCCATCCAGGGGCTGAAGCACTCCAGTGGAGGATTCTCCATGTGTGATGAAAAATAAAAAGGGAGCATGTGTCACTAAACCCTAGGAGAGGCAACAGGGGGGGAAAGAGTCAGACAAGACAAAAAAACAGGGGAGGAGTAGGTGAACAGTAATATTCTCCTAGTAGGTGGGAGGCTAAATTGCTATGAACTGGTTGTCCCAACCATTTACATAAGAAAGACATAGACTGCAGGTTTCACTTAGAGTTGTATTTATGTATCTAAATTATCTATATAATATCCTTCCTTTCAGGATACAAACTCTCCCAATAAACATGCTCTTTGCTGCTACTTTCAGCTACTTTGCTCACATAACTCACCTTTTCTATTTCTTCTAGAGTGAAAAACTCTCCAGGGGCCTTTACTAGCTGATGAACGTCTGCTCCTAAAATAGGTAATGGATTACAAATCATGTTACTTGAACTTTGTTAAAGGAGAAGCAAAGGACAAAACTGTTCCTAAGGCTCCTGGGAAGCACCAACATTCATTCCAATTAGATAATAATAAAGCCCTTCTAGGGGAAGGTAGGATGTAATATTCTATATTTATTATTATTATATTTATATCCCACCTTTCTGCCAAGGAGCTCAAAGTGATGTACATGGTTTCCCTCACTGGTACTTCAATTTTATCCTCACAATGACCCTCTGAAGTAGGTTAGGCTGGCAGATAGTGACTGACTCAAAATCACTCATAGAGTGTAATTTCATTGGGTTTCAGTTTCCTTGGATTTAAAAGAAGAGGGCCTGACTAAGCAGCTTTTAGAGGCTTCACTTGACTAGTTTGGATTTTGCTGATCCCTGAAAAGGAATGAGACGTGTGCTAATAAGGACTGAGTATGCCTCAGTGCACCCTGAAACTATATTTGAAAAGTGGTTTGGACCAGGAGAAATTACAATCTAGACACAGGTTGAAGACTCTGGATTGTTGGTTCAGCTGACTGGTTATGACAGTGAGCTCCTTTGACATTTTCACTTGACGGCATTATGACGTCAGGTGATTTGAGAGGTGTATGGTCCTGCCCATCTGTCAAAACTGACCTGCAGGGAATGAATCAGCTCTTGATCAGACCCTTGGTGTGAAAAAGGTTCGCTACCCCTGATTTGGCTCAGCGAAGTCCACCAAAATAGCCAACACATGAGAATGCAAGTTTTAGGTTTAGGGGTGGAGTACCATTCCTGGTGGACTGATGGGAAGACAGCAAATCACTTCTCACTTGGTAGCAGTTCACAACAAGTTATGTTAAGAGAGCCACAGGCGCTTCTGTTTGAAATGGGTCATGTATTAACAAGTACATAGCAGCACCTTTGCCAAAGTCCATTCAAGCTCCCTGGGAACCTCCAGAGTATATGATGATTAAACTTGGAGCAGGAAAGAAGCGTTTGATTATTAAAAACAAATTGGGAGGAATTCAACTTAGTGTTAAGCCACAGTCCCATAGTGGTGTACGAGTCGCAGTAGCAGAGAAGGTTCTTGTGTCTTGGTTGCACAGCAGATTGCAGTAGCCCCAATACATCCTGTTGCACTGGATTTCATATTATACAGCCATTATTCTCACCCTTACATGAGTGGTGGTGGTTGGTGTTTCAAATTTTGCATCCAGTATGGTTTTACAGCTCTTAAGTTACTTTGAAACATTTTATGCAGTAAGCAATGAATAAACGAAATAAATAATACTATAAAGGAATGCTAGGTTTGAAGGAAAAGGTTCCAAAAAACATACCAAGTCTTTTGGCAATGCCAGTTGCACGTTCACCCCAAAATCCATTCATAGCTATGAGCACTTTGTCTCCCTGCTCCACCATGTTCAAGAAGGCTGCTTCCATGGCACAATGGCCGGTGCCACTGACAGCCAATGTGAGAGGGTTCTGTGTCTGAAATGCATACTGTATTCCAAGCTTGATCTCATCCATTATCTGAGGGCAACAGAGAAGATAATAAATGTTCAAAGAAACTTTCCCAAGGCTGGCAGTGCATGTGTATTTATGTCTGTGGATTCTGACAGTGGCATTCATAGGAGGAAGAGATAACAGTGTGGCACCCATTAAAAGTTTCTATACAATTTGATGGACAAACGACAACAGCCGGAAAGGGCTGAACAAAGTCCAAAATGCTGTTACGGAAGAGAATACTCCCACAGTAGAGTTACTCAGCCACAGTTGAGATCCTGCTCTTGCTTCTTTATTTCTTTGCATCATATAATACATTGATTACTATCACTTTATGAACAGCCATGCTCCTGTGTAAGTGGAAATGTTGAATCCTAAAGCCTCACACACCCTGGTGAGAATTAAGTAGGTTTTCTGATAGAGCAGATTTCAAGCATCATAAACACAGAAGGCGTCTGTATTTATATACAAGTCTGCTCTCATGGGACCTCAAAATGCAGGTCAGCGTGGAACTCCCTATTTCTTAACATGGCTCTTAGCCAGATTATACACAGAAATTACATGCCTCCAATTTAGTGATATATTTGCCTGCTACTAAGCCTGAGATCACTCCCATGAATAGTTAGCAATCCTTTTTGGGTAATGGATCTCAAAGGAATATCTGTCTTCCTGACTGACATACAGAGGAATAAGCACCATGAGATCTAAATAGCAGAAGTTTGTCTAGATTTAAAGAGTTGGGTTTTCAAAGTTTTATATTTGCTTAGTGAATCTAGATCAGAGGAAAGCCTGAGACTCTCATGAGCTCAGTGGAATCAAGTTCTTAAAAATGGGGAAATAACCAGAAATAATAGTCCCATCACAGAGGAAGAAAATCATGCTTCTGGTTATCAAGAAATTCTGTGGCTAAATAATAATGATTTTCCATAAATCTAGATTGTATTAGTTAAGAACATTACTTTTGATTAAAAAAAATTAATCCATAGACTAATGAATAATTAGTCAGGGTGATACTTGAAAGCTGGAAAAGCATTAAGTAGAAGCTGAAGTAGGAGCACACAAGGAATTAGGTAGGATTTTATTTCTTACCTGGATCATCTCTTTGTGGACATGTCCTATGAGCTGTCGACAGCCTGCAGACAAGATCCGGGGAGGGCAATTGGAGGGCCCAGGGCCCAGCAATAACCTGTCTGGAACAGACAGTGGCTGTAGCAGAGGTGCTGGAGGTGGCAGAGATAGGTTTTGAGAAGCCATGGTGCGGCAACACTGAGTTAAAACCAGAGGCCGCCGAACAGGAGTCCAACCTGCTGCTTGCAGCACTGGGAACACACTGCTCACCCCTGACCTTAAATACATGGCAAGCTGGGGTTGAGCAAAACAAACAGATCTTAGATCAGATAAATGCTAGCACACCTCCCTCTTGTTTCTCTCCTCTTCTGAAAAATCTTCCAGTTACTGTCATTGGTCTCCAAGCTCCTTGTGAATATGAGCTTATCTTTAGAACACAGTCTCCAACTTACTTACTCCTTGGTTTTCTCCCAGAGAGTTCTGTGCTTTCTAATGCCTTTGGCCTTCCTTGCCTGGGAATTCTACACCTGTTAGAAGCTGGAAAGTTAAATATCATGCAAACAAAGATCTGAAGGAGACTTATTTTCCTTGTTCTTTGGGCAACACAGAGAAGCTTCTGTAGAAGTTGCTTCCCTCACAGAATGGAGAGAAACTGGACAACTGGACCATTATGTTTGGTTCTGTCCAAAATCCCTGAAACTATATAAAATTGAAGTTTCATTCTTTATTCTTTATTGTAGTTGTCTAACACTGGTCTGTTGAGCAGTCACTGGTTATAGTTTGCCAGGAACAGTGAATTCTAGATTAATAATGGGGTTAACAAGTAACTGTGCTTGCCTGCTTATTGGCAGTGCCTGACTGAAGAAATCCCCCCTCCCCGCAATAAATAGGGTGACCTGTGTGTTATTCTGTGTTCCTTTTTTTGCCTGACTTGCTCCTTCTTTTCCCTCCGACCCATCCTGTGATCCACCCTTCAGCTCTGAAGCTTCCTCTGCCTCCGACTGTTGCCTCCTGCCTGGTACAGTTCCCCACAAATCACTAGCCCCCTCTCCCAAGTCAGACACCAGCTCCCTTTCTCCCTGTACGCACTTGTCAGCATTCTGCCAGTCCCTGACATGTATGGGAACTGCAGATGAGTGCATGTAATAACTGAAATAAGTACCATGCAGACATATTGTAAGAGCAGCTGGTACACAGAGGTATACTGCTTCTGAACGTTGAAGTAACCAGGTAAAGCTGAAAGTGGCAAAAGGCAATTAATAGGAGACAAGCAACAATTCACTACACACAACTGTGTCCTGACTGTCTTGTAGTCTGGGGACAGATGCTACAACTTCACTAATTGTTTTCCCTTGGGCCGAGTAGTATAAAAATGTAACTTGCACATGTTCCTTAAGATCACAGTAGAGCACCTTTAGCTGTCAGTAGACAATAGTAAAGGTAAAGGGACCCCTGACCATTAGGTCCAGTCATGACCGACTCTGGGGTTGCGGTGCTCATCTCGCTTTATTGGCCGAGGGAGCCGGCGTACAGCTTCTGGGTCATGTGGCCAGCATGACTAAGCCGCTTCTGGTGAACCAGAGCAGTGCACGGAAACGCCGTTTACCTTCCTGCTGGAGCGGTTACCTATTTATCTACTTGCACTTTGACGTGCTTTCAAACTGCTAGGTTGGCAGGAGCAGGGACCAAGCAACAGGAGCTCACCCCATTGCGGGGATTCGAACCGCCAACCTTCTGATCAGCAAGTCCTAGGCTCTGTGGTTTAACCCACAGCGCCACCCGCGTCCCTTTCAGTAGACAATAGCCCACTGTAAATATCTTTATCTTGCTTTCCTATTTCTTTTTTAATTTCCTAATGGGTTCACTTAATCTACAAAGAGTTTCAATGTGCAGTGCAGCAACTTCTCTATGGCTAGACCACAACTATTTTTGTGCTTAAAAAATGTATGTAGTTGAGATGCATGCATTTGTGTCATGCCGAGTCCATATTAGTGTTTTCAGAGCTCTCATATGATTGCTGAGCAACCTCCCCACCTCCCACCCCCTGCCCCTAGCTTCATTCCAGTAATAGAACAATGGTGACCAGACAGGAGGGAGCAGGATTGGCCAAATTCTGTAATACAGTAGTTTGAACTTCTGAGAGCCAAACTAGACATTAACTTCATGAATGCAATTAGTGTAAATAGTAGCTGAGCTTGAGCAACCTCAGCACAATGAGGGGAGAGGAAGAGAAGTGGAATTCTTTCTGCTTCACCAGAATCCCTGTAAAATTCCTTTACAAGGCAAGGTCCTATTTCTAGACTGAGGTGATGAAACCTAGTATATCTACTGGCTATGATGAGCATTGGACTGGGGCCAATGGGACCTCCAGAGAGCCGTTTTATTGAACATTCACCCTGATTTAGTTTTCACAAAGATGGCAGGGAGGTTAGACAACACCAGCTATTTATTCAACATTCATTCTGATTTGTCTGAGGGGAGGTTAGACAATGTTGCATCAAACAATTGTTTTTCCAGCACATTTCTTCATCACTTTCCTTTTTGCAAAAAGTTTGGAGGAAGATTTGTTTCACAAGAACACCACTAATCTTCAATTGCACCATCTGAATGCCATTATCCCACCAGAAGATAGCAACAGTTTCTCTGGTTTCAGTGACTGAATTATTTCCCTTCTACCCTTGCCCACAATTTTCCTTTGTAACGTTTGCATTTTCAAGGAAGTTCACTTTGTATCAGACCATATACTGTACTTCATTCTGAGAATCTGCCCTTTTACTGGGACAACTTGTATTTCTGTGATATTAAGCCCTTTAATGTTTTGTTTAGCATTTTTATGTACCACGAGCCCTTGCCAGCTAATAAACACTAAGGTCCAAATGCTCTGGCAGGATGTATGTTCTAGCACAGCACTGTCAAAGGGAAATGCTGCCTTTTAGTTTTGACAAAGTGATTACTTTGTTTCTATGGATTTTCAAATTAAGTCAAATAGGAGAAAAATAAATTATTCAGGATTGCTTGGCTGGCAGTGGCAGTCTTAAAGCCTCATGGATGTTGCAGAGCACTGTGCCTAGTTTTGCATTTAGTATAGTTTGTCTGAGAGAGGACTTAAAATATGTAACCCTCTAATTCAGGGGTAGTTTAACTCCCAACTCCAATAAAACTCAGCCAGGATGGTCAGGAATGATAAGAGGTATAGTCCAACATCTGGAGGACTGCAGGTTTCTCATCCTTGTTCTAAAGGTTAGAGCAACTGCAAGAATAAAAAAATGCACAATTCAAACATGTTTACTTGACATCCCATTTTGATCATATTCTGATCAGGAAATCAATAGATCATACTTTGATTAAAGAGTTATATCGAAAGCCTCTTTATCTAATTTCTAAGGTCATAGCCATAGTGAAAGAATACTTATTCAGAACTCATCACACTTTGGCATATTACTGTTTGATTCACTGTGAGCACTGTGTTACATTAGATTTAAAAATCAGATCAATGATTTGCAAAATAAACTTTGAGATGAAGCATTAAGAGCTGCGAGATCACCCAGACTTTTTGTCTTGTTCCCCCATCACCCTGATTTTTTATTAGCCTTATTTATACTTCTGGAAAGCAAGAAGGCATGAGGGAGTGGCTCCAATAACTTTTTACAGTTCCATTATTGCATATCCTTGACATATCAGCTGGAGCTGTTGACCTCATTTTATTTATTCAGCAGTTGTAGAAAAATTCAGAAAGTGTAGCAGCTGCTCTCACTGAGACAATAGACTATGCGATTGCAGTTTATTCTTTATGTCACTCATCCTCAGACTCAGATACTGTATACAGCTGCAAATAAAACGTTTTAAATGTGTTGTAAAGTGCAATATACAAATGTGACACTAGATGGTGACAGTGAGCTATGCAAAATTCAATGTATTTTTCAAAACATTTTTTAAAAAAGCATTTTGACAGCGTTTTTTGTATGTGTGTAGATTCCACTCTCCTCTCCTCTTCTATTCTTCCAGCTTCTCTTCTGCCCAGATTTGTGTTTAGCTAGTACATTTGTCATACTCTCTTCCTCATTAGTAGTAGGGTGATGAGACTCTTGTAGGCATCTTTCTCTCTGTTACAAGCAGGTCCCCTTCTGGCTTGGGGGCAAATTTCCCATTCAGATAAACCAGCCTGCCACGTACAAGAGTGGCAAAGACCTCACCATAAAGCTGGAAACCCAAGTATGGGGTTGGCTAAAGGAGGAAGCGGGGAGAGAGAGAAAAGTAAGGATAAATAGAATGCAGAATCAAAAGGTCTTTGGGTAAATGTGTTTTTGTTTATGGTGGTTCTGATCTGTCCATAGCAGATATGCACAAGGCAAAATAGATGCAGCAGTGTAGAAAGCTCTAAGTGAACAACAAAGACTAGAGGTGAATTGAGGCCTTATGAACCCCTCCATCCAGTTTACCTTTCTCAAGCTCCATGCCCAAAGAGTAGGTATCCTTAAAGGGCCAACTCCCTAACCTGGAGCACTTCTTTTCTCTTCTGTGGCTTGCTGGCCTGGTGAATTCTGTTGGGTAGGCCTGTAGAGCAAGAAGTACTTGACTCTTCAGGCAAATGGGACTTGGCGAAAGGCATCTGTGAGGGTTCTGGCTCAGGTTCTGTAGGTTCCACTAGCCTCAGGTTCACTTCCAGGGAACCTGGTGGTGCAGCAGTCCTGGCCTCAGCCAGCTCATCCTCCTCTGACTCTGAGCTTGAGGTTAGGGCCATGAAACTAATAAATAATCTAAGATACCAGATGTGAAAATGATTTAGACTCCTTCAGCATAGACATGCGTCCTGTTGAGTGCCTACTAGGGCCAGTCCTTATTTAAATTTGTATGAGGCAGATCCTCTGACCCAGTAACTTCTGACCTGGAAAAGATAAAGACTGAATAGCCCATAAATGTCAAGGCTGCAAAAAGGCAAGGAATGTTGAAAGCCGACGGCTGTGCTCACCCCTCCTGGTGGTATTTTGTTTGTTGGTTTTTGCCTGCTAAGCAAAGTGATAGATGGAGGTGAAGATTACTAAACAGTCAGTTCATTATAGCCTCTACCACCACAGAAATGACACTTGGGATGCCCCATTTGCTTAACAGTAAAGCCTGCCCTAAGCAGAGGCCAAAAATGTAATGAATTATACAGTAAATTACAGTAAGGTGTTTTGAGGGTGGGATGGCGGGGGGCAGTAATAGGAACACTGGGAGAATGCAGAAAACATGAGCCTTCCCATACCTTATCCTTGTGATGAATTATGTTTTTATTCACCTAAGAGAGAAAGAAGGAGACAAAATAATTATAATACAGATTAGTTTGGGATATGTTGCTTACTAAGGATAATGCATACAACCTAATATTATTGTCCCTGTGTTGTATCAAAGAGAATGGTAATATCAGAACTGGCACTTTCCAGATCATCAATTATAAAAAATTCAAAGCATAGAAAGGTTAGTTTCACACACTCCCGTTTACTCTGCACCCAGTGAGCTACCACCGCTGGCTTGGGAAGTGGTATATATATGATGTTCGCTACAATCAATATCTATCTTGTATCTCTCTAGCTAATAACCATAACCATAATAAGTGTTTTGATGTATCTTTGATCCAAATTGAGAAAAATAATGCCCCAGCTGACACCCTAACTTTGTGTCAAGATTACTCTCTTGCTAAGGTCGTTGAAACAATTCTGCTATGCCTTTTTATACTGCAAACATTCAAGACCAAAGTGTTTTAACTGATTTTAACATTTTATTTTTATATTGTTTTATCTTACCTGGGACCTTATGGTGAAGTAAGGATAAGAAATCCAAAGAACAACAACTACACTTTGGACTTCTGTCTCATAAAACTGGCACATTTAATTCTTCACTTGGTATTAGGTCACTTCACTGTTTTCTGTAAGGGCTTTGTTTGTTATAACTCTTTATTTTATTAGATTTGCTATATCCTGTTTTTGGCTCTATATCAGACTCCCAAGGTGATTCACAAAATTTTAAAAATGACCTATATCCTCTCCCATCCTTACCTCAAACTCCTTTTCTGGATTCCAGATCACCAGGTCTGCATCCATCCCAGGGCCAAGTGATCCTTTACGGTCTTCCAGCCTGCTCAGAATGGCAGGATTTTTGCACATCAGTTGCACTAGGTCATGGAAGGAGAACCCTCTGGATTTTGCAGAAGTCCAGAAGAGAGGGAGACCTATGAATTTTCCAGTCACAATTAGTAGAGGAATTTATTGTTCAGAAGATTGTTCTTCCCTGGTTTCTTCTTAAAGTATATCACTTGATGCCACTCAAAGAGAAGACTTGAACATTTGGTAAAGTTCTATACCAGGGGTGAGCAGTCCTTTCCTGCGAGGGACACATGTGGCAATATGTTGGGTCACCCATAAACACATTCACTGACATTCATTCACACTCATTCAAACATAAACACATTGAATCGCACACACTATTGTGTGATTGTATTGGGGGCGGGGAGCACCAGGGAAGTAAATTCATGCTATTTTCTTCAGAATTTTTGTATGTAAACATATGCAAATTTAATCAATGAATTGGCTACTCTATGAAAAGTGATCTGATCAATTAAGATTTCTTTGTCTGAAAGCCATAACCTACCCAAAAGAAAATTATTCTGCATTCAATGGAACTTATTTTGAAGTAACTATGCTTGGGATCCCGTCTTTGCTTTATTGAACATGCTTTTTAAAACAAATTTAAATAGAGGAGGGAGAAAGGTTGTTTTCTGCTGCTCCAGAGAAGCGGACACGGAGCAATGGATCCAAACTACAAGAAAGAAGATTCCACCTAAACATTAGGAAGAACTTCCTGACAGTAAGAGCTGTTCGACAGTGGAATTTGCTGCCAAGGAGTGTGGTGGAGTCTCCTTCTTTGGAGGTCTTTAAGCAGAGGCTTGACAACCATATGTCAGAAGTGCTCTGATGGTGTTTCCTGCTTGGCAGGGGGTTGGACTCGATGGCCCTTGTGGCCTCTTCCAACTCTATGATTCTATGATTGAATGATTCTATGAAATTACTTTAATTTACATAGTGAAAAACTAAAGTATTTGTAATTTAAATGAAATGGGGCATTTTGAATGGGGTATTGGTTGGCTTAGCTTGAGGACACTAAGGGCACCTGGAACAACAGGATGACAGGTCATGCTTTGGGAAGGGCCATAGTTCAATGGTGGATCACATGCTTTGTGCCCTGAAGGTTACTGTTTTAATTCCAGACACCTCCAGTTAGCAGGTAATGGGAAAGACCTCTGAGGACCCATATTCTGGAGAGATACTGCCTGTCAGTGTAGTATATTCTTGAGATGATATGGGGATAGCATCCTTTCCATTCTTAGCAGTACATGCTCATTGGATGAAGATAAGAAAAAGAACAGCATATATAAAATAGCTCATAAACACATTACCAAACTGTAGTGAAGCAATCCCTGCTGGGGCCTTGAGGAAGTCTCCATTGTTCAAATCTTTCAAGTCTCGGGAGCAAGGAGTATGGGCTGAGACAACCATGTCTATCTCTCCCACTTCCAAAGCTGCCCAAAGCTGCTCCTGGAGACATGAGAGTAAGAGTTTATGCCAAGGAAATACTTTTGTAGTTCTCTTTAGTAAGGTGAAGCCATTGAATGATCAAGGAAGGGTCACATCCCTTTTTGGAGCCAGTGGCACATTTGCAAACTGGATACACAGCTGTGGGCACCACAGCCAAGCACACTTCACAACCTGTTCTACTAGCGACAGGAGCATGCTTCTTTCAACACTAATTTCAGTGGAGCGGGAAAGGGGACCCCGTAGGCACCAGGAAAGGCCTCTGTGGGCATATGTGTGCCCACAAGCAACACATTGGTGACCCCTGCATTAATCTATTGATGCATACAGAGGTAATGCAGTTTGTACCAAAGATCCAGGATCAGCTTTCAACTCAAAAATAGACCGACCAAAGCAACAGTGACAGAGCTGCCACTGAAAGTTAGCTCTCCTTAGAATGGAAAGGAAATTTCTTTGACTAAAGATCCGCATTTAGAAACAGATAAGGATAGTGTGGCCATGCTGATTCTTCTGGCCATGCTGATTCTTCTTCTTCACCACCACCACCACCAAGTCCTTCTGGAATGTTTTAAGGAACTGGGAACAGGAGCATTGCTTTGCAATGATTCCACTCCTGGATTTTGCAACCTGGCCCAATAAAGAACCACAATAACACTTAATTCACTTGTATTATGTATTGTGCAGGAACTGACATTTTTGCTTTCTAGTGCCCTTATTTCTTTAGGAAGGCCTGCCTCGTACTTCGGGCAAATTATTAGGGCCAATAAGCCATAGTTTATTAAACTGAGAATACACCCATGTGTTTGGCCCTTCCCTCCCCTTGCCTGGATCCAGTGTTTTTATTACGGCTATTTTAAACCAAAATTTCCAGTTACATCTGTTTTACCTCAACTTACCAAATAGGATGCAAAACCAACATCTTATCCTGGTATTTGTAGTCTGAGATTACATGATAGTTTCCTAGTTAAGATGTAACAGGAAACTGTGGTTTGAATTAACCATGATGGAAGCACTGAAGCCAGAGCATCATGGGAAGAAGAGAGGGACAAGGAGGTAGCATATAGGCTGATTCTTGTGCTCAAGCATGGTTTATTAAGCTGAGTTCGTTAAACCGGTCCTTAGAGAACAATGAACTTACATTAAGCACTAAACTACCATTTCTTTGAACATGTCTGGATGTGACACAAATGCACTTTGCACTGTCAATTTTAACATATTTTATTTGTTTTTATTGTCTTTTTGTTTCTCATAATGTATATGATGGATTGAAGTAGTTGAACATTGCATTGATATGTCTCTAGACAATCGTTTGGATCTGTGTATTATCTATAGGAGTCAACTGCATAAGATTGTGTGTATGTGTGTATGTGTACTCACTCTTTTCTGAATGCCATTTTAATAACCTGTCATACTTTGTTCAACCAGAACAACCTATAATTTCAACATGAGTGGAGTCTGTTGATCATATAAAGTTCCTGTCTTATCTTATTCTTCTTACTGAATTATTGCAGACATTATCAAGCATTTCTTTTTAATAGTACTCAGATCTTACTTCATATGTCCTCTCTCTGCCATCACTTTATTTTTATTTTATCTTTTTATTTTTTGCCATTTGATTGGCCCACTTCCATTTTCCATAGCTCTTACCTGGTTGTTTTTGTCCCTGATAGGAGGGCAGCATTTGTAGTAGATGCCTCCTGGAGGAATGCATTCAGATGCCAGGCTGAGGTAGTGGTGTGCAGTTTCTATCGTAATTGGTGCTCCCTTCTGACGAGCATCCTTGATAATGGGCAAGGCTTGAGCAGAGGAGAGATTAACGATGTGGCATGGTATCCTGTAAAGTTAAAAGCATATGATTATTGTTGGAGGTGGTATGCCTCTGAATACCACATGCCCTCCAACATCCATCAGATGATAATAGGGACATATTCTACATCAGTGCCCCCCACCCTGCCTTCTCCTCAGAGGCTGGGGCAGGGACTCAGATGCAGAGGCTGAACGAAGCAAACCAGAGCCAAGTGACTGTAACAGCTGCTCTTCAGCGCTTGTGACCTCTTGGCACCCCTCGTAACCATGTGGACAGTGACCTTGTGGAAGGCCTCGCCCGCTTAGCTCCCTTTCATCAGTTTCTTTATGAGAGACCAGCTGACCGAGGAGCAAAGAAACAGTGAAAAACTTTATTAGGGGCCCTCAAGTGACCCGGATCTTGTTTTCATATAAAGAGGAAGTGGGGCCATATTGAGTCAGGAGAGAAGGAAGGGAGTGGGAGGCATAGATCTAAGAAATGTCCCAGAGGGACGCACGGTCTGAACTTCCAGTACAGAAGGGAAGGACCCTTGGGAATTCGGGACGTGGTTGCTTAAGGGTGTTTGTGACGATCCTGGTATTTTTGGGGCAGTTGGAGTATGGTACCAGTTGCTGGGAAGCACATGCCAGGAGAGAGCTTTTGCACACAGGTCTTGCTTGTGGGTTCCCATAGGCATCTAGTTGGCCATTGGGAGAACAATATGCTGAACTAGATGGGATTTTGGTGTAATACGGCAGGGCTTTTTTATGTCCTTAGCATGCTCTCTCATTTCCAGCTTAACAGAAAGAAACACTCACTTATACTGGAGACACAGTTCAGCAATGGTGATGGTGGCCTCCACCTCCATGGTATAAGGGCGTGTGTCCAATAAAGTGCTGTACTCCATGGTGTCTGTTTGGGGAAAGGGAGAGAAAAATATAAAGATGCACACATTTAATACCGGTGCCCCTACCAAGTGGGTTCTAGCAAGATTATTTCTAGTGTTTTAGTATATTAAAATGCACTTAAGGTCCTTAGGGGAACGGTTCCCAGCTCCTTTCACATCCTAGAAAGACTGTGCCCATTTCTTGTGCAACTGAAATCTCCCTCCCTCCTATGTCATCAGAGGGAGGCCATTCTGAAATCTTCAGGTATTTTTCTTCAGACAGTTCACTGCCCAGGGCTGCTCCAGACTCCTTGCTGTCTCCTCTCTTATCTACTCTCCTTTATTTGCCCTATGGATGGTCTCTATTATCTATTTCTTTGTTGGTGCAAAACAAATTCTAAGCTGAGCAAACACTTCCATTCAGAAGAACACAAAGGGATGACCATGGTCCTGTGATGAAGAGGGGAAATGCTCCCATGTCTCCTGGCAGACATATGTGGTGGGGTAAAAGTAAAGGTACTGGTTAGCATAATACATACCCTCTTGGACAGGCAGGGAGTGACTTGGCTCCTGTTCTGGATGGAACTGTGTAGAGAGTCCCAAACAGGGGGGGAAAGTTTAACTTTATATAAAAAATTTATACAGGAAGATATAACAATGTGACAACAACAACAACAGCAGCAGCAACAATTTATTATTTGTACCCTGCCCATCTGGCTGGGTTTCCCCAGCCACTCTGGGCGGCTTCCAACAAAGATTAAAAATACATCTTCTTCCTTCTCACCCCCACCCCATCCCAGTGGTCTGGTTTCAGACAAGCCTATGAAAGCTAAATGTCACCAAGAGTGCTTAATTTAAAGCAGGGAAGACTGCCTGTTGTTTTTTAAAAAACAAAACACTATTGTGATATATCAAATCATAACAGCACCTTTTCATTCTAGTACTCAGTGCTGAGAAGGGAGTTGCTCTAATTTAACAGTGAAACTGCTTATTGCCCTAGAATCCAGGTACTCGGGCTAATATAGTCTATAGCAGTATACTACACGTTAGCTAAAAGGTGGGTCCTGGTTCTTTTCTCCCTTGAATCTTTTGTGGGATGTTGGATGCCAGTTTTCCAAGAGCGGATTTTTCTGTGTTTGCTGAAGAATGTATGCCACCTTAAGTGTCTCTTTTGAGATGGAAAGTGCAGGTATAAATAATCCAAAGAAGTGAAAACCACAACGATTAAAGATGGAAAAAAATAGAAGCAGGTTATAAGAAGTTGGGATTTGGTAATTCAATTTGTAAAATAAGAATTAGCTTATACACATAAGAATAAAAGAAAGGAATTAGGGAAGTTGTTCTCACACCTTTAAAATATGTGCAGATCATGAATTTATATACCACAATTAAATTTTAATTTGGTATATTTAATATTAATTAATGGTTTATTATGAAGGGGCATTGCTTAATTTTATTAATATGTGGACATTAGTAAATTCTTTTAATTATTGTACTAATCTTTATTCATCTTTTTTGTGTCATTTATAGTACCTGAATAACCTACTGGGGAAAAGTATGTACAATAATTCAATTCGCTAATAAAATATACATAAAAAATTAAAAATAAGTAATGCCCAAGGAGAGAAAGTGTGAAATGTTACCATCCATACTGGAGCTTCGCTGGAAGAGAGTAGAGAAATGGAAAACAGGTACTTAATGTCAAAGGTGCTAGCGAGTAAAAGAGTAGGAATTCAGCTCCTTACCAGGAGCACACAGTCTGTGTCTTGCAGTTCATTCATTGCCACATGTATATCATGTAGACAAACATGGGAAAAGTCCTCCACACCAGTGGCCATTAGGAAGCACTGAAATCCAGGAACCCCAGCCTTCAGCATTGGTAGGAGCTCAGCCTAAGAGATAGCACAAGGACAAGCACTTGGAAAGTTTGCTAATAATATGAAGAAAGCAGAAGAATGGCTGAGTTGTGAATTAAGTTCTGCCCTCTTGTAATTTCTGCACATATTCAGCTTCAATTGAGTTTTCAATTTAAATGCAAACTGAATCTAAATTTTCACGTACCCCTATGAGGATGAGCAGAGTTCATTTCCCACTTCCAACAATTTGCTGCAATTCGTTCATACACATATGGAATTAGAACTGGGATTTCAAGCCAAGTGATTTATTTCAAGCCACATCTCTTATTTTCAAAACTGTGTACTGTATTGTACTGTTTCCAGAGCTCTTGCATAGGGTGCAGTGTAACTTAGGGTTGCCATATGTACGGAATTTCCTGGACATAGCTGGCAATCGGTCATCGGAAATCGTGTCTGGATGGAAATTGCTGAAAAGCTCAAAAACGTTTCTGGCCAGATTTTCACTTTTTGAAATATAGCAACCCTAGTATAACTAAAAATATGGCAGAATCCTCCATCCATTTGCAGCCTCTTACTTTTAATGGATCATGCTATCTAAAGGAACACTTTCATTTCTGCAGCCCTCTCTATTTCTCTTGCCTTCATGGCCCCCCTCCAAAGTACATAAGACACAAGAGAGCTGATGCCATTTCATTGCTGGATACAAACCTGATTTCCAGGAATGATGCCACCCCAAAATGCAACATCAATATGGCACTTTCCCTTGGCAGACTGGAGCTTTTTCTCAAGGGCATACAAGGTTGTGGTTGGAGGACTGGAGAACCTGAGTTAAGGGGATGAAGTAAAATGTTACTTGGAAACAAGGCTGGCCGAGCACATTTTGCTGCCTAAGAGCAGCAAATGATACCTGTCTTCCTCCTCCACCACCACTACCACCATAATCAAAGTCAGGGAGCAGATGGCAGCTGAAACAAGAAGTCTCAGCATGTCTCCTCATTCCCTGCCCTTTTATAAGAAACGCAATCAGTTGCCTCATTCTGCCTAATTGTAGAACCATTCCTACCTAGAAGGCAACTAAACTGTGTCCACTGTCCAGGCTCATTTCTAGCCCAGTCTGGCTGCCAATCTGTAACACAGCTTTAATACATCCTCTATACTAGTGACCTCATTCTTCAAGTGTGGCTCCTGATGTAACCAAAGCAGTACCAACCGTGTGCAAACTGATTCCAACAAAAACACTACCTTAGTTTAAATTTGCCTCTGTTAGGTTGTGGTAGCCACTTGAATTTCTGCCACTGGATCCTATTTACATGCCAAAGATGATGGATTTCCCTATTCCCATATGAGCTTGCACCAGGCATAAATGTTTATTTATTGATTGATTTAATAAATAATATTTCTATCATGGCTTTCTTTTAGCAAAGGGCTCAAAATACTATACATTCCAGCATTCAACAAGCAACCTGTGAAGTAGGTGAGGCTGAGAGACAGACACTGGCTCAGTGTTGCCCAGTGTGTGTAATGGCTGAGTGGGGATTTGAACATCAGTATCTCCAGTTCTGGAGTGATAGGTCTGGTATTTTTCTCCTATAGTGAACCACTTCAAATGATCAGGAAAGGCAGGCTATGCATTTGATAAATAAATCAGTAACTACGACCACCACACTCAGGGCTGTTGGTGTGTGTGTGTTTTGTTTGTGTAGTATAATTATGTCTAGACATTTAAAGGTAAAGGTACCCCTGACCATCAGGTCCAGTCGTGACTGACTCTAGGGTTGCGCGCTCATCTCGCTCAAGAGGCCGGGAGCCGGCGCTTGTCCGCAGACAGCTTCCGGGTCACGTGGCCAGCGTGACTAAGCCGCTTCTGGCGAACCAGCGCAGTACACGGAAACGCCATTTACCTTCCTGCTGGAGAGCGGCCCCTATTTATCTACTTGCACTTTGGGGTGCTTTCGAACTGCTAGCTTGGCAGGAGCTGGGACCGAGCAACGGGAGCTCACCCTGTCAGGGGGATTCGAACCGCCGACCTTACGATCAGCAAGTCCTAGGCACTGTGGTTTTACCCACAGCGCCACCCGCGTCCCGTGTGTGTGTTTTGTTTGTGTGGTATAATTATGTCTAGACATTTGGTGGGGCCTCAAAAAGGAAAACCAACCAACCAACCAACCATGGATTTCTGGTGTGGAAATTGAGCATGGGAATTCACTCTTGGTTACAGTATCTGAATATGACCAGTAGGTGACACTGCAGGACTATATATGGTGTTTCAGAAATCCTGCCCTGCAGAAGCTGCTCCAGCTGTTGCCTTCCACCCAAAGCGTTCTTTTTCTACAGGTGCTAGGAATCTGTAAGACAGGCCTGAGCACATGGGTGTGCAAAGAAAGTTAATGTGATGATACAGAGAACCGCTTGGTTTCCATGTGGGATGGAAGGCAGAATAATAATACTACAAGAAAATAAATAAAAAGCAACAAAGACAGTGGCTTTTACTAGATGCAGTGCAAGCACAAGAATGCTCAGTTATGCATAATTCCCTGCCCCTTCTTTACCTCTTTAGTCTCCTATTGGGGAAATGTTTATTAAAAACTTGCTTGGAAAAACACACATCACACACACAGATTCTCAACTCATCCTGAACCCCTTGGAAAGCAATTCCTGAGGGTCAAGCGACCCTCAGGAAAGTCTTAGGATTTGAGCCAAGGGCCTACAATGGGATGAGGGATTAGATCATATTAGGAAGAGACATATAAACTCTTACATTGTAATTTATATGAGTTGACCTGGGAAATCTCATTGTGAATTCTGCATTAAAATGGGAAAGTCCTTATTCTCTCCCTTTATTCCCTCCCTCCAGCTCTCTGGTAACGTACAAGGGCATGTCAACAACAGTGGTGATGCCTCCTGCAGCTGCGGCCTGAGTCACAGATGTAAATCCTTCACCAGCTGGCTGTCCAGGCTCATATATATGCACATGAGGGTCAATTATTCCAGGCATGACCACGAGGTCTCCAACATCTAAGATCTGTAGGCAGAAGGTTAATTGCAGGTTAATTGCAGAACATTCTAAAGTTGCCTTCATCATGAGTATGGTCCATAGAATGCTTGTAACCTGTGCAGGTTCCTTGTTAAAAACTCTGGATTTTAATTCAAAACACAGTTTAGTGTTTTGCTTTTTGGAACGCTATAGAAAGCTTGGAGGAACACTTTAAAAACTCACAGCCACAATCCATTGCAGACTAAAAGAGCTCTTAAAACCATTCATTCTCTGCTGGATTGTGGCCCACAACAGTTGAGATTTCTAAGAATGCTTCATAATTGATTTGATCATTTGGACTTCTTGCTAGGCTTCCTGCTCACTCTACCTTATTAGAACACTCATCCAGTAAGAGATCTGTCATAATTTCAACATGCCAGGAATTGTATTTTTTTTAAAAAACAACGAAACAAAACACTTGCATCTTTGTCGCAAACCATTATTCATCAGACACTCATCTTCCTTGCATGTGCATTGAGAGCTCAACCATTTCTCAAATTTCCTAAGAGAAAGTTAGATTCAAGTTACTTGGAAGCAATTAATAGTCTTGCAGCTCCTTAAAGAAGGAGTACAGTATGCTTCATTAGCTGCTTTGCACGAGTGGATGAATTCAGGCATAGCCATTGTTTTGTCTTTTCCCTTCTTTTTGGAAATACATTGACTTTCAGAAGTTATGTTGCATCTGATGGCATTCCTAATTAGGAAGGCTTGTCTCTCTTTTCATCTCCAGTCATTTTTCATTCTCTTAAGATGCTTTAAGACACAAACATTTATTTAGATTGTACAGGGTGAGTCTTTTAAAAGAGGCCTTGTGGAACATGTGTACTCTGTATCTATGGGGCCTCTTTTACAGGACTCACCCTGCATTAATGTACAAAAGAGGTCTCAGATTTAAAGGGACAGAGGCAGAAATATCAAGACTGACTCAGGTTGAGAGGCTACTTGGAGAAGTTTCCAATCTAGTTTTCCCCTCCAGTTGAGATCTAATTCCTACCTTTCTAAGGGCAGCAGGAACCAAACTCTCTCTCAGAAGAGTATTCACTATCTTTGAAGTCCAGACTGTAACAAGGAAGGACAAGGATCTAATAAACATTGACCACATCTAGTATTTACTGTACAGTGGTACCTCGGGTTAAGTACTTAATTCATTCCGGAGATCCGTTCTTAACCCAAAACTGTTCTTAACCTGAAGCACCACTTTAGCTAATGGGGCCTCCTGCTGCTGCCACGCTGCCACAGCACGATTTCTGTTTTCATCCTGAGGCAAAGTTCTTAACCGGAGGTACTATTTCTGGGTTAGCGGAGTCTGTAACCTGAAGCATATGTAACCCAAGGTACCATTGTACTCCTATTCAGTATTTTCTATTAATTTTTAAAAATACTACTGTTCTCTGTTTCATTTTTTGTTTCATTTTTAAATCACTATCACAGTCCCTCCTACCAGCACATTGATTGGGGCCTGGAAATGGACTGGAAGCCAGTGAAGATGACATAGCCAGTGTCATAATACGCTGATTTCTTCCAATCCTCACTAACCATCTTGTTGCCTTGTTTGGGGTCAGCTGCAGTTTCTGGACCATCTTTGAAGGCAGCCCCACATATAATGCAGTACAATAGTCTAGCTGGTAGATTACTAGACCATGGATAACTGCCACAAGGCCATCCAAGTTCAGCTAAGGTTGTATCTAGAATAAGTTTTCTCATTCATAATGGCCCCTGTAGCAGGCAATGCAGAGCCATAGTCTCATCTTGTAATAGCAATTCAACACAGTTCATATGGAATTTCCCAAAATATGGAATTTCCTGCTGCAGGATGTGGTGATGGCCACCAACTTGGATAGCTTTAAAAGAGAATTAGGGAAATTAATCGAGGAGTAGCCTGTCAATTACTGCTTATTGTGATGACTGCGCACTACCTCCAGGGGCAAAGGGAGATTGCTTCAGGAAACCAGTTTCTGGGTAACAGTACAGTGGTACCTCAGGTTAAGAACTTAATTAGTTCTGGAGGTCCGTTCTTAACTTGAAACTGTTCTTAACCTGAGGCACCACTTTAGCTAATGGGGCCTCCCGCTGCCACCATGCCACCGCCACGTGATTTCTGTTCTCATCCTGAAGCAAAGTTCTTAACCTAAGGTACTATTTCTGAGTTAGCAGAGTCTGTAACCTGAAGCGTCTGTAACCCGAGGTACCACTGTAATGGGAAATGGCCATTGCGCTCATATCCTGCTTGTGGGTTTCCTGAAAACAGGATACTGGATTTGATAGGCCTTTGTTCTGCTCCATTAAGGGTCTTCTTATGTTCCAGCAACTGGCCATATCTGACACAGATGATTTACATGGACAGAAAGAGAACCAATAGCTTTTCTGCCAAAATCTACCCTATGAACCAAGAAGTGAGAGAATATCATGCGCAGCTCATGGACAATTCACAGAGCAAGTTGCGTTAATTATTAGTCGAGGTAATGTGGAGTGTGCTGTGATCAGCAACAGGCACTGGCTAAAGGTCACTGGTCAGGCAACTAAAAGTTTAACCCAGAAGGAAAACCACATAAAAAAAGAGAGAACACTTTACCCTGGCCCCTATCCAATGCATTCACGGTGAATTTGGTTCAATGCTCCGCACTGGCATTATGACCATAGGGTCTAGTTCTCTACTCAGTTACAGTGAAGTCAATGGAATCATGATGGCGTGAAACTAGTGTAACTGAGTGGAGAATTAGCCCCCAGGGATGTGATGTTTTGTGTTGGGATAGTTCACTTTCACAAGCTCCCTCATAAAGCTCTCCTAATACCATGCCCTAGAATATATTTTCCTTTCTCGTTCATAAAATAGCTTGAGGCTTGGTTATCTGAAGTTGGTTACTAATGCATGATGCTGCCTGAACAAATAATTCATCATAAGAGGCCCTTCTTCAGGTTCCCTTACCATCTCAGGTTAAGAGGATAACGACTAGGGAGAGGGCTTTCTCAGTAATAGTGCCTCATGTACAGAATGCCCTCTCCAAAGAAGCTTACCTGGGACCAATCTTCATCATTTTACAGTGCCAGCTGAAAACTGTTTTTTTTATTTGCCCAGACATTCCAGCATGTCTTATACCCGATCTGTTTTGCGTTTTGTTTTATGCTTGTTGGATTTTGCTGTTTCTTGGCTGTTGCTTCTGTGATTTATATACATTTCATATTGCATTTCATGACAATATATTTATTGCTTTCCTGACTCATATCCCTGCAAGTCAGGTCAGTCTCTCTCTATTCTTTTTTATAAATACAATTTTAATGTTACTATTTATATTATTTGTATCCCACTGTTCTTCCAAGAAACTCAGGGTGGCATACATGTTTTCTTCCAGTTAAATTTTCACAAGAGTCTTGCAGCGGACCCTGGGCTTGAGAGATTATGAATGGCCCAAAGTCACCCATTAAGATTCATGGCTAAAGTGGGATTTTAATTGAAATCACTTCCATCTAACTCCACCACTGTGCAATACTACACAGGACCCCCTAATTGCACTTGTATGTTGTTGTCATCGTCTGTGAAAACTGTAATGTGTAGGAAAGATGTAACAGATATGAAAGATGTCGCGTGTCACTCTTTAGAGCAGTAGCTATTCATTTAGAACCACAGTTAAGAAAGGGATCAGTGTAACCTTGAGCTGTCTTAGAATTTTTCATCAGCACAGATTAACAATGAAACATTCCGGGAGGTTTATGCATATAAAACCGTGCTTCAAAATGTCAGCGCTATTAAATGCTGAACTTTCAGCACTGTTGACATTTTAAATACTTCAGAATATATTGGAAATTGAACCTGTTTATAAAATATATTTGCATGCTCATTTCCACATACAATGGTCAAGACTTTCTATAACAATAATATTTAGCTAATCCTAGTCATGTCCACTGTGATGCTTTACCTGCTTGTAAACTGTAGACCCATGTTGGGATACTTTACTGACTTCATTAATAAAATTTCCAAAACTTTCAGCCATTATATCAATTCAAGTTCAAATGTGGGGAGCCAGGATACCCATGGAGACGCCTAGCACCTACACAGTTATATTTTATTCTCCCAGGCTTTTAAAAGAATTTTGGTCCTCTATCTGTATTTTATGCTGCTTTTGTATGGGATTGCATTTTTATTTACTTTTACTGTTTTATTTGTGAAACATGCTAGAAACAGATCCTGAACGCTAGTATAGAAATCCACAAAAAATTAAAGTGTTAAATGAGTTCATACCTTTTCTCCACTGGGTCTGGCCCAGTTTCTCTTTGGAAGAATATCAGCTATCTTTCCATCACAGATGACAATCTCCGCTGGGCCAGTGGTATTATTCTGCACAACCCTGTTGCTTCTTACAGTCACAATCTCTGAACCTACTTCCACTTTGGCTGGCCCTTAATTTAAATTAGTAGAGAGGCAGAATTCAGCAAAAATATACCAATCAAACTTCTGCAACTGATGTTACTGTTTCTGTTATAAACTCATAGTAAGATACCACATTTTCTCTTCCTTTCAGCATGATTTTACACCCTTGTGAAATTGCTTCAGTTTGCTCCATGTGTACAGATGCTTCTATAATTATACTCTGAACACAACACAGAAGATGAGTCCTGCTGACTAGAAGGCATTCTCCATGACAAGGCAAGACAACAAACCTACTCCCAGTTTAATATTTTTTCTTGCTAGCTTGATATTAAGGATGGGAGGGAAATCCAATTTTGTTTGCATTTGAGTGAGAAACTACCTGATTTGTTCTTCTTAAACCAGTATGGGAACTGAAACTCAATTATCCTTCAAAATTCGCACTTCTCTGAATGTTGTGATGGAGTTTTCTGACCAAGCAATGTGTACCAAAATGCATATATTAGGGGAAAGTGTTCATAAAAATGCATACATCGGTGGAAAATACCTTTTTTTTAAAAAAGTTATATTTATTACATTTATATCCTGCTTTTTATCCAGAGAGGCAATTATAATAAAATACAATATATTAGAGAATATAAATTGCAAAAATGCACATATTAGTCAAAACTGCATTCAAGAATCTGTGTTTCAGCAGAAATACACACTAAAATACTGACTAATTTTCATGAGACTTGTTGCAGTTTGCAGCAGAAATGTGGAGAACTGAATTAGTAAAAGAGAGAAAACAAAACTGACATATTCATCCATCCTTACTTGTTATTGCTTCCTTTATTAATTCAAAATGCAATCTTCCATCCAGAGGCTCTTTATCAAATTATTTTAGGCTCCCTCTACCCAGCGGCCCTTCACTTACCTGCCTGAGTGGCATTGCTTTTTTTAGACATGTTAAGATTGGCAACAAGGATCCAAACCCTTGAGTATTGCTGCCTGCTTGGCTCTCATTCAGTTCCTTCTCTCTTGCTTTCTGGCAAACATTGACATGAAGTGTTACAAGAAAAGAAACTTTCTGAACCTCACAATAGATTGCTGAGGACCTGGTCTTGACCAAAACTCAAATGGTATGAATTAATCAAACAAATAAATACATTTCCCATGTCCTACTTTGAGACCTTGGAAGTTAGTGATGGAACTAGTGGGGTTAATCATTAATTGCTTAATCTTTTGCAAATAGAAAGTTACTTTTCTTTCATGAATGACCCCCCCAATCAATCACTAAGTGTTCAATGGACTATCTCTTCTGTCCACAGTCTATAATATTTTAGGTGTTACGAAAATAAAATACAATAAGAGGGTTTTGCAAAAAGAAGCTCATATGCCTCTGCCAAGAAACACAGGTGGGCAGTGGCGTTGCCACCACTCAGCTGAATGTCGCTACTTTTAATATTTTATTGCAATTTGCCAACAACGTTGGCTGTCCAGTGTGACTTCACTAGTAGTTCATAAATAATGATGATGATGGGCAATTTGGTCCATAAGGACCAAGCAGATATTTGCTCTGTGGCAGTTGCAGGGGAATCTTAAGCAAAGCAAGTGACAGAGTAACAAGCAATAAAAACAATCCAGTAACAATTCAGAATTGAAATGGGATTTGAACCAAATCTATCCAATTCATTTTGAAAAGTTGCCGTGGGAGACCCTGTACTGCATTCGCCTTTAAAATGCCTATCCCCTTTAAATTCTGGCTAGCATTGTGCCCAGGCTATCCCATCCCACTCTGAAAGCAATTAAGACCCCTTGTTGGAGATACTTAAGCAGAGGCTGCATGTTTACCTCTCAGGGATCTTGTAGTTACAAAATTCCTGCAACTGAGCAGCAGGGTAGGCTCTAAGACCTCCAAGGTATCTTCCAACTTTAAAAATGCTTGATTATGGAATCAACTGATTATGGAGCAACTGTGCCCCTTATTTGACAATGCACTTATCCTTTAACCCTGCATAAGCCATCCATTTCAGAATAGAAAATTCTGGAAAAATTGCTTGGATGGCTCCACCAGGGTCTTTATTAATGCTAAAGTTATGTCCTACTGCTGGTAATAAGGGATGGCTTGCTTCCATGTACCATGGCTGCCTGATTATATGAGCCATTGCTGTCTCTGTGGCTTCTGGGTCCTGGGACAAATATTTTACAGTAATATGGAGATGAGTCCTGCTGTAACCAAGGTGCTCTTGTGTAAGTAGTTATCCTAAATGTTGGTAATGAATTCTCGAAAGCAGACACCTCCAATATCCTACCCAATTTAGTACAAACATTAATTTCCTTTTCTCTCCTTCATGCCATCATAACAGCAGTTCTGCAACCTTGCCAAACAGGCATTAGATAACAACAGAGCAATGGAGTGGATATATTCCAGCAGGGCTTGAGTCAAACAGGAAATGCTCCAGCTGGGACTAGTGAACTGCAGGGAAACAATCTTCTTCCAGATAAGGGGATGGGGGTGTAATAAAGGCAGAAGGTGCATGATGCAAACCCGAGCAGCCCTGAACACAAAAGGGAATCCACAAATGCTTCTTCTCAAAAGGCTAGTGTGCTGCAGTGATCCTGAGTGTTAAGATCTGGGTAGGAAGGGTTATCAGATAAAATCCATACTTTTTTAAACCCAAGTTTCTCTGAGCCTGCAGACTTATTATTTAGGGTGGATTCATAAATGCATGTACGTCATGGAAGGCTTAGAGGACACAAAAGTCAGACAATGCACATCATCCAATTGAATAGCTCACCACTCATTAACTCATAACTAAATGTTAAATCTGCCACCACTGACAAATAAAAGGTTTTGAGATATGTTTTAGTGATGAGAGGATACAAATGTGCTTTCTCCTGTGAAGTCAGTCAGGTTTCCCCATGTCCCTGAAGCCTTTTTCCTGACAGATACACTTATCAGATGACTTCACTCAGCTGCTTCCTCAGAAAAAGATCAATTGTATTTTTTATTTCCAGAGAAACCATTTTGGTTGGTTCATTTTTTTGAGGATAAATGCATGAGGCTATAGAAGCAATGAAATCTCAGGCTATACCAGAAAAAGCTGGCCCTAGCATATATGTGTAGTCCAGCTTTCTTCCTTCACAGTGGTCAACCAAATGTCTATAGGAAGCCTGCAAGCAGTGCCTGGGCACAACAACACTCTCCCTTTCTGTGGTTTCCAGCAACTGATATTCAGAAACATATAACTTCTGGGAGTATTTAATTCTTACTGCTTTTTTATTTATTTTTAAGCAAAAATTAGTTGCTTTTAATTTAGTTATAAGTTGTTTTAACTGCTTTTAACATGTTTTAATTGTTGTAACTCGCCCTAGGACCTTAGGATGAAGGGCAGGTAATAAATTTAAACAACAATAATATTTATTATTATTTTATTTTTTTAAAAGGCAGCCATAAGGAAAAACTTCAAAACCTACATGGTCACAGTACCTTTAATGGGACCGATAATGATAGTAAAAAAATTTTTTGTATATCACAAGAAAGCAAGATAAGGTATAGAATTTCTCCTTGTAGTTTGCTTTTGAAATGCGGTAACTTCGTTCAAAAAGAATATATGAGAAGAGTGTGTGACCAAGGGATGACCCGTATGCTGTTTTCAACATCTGCTAGCTAGGAAACTTGGATGTAAGCTTCTTTTCTTATTGGTATAAATGAATATTTCCATCTGGCAGGAAGGCCAGTGTTCTAACTAGCAAATGCCAGCCTGAGTAAAATTGGAGATAAAGCTAAAAAGATGCAAAGCCCAACCTCATATGCCCTTGCTGTAAATAGTGACATGCATGCTTCAGCTGAGGGAGATATACACGTCGTAAGCAGTTAGGTCTGCAGCAAATACAAGAAGTGGATACACTTTTTAGATGACAGAGATAAAACAAGCAAACAAAAAGCTTCAATATGGACCAATATAGTCCTCACTTTTAGAATACTGGGGAAATGTCTGAGATTCAGAAATGGCAGAGTAAGCAAGCAAAGTGGAAAATTAAGTAATTAGATGTGATGAAGAGTTTGGGACAAAAAGTAACAGGTGTATTGGATGCGCACAATAATTGATGCTGGGATGGGCATTGGATGCTATTTTCCTGAAATTAGAAAAATAAGTCATTTATTAAATACATTTTTCCTGTATCAAGTGGATTATTTATGTTGAAAGTTATTGCTAATATTTTTGAACCAAACAGAAATAAACAGCTTTCGGATACAGTTTAAAGCAAGGGCCAACTTTAAAAAAAAGTATTACAGAAACAAAATAACCCTACAAAAGATAAACAGTTTAGCTCACAACACTGCTTAACTTGTAGTAACACCAAACAAAATAAGTGATCACTAATTAAAATTGCCCCCACTGTTTATTCAACTATAAACATTAGTTGATTTAATTTACCTAATTAATCTATGAACTCTATCCAAAGTGCTAAGAGATCTTGTTTGGACTCGTGGCCAAGATTAACACTGGTATGGGGGTTGTTCTTGGGTAACACCCTGCTTTGCTTATGAGAGCCCTGGGCAAATTACAAAACAGAACTAAAAACCCAAGGTCCATAAAATACAGTAAAACAAAAATGTAAACAATTATCCACAGAATACAGTATTGTTTATTCATATGCAGTATTTGCCAAATTTAATTTACAAAGCAGTTTACAATTTAAAAATGCATGTACAGTGGTATCTCAGGTTACATACGCTTCAGGTTACATACGCTTCAGGTTACATACTCCACTAACCCAGAAATAGTGCTTCAGGTTAAGAACTTTGCTTCAGGTTGAGAACAGAAATCGTGCTCCGGCGGCGCGGCAGCAGCAGGAGGCCCCATTAGCTAAAGTGGTGCTTCAGGTTAAGAACAGTTTCAGGTTAAGTACGGACCTCCAGAATGAATTAAGTACTTAACCCGAGGTACCACTGTACACACTACGGCTGAAACCAATACCAATATAGCAAAACTAAAAAACCCATATATTAAAGCAGTCAATGGAATATTTATTTCATCAACGTATATAGTTCATTTAATACATAAAAACCTCCAATCTGTGATTTAACAAAATGACACCCTAAAATCATTAAGTGAAAATTCCAATAAAACAAAACACGTACTTTCAATATCAGAATAAAAATCTGGAGACAAAATACTAAGCAGTACAATATAAAAATTAAGCCAGGAAATGCAAGCAATTTTTAAAAAGAAGTTCTAAAACATGCCACAGTTGACCCCTCTTGGATTACAGGGGCAAGGGTTCCAGAGGGTTAGTGCTACTGTGGGAAACACCTGCTTCTGCTTTGTCACTAGATGACAATCATCTGTGTATCTTATAGAAGGCTCACTGTTGAATTCCTTCCTTTTAAGGAGCTTGATTAATGGATGGTCCAACCTTTCCCTTTTAGAAAATGCTGGATATTTTGTATTTTACTGAAATGTTGTGAACTGCCCTGAGAACCTTGTGGTTGAGGGTAGGTTGTTGTTGTTGTTGTCGCCGTTATGCTGCTACTGCAATGATGATTTGGTTTCTAATACCAAATTGGTCAAGGCTAGATGAAATATATCCCAAGAAGACCAGAGGCATTGCAGAATCATCATATGAAAAATTGAAAGGTTATCAAGGTATTGTGGCTGATGCCACCAATGCATACAATATTAATTCCATACAATCCAGAAATGTGAACTCTGCAAAAAGATTTGAGCACACAAATGTGACAGGAGATCAGCTGTGTTTACTTGATTCTGCTACACATCTGCTATGTTCACATGTGATCACTTTGCAGCAATGAAGACCAAAAACGCTGATTATATATATATATATATAATATATATATATGGCTGGCGCTCTTCGCTTGTTTTTGTCATAACACTGATTTCGTTTCCTTGCTATCGTGTGTGCAGCGGGGCTGCGAGGAATGCAATTTTCGAGCACCAAAAGCGCGTTGGTCTGGCCCTGTGTGGATGCGCAGGCTGGGGATGATGAGTCAGATCTCCTGCGATAGAGCAAGTGCATGGATGCGGTTGGCACGGATGCCTGCCGTCTCCATTTTCGCTCGCTGCTTTGAGGAGTCATACCCGGAGTGGGCGGGGAGGCACTTGTGCTCTGCCCAGGGCGAAGAC